TGACGCATGAGTGCCATCTGACGAAGCCGCTGCCATGCCTCATTCAGCTCCTGTAGATAGGAAATTTTAAAAATAAGTTAATGACAAGAACCTAACATTCGTAAAATAACAAACAAATGTAAATACTAACATCCTTTCTCTTCACAATAGTCTCCCGCTCGGGATGTCCTTCCAGCACGAGTCTCTCAGCCAGCTGATTGACCTCGGTGACGCGGTACTCCTGAGCCGCCATATCCTTCTGGAACTCGTCGAATTTGCGCTGCAGCACTTCCACGTGCTCCAAGTCCGAACCGAACTCATCGGCACACACGAATGTCTCCTATACAAAATATTTTTTTAGTATTATAAATACATTTTATTTAATAACTAGAAAAACTGAAGACAAACCTTATCATGTATCCAGAACATGACTTCATCACAGTGACGCAGGAACTGCACCAGCACCAGGGCCTGTTGCAACTTCATGCCCTTCTCGGCAAGACGAGAGAGAAGTAGTTCCCATAGACGGTGTAGTTCATCAAGCCTCTTGCGAATAGTCTCAGAAGCAAAGTGTCCAGCTGATATCATTTCACTGCCAGTGTTGTCGAGGACTACGATCGCGTTGGAGTGCGCTGCTACTTCAGCCTCGAAGGCTTGATGTTTCTGGATCTTAGCCTGATTAAAAATATGTATATTATAAACCCTGCTGAGGTATTCCCAAGACTACAGTGTGGTATTCTTCATAAGGAGGGAACAAGTATTGGATAGGTCAGAATGAAGTAATTTATGGAATAAATGTAAACAAAAAGTATCTACATACTTGCAAGTTAGTAGGATCTTTGTAGCTCTCATCACTAGCAGCTTGCAGCTTCTCCTGTATCCAGGACTCCAACTCGTCAGCGTCACGTTTGAAGTACTGGAAGCGACGAGAGTCTTCCAACTTTTCACGCTTGGCGCGTGCTTCTTGTTTGAAATCTTCATAGCGATTGAGAACCTTAAGAAAAATATATGAAGGTTAAAATGAAACAACTCTAATGATTTTTGGTTGTTCATATATGTACATATTTAACAATATAAACAACATGTAAAGTGGATGACCACTTCCATGGGGAAGTTTAATCTCAAAACAATTAGGGATAGAAATCTTAATACAACATACTCATTAGCTTCTTTAAATTATACTATAAATTATATTTTATCTAAATTATAATTTAAATAAGTTGTTCTTTGGAATGAATTAGCTAATGTTATCTTTTAACTGCAAGATAATTGTATGTCATTTTTTGTCAACAGTTTTCATGGATCTTCCCAATAAGCATTTGTTGATAGATTCAATTCCTGGGTGTGTATAAGGTTTTGCATAAAATTTATATTGACACAATGACATTTATTTGAGCAATAAATAACACGTAATTCTATTATATGAATCCTTTTAGCTGTTTCATATAAACTGCTAATTATTTTTTATTTTAACGGACCATCAAAACTCATGATTGATTTTATCTTACTTACATATATTAGATTAGTCTTATCTCTATATATAGGTTATAAATAAAATTCATACTAAATAATAAATATCATAAGGCGCAATTAAAAAATGATTTAATATGAGGTTAATTGTCTTCTGCTATTGGACACACTTAAATATAAAATTATGATTTCAATAATACATGACAACATATTATAAAAAAATATAATGTTTTATATATATATTTTTTAAGCAATCAGTTAATAGAAAATAGAACTATCAAGTGTCTATAAATAGAAATATCCAAATACTAAAACAAAGGAACAATTATACCCTATAACCAACCAGGAATTACATCAGACAGTCAAATATAATGGGATATTACACTGTAAATAATGATACAATAGCACCATCACTCATTTTGCTAATTGGTCCAAGCAAGATAAGCACAAAATTGCTGCCCTAACTCATCATATTGTATATTTATTTCCTAAGTTAAACTCAGTTTTCAATATAGTGTTATCTATACACAAATATCTGATTGATTATTATTGTTTAAAACCTAGTTAGAAAAAATTATTGTGTATTTAATGGGAGTTAATGTGCTTGGTACCTGTTCACGACGTTCTTGAATGTCCTCTGCCGTCTCCAAGATCTTCACCTCCTTAGGGGGTGGGATCTGCTCCATGGTGGATAATTAATTGTCTGGAACAATAAGAATTACTAATGATTTATGTTATATAATTTACATTCACTTAAGATGGAATAAATCACCATATAAATCCAAATATATAAGAAGTTTTTTATGCTATTAAATATTATATTCTGTTTATAATGATTAAATAATTCATACTATTTATTGTCTCAAGGTAGTGTATAATGTATTCAACACAACAATATGTATCATTTTATATGAGATCACATTCCCTAGAGACAGTGTGTAGTCAGTGGTATAAGTGCTCTTATTAAATTTAATATGCTGGGTGGGAGTCACTTCATCCTCGTATCCATTTGGGACCTTGTATATTAATAGACTCAATTACTTTACACTAGGCTAGCAACTAATACTATATTCGGCAGTATACCAAATAATCTGCAAGACTGACTGAATAGAAGAATTAGGGAAAGGTATTTGATCACATTTTAGCAATAAACTTGTACAGAGGAGTTTATTTTGTGATTGTTTTTTCTAATGCTCCCACTCAATAAAAGCTTAGTTGAAAAAAATTAAACTACTTCTTAAAAATGCATGACAACTAACTTTACACTCTCAAAATTTAAGTAATTTATGGAAATGATTAAAAAATCTCTAGAATACTCCTAAATGTTTCTGACAATAATGTAAACACATAATTTTTAACTTGTCTATATGGTAGATGATTATGTACTAGTGTTATATACCAATAACTACTGAAATGATTGGAAGTAAAATGGAAACATTAATATATATTGTTGGGGATCGTGCAAAACCATATAACTACCATTGGATAATTCCACATTTCTGCATTGGAAGCAAATTATCAGAAGAGAGTTTGGCTAAAATATTTTCTAAATTAACAACTTTTAAAGCAATTTTTTCACAATAATTAATAAATTAAACACTAAACAATTAACTTATTTAACAGTTTATCATAATATATTATAATAATAATAACACCAAATTTTTTTCCAGAAACAAAACTTAAATCTGAAATTAAGATTAGGCTTATTATTGATGAAAATATTTTTTGTGATAAATATTATAAATGATTGGTAGTTACATATAAAGCAGAACAGGTTACATGAATACAGAACCTGAGGTCATACACTTGACATAATTGCATTACATCACACGGCCTTGTGACTCATCACAATACACATACCATAAAACCTCATTATTAACATAATTTTGTTGCCATGTCCACACAAGCACAAAAAAGCTGATGTTTTTTATTAACAGACAAAAAAATCTATTTATAAAAATGGGAAAGATAAGAAACTGATAATTTGATTGCAATTAATATGATGCAGTTAATTGTCCATAGAAAATTCCCATAGTCTATAAGAAAATATGTGCATAATAAAATTTGTTTATTCATCCACCTAAAAAAGTATGGTCAGTATATAAAATAATCTAATATTTGTTTTTTAATGTCTGACAATAATTCCAAAATTCAAGATGACTTTTAGGGTGCTAGTAGACAATAATATACAATAATATATTACACTAAAATAAAATATTTTCTTGATATTTCTTATTAGAATCCATTTAAGTGTATAACAAATAAAGAAATTATAAACATGATTTAAAAAAGTATTTATACTTGTTTATAACAACTTTAATTAGTAATTAACTATTACATACTTCTAAATTCCTTGATGATTACTGTAGAATGAAAGTTAATCTAATTACCCTAACTATTGAATGTCCGAGTCTAATCAATAATGAGACAACACTGCAGTATTTCTATTGACATTTTTAACGCAATGTTAAATATTCTGTCAAGTAGTCAGACGGAAATTAGTCCGCAGCGGTAACCTACTTTACAGTTTACAAAGATGGCAGCTTAACGGAACCCGGCTTTAAGTTCCAGTTTACGAGTAATAGGCTTCCTACTGACTACTGGTATACAATGACGTAATATTCCAAAATAAACTTATTAAGGATAACGACTAGCCGTATAGTATAGTCGGCTGTATTTATATATTTATGAGCACTTTCATTACAAATAATCGTAACATATTTTTTGAGGTACTAAAATTTTCAATATGTTAAAAAATAAGTACATGGACTTGGAGATAATTTGATAAAAGTGTTAGTCAAGAATCGAAACATGGGCGTGTCAGATATGAGATTGTTAACAAAATATTAATAGTTTGAATTTAGAAATAATAAGAATTTGATTTGCTTACCAGAATATGTAGAGTTAGTCAATGCACTTCAGATAAATTAATTGTTTTTCTAGCACAAAAATCTTTACTTAGAAAGATCGTTCGTTCGACATTCAGGTCGCGTTAATACACTTTCCACCTACAATGATTTCAGTGCTGCCATATTAATAATTAAACTATGAACATAAAGTTGCCATATCAAAGATAATTTCAGAACGAAAAATTAAACAGAATTTTTGCTTATGTGACATTGTTATATCCTTTTTATGAATATTTTGAATAATCAAGAAATTTTCAACCTATACTTTATTTTTTACTTTGCTTAAAAACTTCGTTAATTACATGTCTTTAATTTTTTAGAAATTTAGTAATGTCAATGAAAATAAATAGCACCTGTACATTTTTATTTTTCAGAATTATTTAGTCAAATATAAAAGGAAATAAAACGATGAAAAAAAAGTTTTTTGGCAACAATCAATAACTATTTAAAGCTTTTTTTTATAATGTCAACATTAGTACGCAGTTGTCATGAAATACTTGTTCAAGTATGGCTGTTCTTGTTTGTTGTATCAATTTGTATGTCAATTATTAATTAACCCTTGTTAATAATGCTCTGTTGATTATTAAAAAGCTGAGCTTAGTAAGACTACTATCGATGTGCAGTACAGTGTAAGTGTGAATCATGGCTGCCGGTGGAGAGGATCTATGGCGCGAGTGCGCGACTTGGCTCACTCGATGTGGCTTGTTACGGCCTGATCATAAAGCGAATTGGGAGACGAGTACTATCCACGATCTTGCTTATACTTTACGAGATGGTGTGCTGCTTTGTAATTTATTAAACACGCTGTACCCGGGATGTATCGACATGAAAGATGTTAATCAACGACCCCAGATGGCACAGGTATTTAAGGACACATATTGTATCTTAAAATTTAACAACATCATTTGTATATATATTATATTATAATCACACGTATCCTATACTTTAGAAAAATTTATGCAAACTATTATTGCATTTACAAAAAAAAACATCCATTGTACATATGTAATATTATGTGTAATAAATTTTAAACGATATAATATTGAACATTCATTGGCCTTAATTTGTAAGAGGATGTTCTTTGATAAGATTTACTATCAACAGCTACAGTTAGAGTCATAGATGTGAATGTGATATTAATTATGTATGCATGGATGTATGGAGGGAATTGTTGATGGCTTGCATATAGAAAATGTGCTGTCTGTGAATGGCCCAATGAAAAGATACAGAATACATATTCAAATAACCATATCGACTATACCACTGACCATAGTTACCATGTCATATATTTTAATTTCATTTCATGATTATCAATTTGAATATATCTTCTTCCTGTTCTGATATCTTGTCCTGCATAAATATGGTTGTATGTATGTTTGTTACTCAATAGCACCAAAAATAGTAACTGGTTTTGGTATTTTTGTATTTAGGTAGGTTTATACATAGACCACTTTTCCTTCTATAAAAGTCTAAATTAGTAGAATGTAAATGGCAAATAGTCAAGTTAAAGTTGAATTGGCACAAAATATATAAATATATAGCTGATATCTAGTGATGTTGTAATATGTTTTATACACAGTGATAATAAAATTGGAACTGTATATATATACAAATACCTATATTTAAAATTATTTATTCCACTGCTTAAAAGTTTTAATTTTGTTTTTGGTGATCTGATTCCATTCAAGGTCAAATTTTCATTTGCAATAACAGTAATAGTTTAGTAAATTTTCATTTGCAATAACAGTAACAGCAAAAATAATATTTTGGATTTACTACATGAGATGACATCGCACATCTTGCCTGCCCATGATTAAGGTTGCTGTAAAGTAAATGAATTTATTACTCTAATTCTAAATAATATGATATATGATCTCTCATATTTATTTATTTATATAAGGACAACTAACAAAACATACACTATTTATAAATTTTAAAAAGTAAAGATAATTACATTTTTGCTAAGTGATGTTTCAGTTATAAGTTATCACGGCATGGATTTTTTTTCTACTTAAATTATACAACAGGGGACATTAAAATTATACAAAAAGGGAAACAAAAAATACTACCAATACAATATAAAATGTAAATTACAAAAGAGAATAACAAATTACCAACTTATTACTAAGCAATTAAAAATAAATAAAATAAAACTTTTTTTAGATAACAAAAATTTTATAGCAAAAATAACAAACAAATAACTGTAATACAGAACCTAAACGACACAATATAAACATGATCGATGTTGAAAGACTGGAATGTGATCCTTATTTTATTATTTTCAACTTACAATTAATAGTTTATACTGGGCGATTTAAAACTAGCTATAACTTTGCTTTTAAATTTTGGCAAACTGTCTGAGAAAATGTCGATATCAATTTCTTGGTTTTTTTAAGTAGGTTATACTGTCTAGGTAGCCTACTCATGATAGCATTCTGTCCTAAATTCGTTTTTGAGCGTGGAATCGAAAAAGGAATGTATTTACTCGCACAGGGAAACCTTGACGGCGCATTAAAATTAATTTTTTTTTACGACGTTAGGACAGTCTAACTTGCCATTTACGATTTTGTGAAGCAAAATCTGGTTCAATAAATGTCTCCGATTGAGCAAGCTATTTAGCTTAAAGTATTCTAACCGACTATGATATGTCGGTAACTGTTTCGCCTTATTGTTGAATATGCAACGTGCCATAGGAAACGCTTTTGAACCCTCTCGATACGTTTGATGTGGACTTCATAGTGTGGAGACCAAAACCTGAGCACAATATTCTAGACCAGGTCGAACCAAGGAAGAATAAAGGCCAATATTAAAGGAAAGTCTTAATTTGAATAGAAAAATGTGTGTATAAATATCTGACGTATAGAGTTATACAGAAAATAAACTAAGTTTCATGTTATTAGTAAAAATATGTTTGAGTTACAATAATTTTAGTACAAATATATTAAAATAGTAAAATAGTTTTAACTGACTGGCAATAAAATTCTACACATTAGAATCTTACTTATTTAAAATCTTGTATAAAAGATATATTTTTAGCTTCAGTTACTATTAAATCATTTATTATTATTAATTTTACAAACAAAATGAGCTATAATAATCTATATCTGAATTGATATGACAGATCACATCGACAGTATCTCAGAATTATGATGTCAGAGACTTTTGTATTGATAAGATAATTTGCATTAAAATGTAGGTTTTTATATAACTAATAATTAATTTGGATATTTCAAAAATATTTTTAATACTCAAATTTGCCTTCTTAAACGCGAGTGTATCCGCAGTACAAAACGTTGTTATATTGTTAATACGAGATAATAGCTCTTATAACAATAATTTATAATACTCTACAGATTTACTTAAAATAAAAAATAAATAATTATAAAGCGTTTAACTTATTATTTTTTTTGCGCCTTTTTTTACACTGTTATTAAATCAGATAAAATTGCAGCAATAATTATTAATAATTGTATTTTTCCATCGAAGTCTGCAGCTTGTTACTATAAACTATAAAGTAATGTACCTAGTATGCGATATGGCATTTCGAGTGTTGCAAAATTTTAACACGTATGAAGAAAAAAACCAGTATTCTTAGAATCATAAAGAACTAACACAGTATATTCTTATTATCACCTCGTTATTCTTATAACGTACATTTTAGTAAAATGTAATTACTTTTTAATATGTATTACGTAAATATTTCTCATAAATTTCATTGTAATTATATAATTTTATCATTTCTAAGAAACTATTTGAATATTTATTTTCTACATTGATAGTATATTTTGTATCGAACTTAAAAGAATGCTGTTTTTCATCTAATCATTATTTCTCCGTAATCTTAGCGCTACTTATCAGAATTCAAACCGTATCGTGTTCTCAATTTCAGCGAAGGTCTTCTAAATATTGCTCGAAACTAAAAATCAATACTATTATAAGATTATCTAAAAATAGTTTTGTGTTTGAGTTAGAAATTCCATCGTTTTGGAGCATTGGATGCAAACAAAGCGGCTAGTTTTACTTGAACTATGATATTTTTTCGCAGTTCTTATGTATGAGAAACATTAAAGTCTTCCTGAGGACCTGCCACGAAGTGTTTGAGCTACGAGAGACTGATCTCTTTGATCCATCGATGTTATTCGACCTGTCTGACTTTCACAGGGTGTTGTGTACTTTGGCAAAGCTCAGTCAATGTCCTAAAGCTTTGGCTAGAAATGTTCAGTAAGTAACAGTCATATATGATTGGCTAAATTCTGATTAATCTTGCTTCCAACCAGGATATTGAATGTAAATGAAACATCTATTTGCTATATATTTGTTTTAAATTATTTTCGATACTATGTATAGTATAGTTTAGCGAGTCGTATTTCCCCAACAGACCCTTCTCAGCGAGACGGACCCAGTCGGAGGAGGACATCTACAAGGACCTCCAGTCGGTGTAAGTATTGAGTGTGGTGATCTGTGTTTGTGTCAAAGTTGTTGATAACGTAATGCCGTCAGCGCGAACATGCCGTGCGAGTCGCCCTCGTACGAGGTGGTGGAGGAGGAAACCAGGGAGGTACCGTGGATACAGTTCACTATACCGAGCGTGGCCTGCGAGGACCGCGTCGAGGAGATATACGAAGACCTCTGCTATGTCAAATTCGCCTCGGACACGCCAGAGGTTCATTCAATACGAACGATAATTTGCTGCTTCATTTTGCAATTTTTTTTCCACCGTCTCCCGTGTTTCATTGCGGATTTTAAATCGTCTCATATACAAAATGAACTATCTCTTAAAAATATCTTTGATCCAAACGTGTTTTTCTATTTCTGTTACGCGTTATGTAAACACTTCTTGATTTTTTTTTTCATCGAACACAATTTCATACATTCATATAGTACATATTATACGCCAGTGCGTTCAGTACTTCTTAGAATTTGATATGTTGTATCGATGTATTTGCAATTTCTTATTGACGTTATCGATAATAACGCGCATTCTTAATTTACATCGTAACACGATACTCAGATAAAGATACTTTTAAATGATGGTTTCATATATTTTTTTTGATAAATCATAAAAATTGCTATATCGGGCATGTTGTTATAGGCTTTTCAATATTTTTTTGACTCTCGGTGTTTTTTTATTTTTAGTTATTAGCCAAATAGTCGAAGCGTACTACAATGAAGCGAGTAGAACTAGAATTGAATATAAAAACTCCTTTAATAATGTAATTCATAAAACATCGATTACATTAAATAGATACTAAAAAAAAAGTAACAGTTTAAAAAAGGAACACGTAGAATCCATTCTGTAAATGACTTCATGTTAAATGTATACCCAGCACGTAATTTTGTTTTCATGCGAGGCGTATTATGATATTAGAACATCCGGCTTTCGACTCAAGACGCCGTTTAACATATCTGTCGTCACATCCCCGCTACTAATTATATTTATGAGTATGTACGAGTGGGGCTCTAACTATGAGTGTGACCAGCTGGCGGAGATGAGAGATCCTAAACAAGCATAGTACGCCTCGCTGGACCACCGACACGCACCGTAGATATAATAACAATGGCTTAAATATAGAATCGAACGAACGAAATTATATGGTACTCCTACCACGAGTACACATCGGAAACAGAAATACGGAAAATTTCCAGTTTTTCATGCATATTTGTGGACTATCATCACATGCGGAGATTTATGAATGAAAAACTTGAAACCGTTCGTTTTTAGTTTAACGATGCCAACTCGTGGTAAGGGTACGGAACAGTGATGTATTGAATACTGTGATACGTCACGATTATAATGATCGTGACGTCATAATGTCCGTTCGTCCGATTGTAATGGATGCGCGTGCGCAGCGGCGGAACGGGCCGCGGGGTGGGGGAGTACGCCAGCTACTGCGCCCGCCTTCACGACGAGGAGATCTACCACGACCTGTGCGTGGTGACAGGGGCAAGGGGCGCGCCCGCTGACAAACACAACATCGCTTTCGCTACAGTATGACGTTTTATTTAGATTATATGGGAAGTAATGAATGATGAAGACGTACACACATGTATATAAACACCACAGTAGATTTATCTGATTGAGATAACATTGTATATTAATTTATCACTATGATAATGACACCGCAGCTGCCGACCGCCGGTTGGTCCCATTCCATGGCGGACTTGGAATTTTAAGTGTATAAGTAAAAGTCGAGCATAGTTTGAATAATTCATGCACTCGTTACTTCCTATGCCATTTAATTTTTTTGCCGCTATGTAGCTAGTCTATAATGTTAGCCGGCTTAGTATGGTCTGCACTATGTAATATGTATAGTTGTCGTTGTATTGTTTCGTTAGCCGATGATCTATTCGAATCTCGTTTTCCAGCTAGCGACGTCGTCGCACAGCTTAGAGAAGAGAGATTACGTTATACGGGAGCTGGTCGACACTGAGTGTAACTATGTGGATGTTCTCAGTAAGATTATCAAATACTTCTTGAGGCCGCTGACGCCGTATCTCAAGCCCCAGGATATGCAGGTCATATTTTTCGGTGTCAAGGTATGTCATCAACAGGAACATACGAGTATGAATATATTGATTTTTTAGTCAGTGAAAGTAATATTATAAGGTGGTAAGCTAATGTGACGCTCGATGTTTTCTTTCAGGAGTTGCACGAAATACACAATGGTCTACTCCGCCAGCTAAGGCTCGCAACAGACAATTGTGTGCCCGGCAGCGGAGCGCCGCGACTGGCGGACGTGTTCCTGGCGTGGCGGGAGAGACTCTTACTGTACGGAGACTATTGCTCAAATCTCACAAACGCTCAGGACACATTGAAAGCGCTCGATGCGAGAGATTCTACGTTCAGTAAGCAGCTACTGGTGAGTTATATATGTATGAACACGAATGAATTAATGAACCTTTCTTAACAAATGAATTACAGACTTAAAATGTTCCAAGTTGATATTACGATTTTATCCCCCCCCCCCCCATTTTACAGAAATGTCAAAAAGAGCACAGTGACGGTCGCATCCAACTGCGCGACATCCTGTCAGTTCCCATGCAGCGGGTCCTCAAGTATCACCTGCTACTGGATAAACTGGTGCATGAGACACAGCCGGTGAGGGAAACACACCAACACTACACTGTTGACATACTGAGATATATATAATGTTATTGTGTTACACTTAATCATAATAGTTAGGCAGGGAGAGGAGCTTGGACGGTGGAAGTGAGCGTCATAATGCGCGTTAGATAGGGGCCCCTTAAACCTACACCTGGGTCGCAAGTCCCAGTCACTGTTGAAGCTCCTCTCCATACAACGATGGACCCGATACACGCACGGTGAATCCATTGAATGCTAAGAGGTTTCGCCTCTAATAGTAGCATATGATCTGTAGAACCACGAGGAGTTCCGAGGCTTGGAGCGCGCTAAGGAAGCTATGGTGGATGTGGCGCAGTACATTAACGAAGTCAAGAGGGACAGCGAGGTGCTCGTGTTGCTGGCTAAGCTGCAGGTTGGGGACACACACACACACACACACACATACACACGAACATATACATACACACGAACATATACATACACACAAACACACACACAAACACACACACACACACACACAAACACACACACACACACACACACACACACACACACACACACACACACACACACACACACACACACACACACACACACACACACACACAAACACACACACAAACACACACACACACATACGCACACACGACCGCACACACATACACACACGAACACACACACACGAACACACACACACGAACACACACACACACACACACACACACACACACACACACACACACACACACATACACACATAGCTTGTTGTATAACACAAACTCAATGGCTGATGACGTCACAGGAGAGTATCGTGGACTGGGACCGTTCGGGCGCGGAAGGCGGCTCTCTGGCAGCGTACGGCCGCCTGCTGCTGGACGGAGAGTTGAAGGTGAAGGCGCACGAGGACCAGAAGATGAGGATGAGATACGTGTTCGTGTTCGACAAGTACATGCTGCTGTGCAAGCCCGTCAAGGTGATCTACACCACAGTATGTGCTCACGTCATACGAGGCTGGATCACTGGCTTGTATATGATAGTCGATGTATAGAAAAGTCTCTAGTGATAGTTGTCGTAGTTACTTTCTTACTCAGGAATGAAGTGGTCGCTTATGTTGGTTTATATTACGAAGGTTAGTTTTTTTGTTAGCTGGTTGGACCTTTACTCTCATTGTAGACGTTCAATCAATGTTTGCGTCATTCAATATCATTAACCATGTAACGATCTACTCATAGACTCGTTTAATGATCATTAGCTAATAATTTGGGTTTATTTTTTTACTCTTTTGGTATTATTTTTTTTGCATATTAGTATATTTTAATCTGTTTAAGTCCTATGTGTAGACACAAATAGCCATACATCTGTATGACTTTATATTATTTATATTTTAAAGACTTAATAGCACCTTCTTTATTCTTACATTTTAGTCTTATTACTCTGTCATGAGACGCTGTGTTAGGACGTTTGAATTAATATTTGGGCTTTTAAGTTGACGACAGCAGATAGATGTTAGTCCAAGATGTGAAGTTTTACATTCAATAGGTTAATTTTTTTCTTACTCCACTTGTTTTGGTCACTCATCCAAAGAGACAGAGTATATGTGAATGTACATGACCATAGAGTCTTTGTTAGCTACCGAAACACCAAACTTCTCATATTTCTTGTATAAATAAATCAAGGAAGGATTTTATTTTATTAAATACCTTTTTTGAATTTTTGTACGACCAGAGAATTTTAGTAATGATTGTATTGAAGAAGTTGCTTGATGCCATTTTTCTATATTATCCGTAATTAAATATAGGCCTTATAGTTTAGACGCATGCTCTTATAAAAGTAAATACGTTGTAAAACATAGATTTTAGTAGTTTACCAAACTTATATAGCTAATGTTCTGACATTTCTAAATGTAGAAGTTTATAAAATTGAAATAGATTTTGCTTCTCTAAAAAACAATATGAAATTGTACTTACAAATATTGCCAAATTAAATGTGAATGGCTTACTATGTGGAAATCTTAATCTCAAAGAGATTAATAATTCAATATATTTAAATAGCGTTCCTATCCTTTGATATATGAATGAAAAGTTTCTTAAAGTGCAGTATATGAGTGTGATATATGAATGAAAAGTTTCTTAAAGTGCAGTATATGAGTGTGATATATGAATGAAAAGTTTCTTAAAGTGCAGTATATGAGTGTGATATATGAATGAAAAGTTTCTTAAAGTGCAGTATATGAGTGTGATATATGAATGATAAGTTTCTTAAAGTGCAGTATATGAGTGTAATATATGAATGAAAAGTTTCTTAACGTGCAGTATATGTGTTGTTTCGTTCAGGAGAACCAGTATTCGTACCGTAAGGGCATCAAGTTGGCGGAGTACCGCGTGGAGGAGGGCGGGCCGCGTCGCTCGTTGAGGGCGGACGCTCGGTGGACCGCGCACTTCTTCCTCGTGAGGAGGACCAAGGACGCCACCTACACGCTGTACGCCAAGACAGAGGACTGCCGGCGGAAATGGCTCAAGGCCATCAACGACGCCATGTAAGCAACTGGTTCTAAGATTTTTTATTTTATTTTATTTTAATAGGTTTACCAACAATTGTTTTCAATAATACAATGTAAAATAGGTATTTATAATCTAGGGTACAATGTAACAACTAGTTAAAGGTAAACTCCGCATGCATACAAATTTAAATAAATCTACTTTAAAAGAATATGTGCATTACTTCGCTTGATGCCGTGCAGACGAGATCACGGTTACTGCAAAGTTAGTTTGACCCGCCGCGTGTCCACAGAGAGAACCTGGAGCCGGCCGGGTGTCGCCGCACCAACCACAAGTTCGTGCTACACACCTTCGAGAAGCCCGCCACGTGTCATCACTGCTCAAAGTTCCTCAAGGGCAGGATATTTCAGGTCAGACTTATATTCAAGCTTATACAAGATTTTCATGAACGTATTATTAATATATATACCCTATATAGTATATACAAATACAGTGCAAACTCGATATAACAAATCGGAGGGGAACAAGAAAATATTAGTTAGGTATATCAAGTAATTCGTTGAGGTTAAGTTGAGGTAAGGTTGGTCTAAAATTCGTTATAAAAAGGTAAAATAATACATAGTTTTACTTACCTCAACATTACGTAAATATCTTGTTATAGCGAACAACTTCTACTGATAAATGATAACACATTTTTATCAAATTTCTACTGTTTACATTCAAAACACTTTCTTCCGAAAACTTACCTTTAAATTTAAAAATTGTCGACAATGTACTTGCGGGGATTCCGAACTTATTAGCTATGTCTAATTTTTTCGTCATAAGATTTTGGTCAACATATTACATTATTTATGTTTTTTCGCTTATCTGCGACCGATAAGGAACACCTTTTACGCTTCTGAGCCATTTTAAATTAAAACTTTAACAATAGTGACGAGCAGAAGTGTTTACATTACTTTTCATCAAACAACAACGATTACTTTATGAACAAAAGCGTGTCGAAACATGAATTACAATACAAGAGTTACATTATTGGTAGGAACTTTATATAAAGGTTTTAGTTTGACAAAATTAGCTAATTAGAGGTTTGAATACTTTTCTTGATAGTTAAAAATTCGTTATAAAGAGGTTGTTCGAAAAGAATGTTCACAATGTAGAGGTATATTTTTATTGAATCGTACGGACAATTCAAGGGGATTACGAAAAATCGAGGAATTCGTTATATTGAGGTACGTTATATTAGGGTTGCACTGTATATGGTATTTGTATCTAGTGTCGATGTAAACCTAGAGGAAGTACAGTGACAATAACGTGTGATACAAGTACTGTAGGTAAGTGATAGTTTTTTCAACGTGTGCAGGGCTACTTGTGTTCCGTGTGTGGAGCGTGCGCCCACAAGGAGTGCATCGCTCTATCGGGCCGCTGCGGGGGAGGGAGCGCCCCTGCGCCGCCCCTCCCGCCGCACGCGCTACAACCGGACACCGCGCTACACTACTACATGTGGTATGTACACACACACACACACACACAGAGAAAGATATGCACACACAATAACGTTAGTACTGACTTGCAGGCGTGATATTTAAGTTGTTTAATATATTAGTTCCTTCTATTTTTTCATCACAATAATGTTTGATACAGAATAGCTCATATTAAAAATAACATTCTGCCATGTCACAGCAAAATAATCATCTAAATGTGCTCCGTATTCAAAGTTCATTCATCATATCCAATTCCTCGACCCGACTTTACCTATTTAAGCGAGGTCTTTCCTCTGCTACATATATATATATACAGGGTGACTGGTGAATTACTATCGATACGTGATATTTGACGATCATATATGACAAAATAAAAATTAATATAACATAAATATTAATAAACTTCTAAGTAAAGTTAACCAAAAGTTATGTAATTAATTACGCATCGTGTGAGAACACCCTACAGATTAGGTATACACACACACACACGCGTGCGGCGGCGTGGTGTTGAATCAGCACGCCGCCGCACGCGTCCACACTTGGAACGTGTCCACACTTTATTTATTTATACGGAAATTTGGTCAAAAATTAAGTACCTATTTTTTTTACATAATTCGAATGAGAATCATGTACCGAGTATTCTCCTTAAATATTGATAGTAATTCACCAGTCACCCTGTGTATAGTAGTATAATATGTTCGTGTATGTATGTCAGGTACGTGGGTGAGATGAGTCGCGAGACGGCCACGGCCCGCCTGGAGCGTCGTGTGGACGGAACCTTCCTGCTGCGGGTGAGGCCGCGCGCCGCCCTACACGACACACAGTACGCGCTGTCACTCAAGTACGAACACTATACATTGTATTTATACTCATTACGAGACTCCAGTATTGTGCTTAGCCTTTTTTAATATCTAAATGATTAATAATACTTGAAACAACGGCCAGCGCCATCTATTGTCTGTGCCACGTGACTTCAAACAGCAAACAATTAGTGGGGTGTTTTGTCATGGAAACTATACTGAATGGAATACCTAATTATAGGCTAAGTATAATTAGGTATCCTATGCAGTATAGTTCCTATATCCTATTCCTATATATATGTAATCTGATATCTAAATTTTATTATTAAAAAGTTTAATCGAAATCTGTTTAGTATGTTATGTGAAAAACCATATATACACCTATAAAAATTTTATACTTATAACTTTAGTAGGATGTATTTAAAAACTATGTTCATGACCTGAATAAGAATTTTTAATAGAAATAAGGATATTTTCTTTCATTTCTTAACTACCATAAAAGTTAAATGGAACTTTTTTTTTAAATCCCTACTAATATTATAAATGCGAAAGTAACTCCGTCTGCCTGTTACGCTTTCACGCCTAAACCACTGAACTGATTTTAATGAAATTTGGTACAGGCATAGAGTTGACCTTGAGAAAGAACATAGGATAGTTTTATCCCAGATTTTTGAAGGGTTCTCTTGGAAACGCGTATATAACCGAACTCGACGCGGTCCAAGCTGCGGGCGGAAAGCTAGTTACATATAATTTGTATCTAATGTATAATGGTATGTCTGTTGATAGGACCGACAACACAGTGAAGCACATGCGTGTGTGCCTGAAGCCCATCGACTCGGTGCCTCACTACTACCTGTCGGAGTCCAGGTTCTTCAGGAGCGTTGTGGAGCTCATATCATACTACGAGAAGACCAGCTTGTCTGAGAACTTTGTTGGGTAATTTGACACTCTATGACTATTTAATAACATATATAATAATTTAATACAGTGCAACCTTAATATAACGTACCTCAATATAACGAATTCCTCGATTGAACGAATTTTTCGTAATCCCCTTGAATTGTCCATACGATTCAATAAAAATATACCTCTACATTGCGAACATTCATGTTTCGACACGCTTTTGTTAGTAAAGTAATCGTTGTTTGATGAAAAGTAATGTAAAAACTTCTGCTCGTCACTATTGCTAAAGTTTTAAGTTAAAATGGCTCAGAAGCGTAAAAGATGTTCCTTATCGGTCGCAGAAAAGCGAAACATCATTAATTATGTTGAGCAAAATCCTATGACCAAAATCATAATGTTGAGGTAAATAAAACTATGTATTATTTTACCTTTTTATAACGAATTTTAGACCAACCTTACCTCAACATAACAAACCTCAGTTCAACGAATTACTTGATATAACGAATATTTTCTTGTCCCCCTCCGATTTGTTATATCGAGACTGCACTGTTAATAATTTATTTATATTTCGTTTTAATTGTACATAGTGGCATTACATTTATAAGTAACTTTAAACTTACTATACGTTTGATTCAAACATTTCATCAGATTAAACTCCAACTTGCGATGGCCCTTCCGCCGCGTGGTAGCGACCGTGATCCACGACTTCCGTCCGCTAGAGGCGTCCCAGTTGGCGCTCCGCCCCGGGGCGAAGGTGTTGGTGCTCAGCAAAGAAGGGGACGGCCGGGGCTGGTGGAAAGGTCGCACGCTCGATAAGGTAATAGGGGGCTTTAAGGGTCTACAAAATAAACTTCAAAGTAACAACATATATTCCTCTAAATGTTAATAGTAAAGTAATGTTGAGAGCAAATACTCGAGAGGTTCCTCCCCACTGCCCTTAGGCCGGGAATAAAACTTATCGGGTAAAACAACTGCACGCGATATTCCTAAAGTTACAAGTTCATTATTGATTCTTTATTTGGAATTCATTTCTACCTCAAAAATAATGTGTATCCTCACTCTTAAACTGTCTTTATGCATATCGGAGTGACAATTCACGAGTACTTTTTATATGTGAGTTAACAGACACGCACGTCGGTTGTCGTGCGTTTTATTCATAATACTTGCTCGATATACTTTACTTTTACGACGCTGTCAGGGGCCAAATATTGAATGACAATCGGAGCGCCTTCCGTCTCATCAAATTTGTCAGTAGTATATACTATATATATGTATATATCATGTTGTATGTTTTTCAGGGTGACCACCGCTCGGGCTACTTCCCCAAGGAGTGCGTGCGCGAGGAGCCCGAGTGTATCGGAGCGTTGGACTGATGTCAGCTGTGCCTCGCCGAGCGCGAGCTTCACTACCTGTCACACGACACACGCGGAGCCCGAGCGAGCCGGGCCCTCGCCCTCGGCCCGCCCGAGGAGCCCCTCTCGCCGGACTCCATGGAAGACCTCGTCTGAAACACTATAGACATACATACAGAGAAATATATAAATACTACCACACGCGGACGAAGAATCATATGATTATATTTTACTAGTTAAAATCACTGACTTGAAATGAAGATTGCTTACTTCAGCAGAGGTCTCGTCTGTCCGAAACTCATTCAACCAGTTGACACTGTAACGAATACTCACTAAGGTACGATAGTTAGTAATATAAGTGTCACTGGAACAGTGAGGTGTATGAAGATATTTGTAAATCTCATCGGTGTAGCATAATAAGGCTCAAGATTTGTGTGACTGTGATCCAAGATATATAGAGATGTTATGATAATAGAATTCGTTCTGAAGATATTGGATACGGAAGTGTATATGTTTAATGATATTATATTCATATATATATATATAATAAAATGTTAATTGTTGTGCTGATAACTGCTTTAAAGAGTCTCCGTGCTTTACTATTTGACGTAATGTGTCCAAATCTTCTGTGACACTCATGTAGAGTATATGGAATATTATGTAGTAAATGTAAAAAATAAAAATATTATATTGTTAATGTTCAAGAAGTGTATATTTATTTTTGTGAAGTAGGTTAGTATTACAAGTCTTAGATAGAATGTAGGTAGGAACCTTCTAATGTATGTTGACATAAAGAGTGTCTCTTCCTTGCATGCTTTCCAGATTTAAAAAAAATATTAAAATGTTTGTTGCTTCTGAATTGTCATAATAAATATATAGATATATGTATAGGATGTACCATATCTAATTGTATATGACAAAAGATATATTTTAGTATAATCTATACTTGCACTACAGTGACATGATGTCATACAAGGATTTATTGAAATATATTATAATCTTTGCTAACATACACTGAACAGTGTAATGTTCTTGATGATATTCAGAATTACATGACATTTATTTAGTTGATACTTATATGTACTACATGTATTTATGTATACAAAAAATTATTGTCTCTATTGGAAACTAGATCTTTACTGAATATAATTCTTGTGACGAGATATTTAATAGAAATTATGTAACATGACAAATTTGACAAATTATTTACATAATATTAAATATATGCTCAAATGTTAGTTGAAAAATGTTAAAAAATTATAAATCCTATATGAATTGTGTTCTAAATGTTTAACTCTGTTCTCGTTTGCATATTTTGACTAAAACATATACATATTTTTATATTTAACTAACTTTAGTGAGATAGTGTGCCAAATTGATTTATTCTCCTTTGTAAAATATTCATTTATTTATTGATTTAAACATATTCAATATCTTTTTATCCACCATGTAACAGCCATATTCTTTTTATATAGTATAATAGTACTGGTTTCACTTAGCAGTATATTGTTTAACATTCCAAACACTTGTTAGGTTTTAATTTGATAATATTTCATCCAGCATTTATGTTTAAGTTATCTCCCAGTGACTTGGTTGTATAAAGTGTCCTCATCTCACAAAGTTGAACTGAAAATAAATTGACATACTTTTATTATTTATAACATTTTATAACATGTATGAATTTTAAACAGACATCAATCTCTTTGTGTTTCATTCAGCTAAAGTCGTCTTGATATTTTTTTATTATTACTAACAACTCTTTAAGTGTTAGTATTCATATAGAATTTGTATAGATATATTTAAAATACTACAACGTCAGTCAATATTTATCATTTCACTTGTAAGGCACATATTGAAACATTTTACTTAATTTTTTTTTGTCGTTAATAACTTGCTCAAACTTGACAATTCACAGTACTTGAATAATATGTATAGAGCAGTTTTTCTGTTATCTGACCCACCTATTATTTTAACATTAATAGTGAATAAGATTACTTAGACTATTGAAATGATGTCTCAAATATGTTTCATATTTAAAAGTTTTATTAACAATTATAAGAGCCATATTTGTTGCAGTTATACATACATCTAAAATAAGAAAGGTAGGAATAAATAGTGAGTTATTTTCTGTCATGTTGAATAGACTTATGAGCAGGTCCATGTTTCTGATGAATAAAAAATATTAGCCAATAAGATATTTGGGTGTTAATGATGACTTGTGTGAACACTAAACTTCTATATAAGGTAAACTATTCAACATATTTTTCATCACAGATGAAAAATAGTATTGGAAATTTATTGTTAATAAACATGCTTGAGAGGGTTTTTTGAAACTGTGGCAATAATAATGAAATAAATAAAAAATATATATATTTACAATCGCTATAGTTGAAAGAAAAAATACAATGATTGTTTCCTTCCATTTTAAATAATGTCTTTGATGTATAAGAATGTTAGATCTAGATGTTTTATTCACTGTAGCAAGATTTTATGAATTAATAAACTAATTAATGACTCTAATCAATGTAATCAAAAAGTTACAGAATATTAATGTCGCGAAATACTGTTGTATAATAATGTTTTTCTCTGAAATTCAAGACACAATAATAATAAATATATGTTAATAGATGGAGATATATTCGTGTCTATTTTAATATTTATAAAATTGACATTTAACCGATATATGTACTGTATGATTTGCAATTTAAAAGTTTTTGTATAGCTTAATGAAATGAGCACAATGATGGGTAATTAATTTTATATTTGTATATGTACTGTTGTTGTTATTGTGTATTCAATTAATATAGAATCTTCATATGTTTGATCTCCCCGGATACATGTGGTATATGTTTTAACATTATTTATAATCACACTAGTTATGGAAGCTTTGAAATTGTTACCGTAATACAATGTAATGTTCATTTGTTTGTAAATTGTAATATTAATGTATTATAATAAAGTAAGTTTTACAATTTAGTTGGATCGTACGTGGGGTCGAACATAATTGTTGGTGCTAATGTTGTTTTGTGTTCTCTGCGCTTCTTACGTGGCGGAAACGCACCTTGTTTTAGGGGAAACTATTTTGATATTAATTTATGTTCACGTTTGTAAATATAATATACAGAAATGGCATATCTCATTGTTCTGTAGTTGGGTAAGTCTCCAAAATAAATACACAGTCGGAGAAGGATCGTTTTATTTATAAATAAGTCAACAAACCGTTACATATAAATAGATATATAAATAAATAGTAAAAAAAATATTTACAGTATTTATTACTAAATGGAATTCACTTGAGGTCAGGTGTACTACTACCCAAGTAGACCTGTAAGTCGGAAACGGTTGAGCGGACCAGTTTAGCCGGGATGGTGGGTCTCTGTAAACGTTGATAGGCAGCGAAGCGATGGCAGCCTCCGAAGCTGTAATAATAGTCCCCACCCTCCCTGCCTTTAATCCATAGAATGTCTATCGGTGGTACATTGCCCTTTTCTTCTTCTTTCTGAAATATTTTTTTTACTTTGAGCTTTTTAAATATTTTAATGTTATTCTAGGTTCTGGCAGCCAAGATAAAGCGTGAATTAAATCTATGCCATTAAAATGCTAAATATATTTGGAGTGATTTAAGAAAGAAAATGTTAAGTTATCTTTTTTAATTTTTTTTCAAAATTACAACAATTAATCAGAAAATATTAATTATGTATATGAATTTCAAGGAATGAATTGAAATATTATTGTTATGTATTAGGTTCATTCATTTTCTTTGTTACATATTATTTAACTTTCAAGCAAAATATAAGTAAACGAATCCAATGAAATAGTTTTAAACAGTTACCACTTACTAAGGTTTGCAAATAAATAAAATTGAAGTGTCTATTTGGAATTTCAAAATAACAGCTTCGTTCTGAATACATATGAAAGCAAAAACTAATGTTTTGTTTGTTCCGGCTTATACCTATCTTCAAATAGCGGAGCTGTTTTTGTTACAGAAATTGCATTCTATGGTAGCAGATGTTAGAAATATTGATTAAGATTATTTTTAAAATTACCGCCTTAAATATATTTATTTTTCTCGGAATAAGTCGTGGGCACAGCATATTGACCAGAAAGGAGATAATTCAGGCTTCATACATTTTTGGGCCTTTTTTGAAAGTGCCGGCCAACAAAAAAAACTGGTACATATTGTTAGAACTAACCATTTGGAGCAATAGTTAATATGGCGCATAAGTTGTAGGATCCAAGATATAGAAGTTATACAACTTTCAAGATTCATCATTTTCTTACATTAATTTTTTGTGAAAGTGCCAGGAAATATAAAATAATGATTGATATTGCTAGAGTTAAGCTTCTCAAGCAAATCATTATGGCCATAATCTGTTAGAAACCTGTCGTTTTTATATAATACTAGCGAACCCGACAGACGTTGTTCCGCCAAGTATCTGAACGCATGCAACACAATTTATTTCTTGATGATTTTATTATTTGTCTAAACTAATATGTATATCGGGGTGCCATTTTATATATAAAAAAAAATGGGCCTAGAAGCACTTTTAACTGATTTTGTAACATTTCGGGTCGGATTTGATCATATGACGCGAGAGCAAGTGGCACAGAGGAACCTCATAGTGCCAGAGCGATTATTTGGTAATCCTGATAGTCCGATTGTAGAAAGAAAGGCCATCTCTATACTTGATGGCACTTACATATATTTACAGAAGAGCACTCATTACTTTTTTCAAAGAAAATCTTATAGCAACTATAAGTTTCGAAATCTTTTAAATCCTTAGTTAAATATTTGTTGCAATGGAACCATAATAGCGGTAGATGGACCATACGCTGCAACAACCTTCGATGCCCAGATTTTAAATGATGCACTGAATAATGTGGATGGTGTATTTCACTGGTTTTACCGGCCTGGTGATATTTTTATATTAGACCGTGGTTTTAGAGATGCTATAGAAAATCTGGAGTCATGCGGTTATGTGGTACATATGCCAGAAACAAAATACCAAAATGAAACCCAGCTTACTTCTGAACAAGCAAATAAATCTAGGCTTGTCACCATGTGCCGCTGGGTGGTCGAAGTGATTCACGGCCGCTTTAAAAGGGACTTTCGTTAACTCAGAAATATTCATAGTAACAGAGCATTAAGTAATATGTTCGATTATTTTAAGATCGCGGCAGCATTGCTGAACAGCTATCACGTTATAGTAGACAATAACGTACACGCACGCGATTTCATTGACATAATTAATGAACGATAAACATACCAAATCGTTTAGCAGATATTGTCATTACAAATAATTATAACAGAAGAAGAGCTCATTTTGAGCCTATGAGAGCCGAAATGCCTCGATTTAATGACTTTCCCATAATGACAGAAGAAGAATTGACGCTATTTGCTTTAGGTAGCTATCAATTGAAGCAAGCCCGCAGTTATTATGCTGAACACGTACATCCAGAAGGTGCATTCACTATAGAACTCGCCCGAAATATCCCTCTGGAAGAAATTCGGGAGATAGCTGGACGAGATCTCTTATTAATTCGAGGCCGTATTCAATCAAGGCATATCGCATCAAGAACCTATTATGTGTACATTGCAGCTGACCCAACACTTCGTGGAAAACTAGCTATTCCACAATATTATTGCTCATGTCCAATAGGCAAACGGACAATAGGGTGTTGTTCACACACCATGACTCTCGTGTGGTATATGGGTTTCGCACGGTATGAGAACATTCATACGTGTACCAGTACAAGGCCTGGAAGATGAAATTATATATTAAATTAGAAGACTATAATTGTGATGTTTATTGTAATAAAAAAAATACGTGATTCAGTATTTGTGTATCAGTATCCTAAAATATATTTTTAGTTATACATATAATGCAATATAACGTTGTTTTGATATATAAAAATGGCACCCCGATATACATATTAGTTTAAACAAATAATAAAATCATCAAGAAATAAATTGTGTTGCATGCGTTCAGATACTTGGCGGAACAACGTCTGTCGGGTTCGCTAATCTTCTATATATATAAAAATGGATTGCTGTTCCTTAGTCTCGCTAAAACTCGAAAACAGCTGAACGGATTTATCTTATCTTAGTCTTGAAATGTTTGTGGAGGTTCAGGGAAGGTATAAAAGCTGAAAAAAATGTATTCATTACTGGGAAAACCATAAAAACGGCCCTTTTCTATTTCCCATACAAACGTTTTTTTTGACATTAGATTTGACAACTAACTAATATGTCAATCATTCTGTCGCACTTCAAAACACGGATATTTATGGCTTACAGATAAACTCCAAAAATATAAATAAAAAAACGTAATAGATATTTCTTGATTATAGGGCGATACGAAGTTCGCCAGGTCTTCTAGTATTACATAAAAACGTCAGGTTTCTAACAGATTATGGCCATAATGATTTGATTGAGAAGCTTAACTCTAGCAAAATCATGATTGATTAAACATAAATAGGAAAGGAAACATAAAATAATGATTTATTTTATGTTTCCTGGCACTTTCAGAAAAAAATAAATGTAAGAAAATGATGAATCTTGAAACTTGTATAACTTCTATATCTTGGATCCTACAACTTTTGCGCCATATTAACTATTGTTCCAATGGTTAGTTCTAACAATATGTACCATTTTTTTTTGTTGGCCGGCACTTTCAAAAAAGTCCCAAAAAGAATGATCTCCTTTTAGTTACAACTTAAAGTCCTCAGTCCTCACGCTAATTATAGTTACCTCCTGGGTTATATGAATGTTAAACAGTTAGAAGGGAAAAGAGGACATTCATAAAACACATATCAAAAATTTGGGAGCGTATAAGTCTCCGGGCAACCAAGTCAGAATATATATGTATTAATGAACATAAGAAGAAAATTACATATATGTCTTTTTGACTAAACGAAAAAATGTATACATTCAAAAGTATAAGGAAGGTTGTTCGCATTCCATGGATTCACCGTGAGGGTACCTAATCTTCAATGCTTCAACAGTGCCTGGGACTTGCTACCCAGGTGTCGGTTTAAGGGGCCCCTATCTAACGCACGTTAAACGCTCACCTCCACTGTTCAAGCTCGTCTTTCTACCTAACCAAATTTGAAAAGAACCTACTAGGGCTGCTTTCGAGGTACGTTCCAAGAATGTATTAATGTGAGTTCTGGACAGGTTCAAGTATTTAAGTAGGTTGTAGAGAGATTTAGCTGTGATGCCTCTCGCTCCCACTTCTACCGCGTACAAATCCACGACGAAACTATTTCGAGTGAGTTCGTTTGTGAGCTTCTTTGGGGATGTTAGTTTCCCAAATAGTTAGTTTATACTACTGTCAAAAACATGTTTTCCTTTTGTAAAAGGACCCTTTTCAATCAATTTTTTCTTAAGTTGATAAACCATAGGTACTTTAATTCTATTAAGTTACCTACTCGAGAACTTGTTGTTAATGACACTCGCCTTACATACAAAACATGCTAATTTGATTGTATTTGTATTTTAAATTCTAAAGTTTATATTTACTCATTGAATAAATAGTAAAGTCAATAAAAACACAAAACATTCATTATAAGGTAGGTCATTTGATCGAATTCATTCTCGGAACATTTATTTAAAATTTTCCCGTTTCAAAACTATTTAATATACCAATAATCATTTAATTTTTTGCTATTAAGTACGTAGGCTGCCTGTATAATTATGTTACAATTAACTTAACATATAGGTATAAAGAGACGATAAACTGTTTTGTTCTATCTAATAGTATATAATTTGTAAGGAAATAATATATAAATATATGTAGTATAAGAATTACCTGAATAGTGTTCATCAGAGACTTCACCTTATTCTCATCTAACTCTGGCATGAAAGGTCTGATGATAACTGACATTGGAACATCGTAAGTTTCCTCCTTGTAGGCACTGTGGATACTCGTCATTCTTCTTACTAAAATTAACAATTTTTCAAAAGTTTTTAATAATTTTTATACCTATATTAAAGCGCGCATAACCTACAAAATCAAGGAAAATATCAATTTGTATAAAAAAGAACTTAAAACTGTGAACTGGCTTACAATGTATTGAATTTTCAAATATTCATGAAATCAAAAATGACTAGTCATATTTTACACTTATTCCTGTTCCCATACCTAACACTGTAAACTAAAGTTATTGTTTACATAATAGACATAATTGTTATCACTAGTCTAATCTTTCTGGATGACAAGATTAAATATCTTATTTTTGTTGTATACAAAAAGTTTGATCATATATTTTTCATCGTTAATAATTTCATATAAAATAAACATATTCTCATTTACTCATAAATTATTTATTGTGCAATACTAGAGCAATAGTTATAATTATAATAATTCTATAAAGCGTTAGATACATATTGCTAAAATCGGATCAAGGTGTACTTACAACTCTTGTTCACGGCCAGCGACTGTTTCAATGCCGCGAAATTTCTCAGCATGACCAAACAAGACGTGAACCTCACACGGTTGCCCTACTAACACTAAACTCACACTGACAAAAGACAATAACATATTGAGTAATGACTCATGATTCATGAACCGATTGCAGATTGTAGCAAATTGAATTCCCCATTTTTTAAAGTTTAGTAAAAATCGGCTAAAATTGTAATTAAAAACTTGATTTACTACATTATTTAACTCGATAATATCAGATATTAAATAATATGTGTATGTACATATCACATTGAAAGTTATGCAACTTGCAAGCAAAGAAAATATTGTTTTTGTTTTAATTTTAAACAGTTCAAAATTTTCATATTCTTAATAGGTAGGTTCAAGGAGGTGGGGAGGAGGAGGTTTAAACAAAAATAAAAGTTGTAAATTAACTACACAAAAATGTAATTTAATTAATCTGATGGTCGCAATAACATTGAACTCGTCTTCGTATACATGTGTTCACGCCGCCGACTCTCTTCGTAATACTACAACATTCATAGATTGAATTTTATTAATACCTATTATTAAAATCGTATAAATAGTTTTGCAATTATATTGTAAAAGACATTAAAAGCAGCGGCGTGTTTTATAAAATATCCCACTGAATTTCTTTTATTTCTCATTTATATTTCTTTTTTTTTTAATTTTCGTATACTGTCTCAGATATATTGATTTAGAACACAAACTTATTACTAAAAAAAATATATCCAAACTATTCCTCGGCGGAACTATCAATACATGAAGCCAAAAAATATTACGATACGAGCAATGGATTTGATTTAAAAAAGACAAAAAATAAAAATCATTATAAAATAACTAACGTTAACTTATCAACTAAATACATGATAAAATAAAATCTTGTGCTACGAACATCATTAGCACCGCATAAAATATAATAATATACATAGTTTCAGTATTCACAACGGACGATGCATGACCGACTGTTGAGGAATAATGAAACGCTACTCTACTGGATACTCGCTGTTCAATAACAGCTGACTGCGGACCAGAGTCTAGTATATATTAAAATTGCACACTTCACTTCCACGCCTTGAAACAACAACTCGACACGGCAATATATACACGGTGATGTATTTAAAATATATTACTATTAAGAATAAAAAACGATGTAAAGCATCGTCATATAGATATTATCAGTTCCATACAATATTGTTTAGTTTTATATTTATTTCAGGCTACATGTATACTAGTAGTGAGTGTGTACTGAGACGGCCGGTCGACTGTTGTTCCACGTATGGCGCGATTCATCGAACACTATTCAGCATAACATAAAATGCTTACATATAAAAATTACACTACCTTCACTTACAGCTACCGTATATTTAGTCTCCATAGATTAGAGGTTATTCCGTGAACGCTAAGAAACGAGATCCCATCACACGATGTAGTATTAATACTGCCAAATAATAACTTTTGATAAAAAACACTGGACCAAAAGATACTTTCGTTAGCTGCCTTCTATATAACAGATCGTAACAAAATAGTGCATCGATACAAATAAATACTCTTCACTTTAATACAGAGGACCACACATGTTACAACACAAAGTAGAAAATGTGTAGGAATCGTGTAGACGAATAGAATAAGTAGTATACAAGGTTCTATATCTAAACGACGATCGCCCGGCGCCAGTAGTACGGAGACGGCACGTCCAAGGAAACAGCTCGGCCGCGTTACACCTTCACATACGAACATAATAACCTCGTTATAAGACTGAAGGTGATCAATACGACCCATAGATAGATATTAATGATTCTGTCATACTATGTACCTAAGGCGAGAGGTCCTGATGCATGGGGTCGTAGGACATGGAGGTGTCGTACGGTGGCTGGGGCTGGTCGTAGCCGGCCGCGGGCAGCGCGTACCCCATGGAGTCCTGCGTGGGCGCCGGAGACATCATGGGCGTGGCCGTCCCTGACGCGGCGCCCATCGAGTACGGCGACGCACCCGCTGCTGCAACAAATGTTATTAGACTACGTGCGCTGCTTACTGTACGTAACATAAGTGTCGCTATTGGTCGTTACGTATATATCAATTTAGTATATTGTTTTGTTCGTAGCGTTATAATCATAGTTGATAGTGGTACGTCTCTTGTTTAAGTGAAGCGGCAAGTGATATAAGCCTATGTATAAAGGGCAATGATTACTGTTGTATGAGGCGTGTCCGGCCGAAGGTGAGCGCGCATCGCGCCGGCCCGCGCCCGCCCAAGAGAGGTCTGTGTGCGGAAACACGCTAGTCACTACAGACACTATATACACGACTTCCGACACTACTCGCGGCACAACAAAATAATATTAAACAAGTGTAGCTTCACTCACCAGCGGCCTTCTTAGCGGCGTACAGATTCGCCTCCTCCTGCGCCTTCCCGATGTTCTTCTTGTAGCGAATACGTTTATTGCCGAACCAATTAGACACCTGTTGTCGACAGAGATAGTTTAGTATTATTGTAGGATGTACCAACGAATGTATAAACACATGTATGACGTTATATAACTTAACTATTCGTCGACACTTCATAGCCAGATTTAATAAAGCGTCAAATCTAACCAGTGAACGCATCAATACCAAGTGTATATATGACTGTTATCGTAAACACTATAATGTTGATCGGTGTCGCGCCACCTGCGCCACGGTGATCCCGCAGAGCCGCGCCAGCTCGGCCTTGACCTCCTCGCTGGGGTAGGGGTTGGCGAGGTGCGAGTAGAAGTAGTCGTTGAGCAGCTCCAGCGCCCTCTTGCTGAAGTTCCTCCGCTTGCGGCGCGAGTCCAGGAACCTGTGGACAGCGTGTGTGTGTGAGCCGTACCTGGGACACGGTGATGCCGCACTTGCGCGCCAGCTCCTCCTTGGCCTCCTCGCTGGGGTAGGGGTTGGACAGGTGCGAGTAGAAGTACTCGTTCAGGATCTCGGACGCCTGCTTGCTGAAGTTGCGCCGCTTTCTGCGCGCGTCCAGGAAACTGCAAGCGGGTCACACTATCAGTTTAGAGGCCGAGGTTGAGCTGGGCACACTATATTTACTATTTAAAGTGCGGCGACCAATTCTACATGTTTATTTATTTTAACAAGTAAAACGAGTCCACGCAACAATTATACACATACCGTGAACGCAGGATCATGACGGCCTCGCAGGTGGACTGCTTCAGCTGCATCTGAATGGAACTGAACTTCTTGTGTATGATCTGCACCATGCGCTCTATTTCCTGTTTCACAGTACATGATGTGAGGAAGCTACTCATAGACCGATTATGTATGAAAAATAGCCTGAATAGCTTTATATTCATCATACCTTGGGAGTGATAGGCCTGGTGCGGCTCTGTTCTCGTAACAGGTTCATGACGTGTGTGGTGAACTCGTTGCAGGCGTTCTCGTACTTGTCGAGTTCCTGGTGGTAGATCTGCCTGATCTGGGCCAGCTTCGCGCGGTAGTCCGAGTGCTCGATCGCGTTATCTGCTTGAGCCACACTGCCTTAAGTTGCAGCAAAGGGAAAGAAAAATAACATGCAACAACCAACCCCATGTATTGCCATTTCTATTACATAAAGCTCATTTTTATGTCTATGTTTTATCACTGTTTACTGCAAGCGACTATGACATGCTTTCTTTATAGTTAGAAAATTGTAAACATAATTCCCATACCCAAACCTATGTTTACTGCTTAAGAGAATCAAAATAATAGTAAAAACTAAAATGTAACAAATTAAAACTGAGCTTAAAAACATGATCCATCCAAACAAAATTTATTAAGGTAAATTATTAATGACAATGTTTCTCACACAAAACTCATGCAGATTTTTGAATCAATCTAAATTATAAATGATAAGTTCAAAAATAAACTAAATGTATATATAATGTAGCTTTCCAATACTACAAAATTTAATTACAATATCACAATTCTCATTTAAATATACAATTTTAAGTAGACATGTGAACTAATACTTGTTATGGATAATAAGTAAGTTAGTTATTTAATGTTTTTTATGATATCAAATTTATCAATCAATGAAATAATGTATGAATTTCTGGTAAGGTCTTTAGATACTTATAGAATCAGAGGGCTTGATTCAAGGTACATATGAATTGCAATTACTTGACGGACTAACAAAACTTTGTTACATGTAAAGAAAGCATAGTTCCCAAGTGCAGATTTCAGTCGTAATCATTAATTTTTTTAGGTGCTAAGAACATGCATCATAATATGCCAAAAGAAACATCTTGAATTATGATAATGCAGGCTCAAAAGAAAATTTATAGCAATTTTTGTTATTTAAAATCACCATGATAATATTGAATCACTTATTAAATCTAGCTAACATGTTAAAAACCACAAATAACCCACTACAATAAGATAAATATATAAAATAAAAAAAAAACAAAATTACAATCACCCCACTCTCCCGCGGCCGCTGATGCCGAGGCTGCAGCCCCAGCACCGCCACCTTTCTCAGGGCCCGCCACTCCTTCAGCAATCAGCATGTTGTCTAAACGCATGAGTTGAGGATCTGGGGGCTCCTCCTCTTGCGTGTTACGAAGAGACAACACTATGGAAATCAGAAACTACTTTAGCACAACGACAAAAATCAATTCGAATTTAACATATTACTTATCAATACCTACCTGTTTTTTCTTTAATTTCACACAACACAGAGAAAAGTGCAGGTTTCATTCTGTGGCAGTTCAGTGTATGTTTTCTTGCTTGAGCCTCATCGAGACTTTGATCGGTGATATTCATGATTTGTTGTAAAATTTCCCCGATGTCTTGTTTTCGGGCTTCGCCTTCACCAGTGGCGGGAGCCCCATCGCCGCCAGGAAGACCATAGCCTTGAGGTCCCATGAGACCACCGCTGTGCGCCATCATTCTATTCGGATCGTCCATTTTCCAACACTCAATTCAAAAACTCACAAAAATATTACACTAAAGACGTATACTGTTTTGTACGTTATTGTATTAGGCCTTTATAAGACAAAAATAATTCAAAAACTACTCTAAACTCTACTTGAGAAGCTTATGCTTCTCCCTCCGATCTTGAGCCAGCAATAAAATGGCCGACTTCTTTGTGCTGTCAAGATCTAAAATATTTGCAAAAGAAAACAAATAATTAAAATATTTCTCTCACGCTTCATCTCGTTTCAATTTGGGCTGTGATTTAGGGAGAGAAGGAGATGGAAAATAATATTGCCAGTATAAAACTAATAATAAGGCATACATTTTAAAGCAGTCGATAATTATTTTTTAAGGTTCCTAGGAGATATAAATTATTATGTTTAATTATATCATATCTACATATGCTCCCCAAATGAAATATGAAAGTTATAATAATATTAAAATAAAATGAAACAACGTAATTGTAATATTTAGTAGAAAAGTTCGTTTTTTTAAAAACTCAGGGTTTATGCAGAATTTCATTACTCTAGTTTTCCTTTTTAACATGGTTTAACAAAGAATAATAAACTAACTATCCTTAAAGTTTATTCCTTAAAAAAAGTTTAGAAATTCTTAGTTAAAACATGACATATGACAAGTGGATGCTGACATCAAAGTTTCATCATCTCCACGCGAGCAAGTGATTTAAGTTTAATTCAGGGTACATATTAGAAACCTTATGGTTAGATTATTTAAATGAAAATCATTTTAAATTTAGTTTATAAAGGTAGTCTCTTTAGTAAAAATCTTGCACCTATATTAACACAGTTAAAATTTTCGCATAATAAGCCGCACTGGGGTAGCAATAAACTTCATCGAAAAATTAAAATTCGCTCTCCACTACACGATATAATAATGGCTGATCCAAAAATAGAAGAAATTCTGGCTCCTCTGCGCTCTAGCGTCAAAGAACAAGGTGATCTGGTAAGACAATTAAAACAAGAGAAAGCACCGGAGATTGACATAAAGAAAGCCGTTGCCGAGTTAAAGGCTAGAAAGAAAATCTTAGAAGACAAAGAACTAAGTCTAACACCCGCTGAAGAACTATTTGATCGGGCTAAAATGGAGGATCTTATAAAGCGTCGATTTTTCTACGACCAGTCATTTGCTATTTATGGTGGGATTACCGGTCAATTTGATTTCGGTCCAATGGGCTGTGCTCTTAAAAGTAACATGATACAGTTATGGAGGAAGTTCTTTATATTGCAGGAACAAATGTTAGAAGTAGACTGTTCTATCTTAACACCTGAACCTGTATTAAAAGCATCAGGGCATGTAGAAAGGTTTGCTGATCTCATGACTAAAGATGTCAAAACTGGTGAATGTTTCCGATTGGATCATCTCATTAAAGCCCATTTGGAAAAAATAAAGAGTGAAAAGAATGCAAAACCTGAATTGAAAGCAGAAATAGAGGATATTCTTATTAAGCTTGATGGAATGAATGCTGATGAAATGTCAGCCTTGATGAAGAGATTTGATATGAAGTCACCTGTTAGTGGCAATGAATTGACTCCACCTATCGAATTCAATCTTATGTTTAACACTCAAATAGGACCCTCTGGCTTAGTAAAGGGTTTCCTGAGACCTGAAACAGCTCAAGGCATTTTTGTAAACTTTAAACGTCTTTTAGAATTTAATCAAGGCAGATTACCATTTGCTGCTGCACAGATTGGCAACTCCTTCAGAAATGAAATCTCACCAAGGTCTGGTCTTCTACGAGTAAGAGAATTCACAATGTGTGAAATTGAACATTTCTGTGACTCAAAAGATCACCCTAAGTTTGAATCCGTTAAAGACATACAAATGTTATTATACTCAGCAGATAGTCAAGAACAAGGGAAGCCCGCACAAATCATGAGTATTGGAGATGCAGTGTCCCAGGGCATTGTCAATAATGAGAGCTTGGGTTACTTCATGGCAAGAATTAATTTATATATGTTAGCTATTGGTATTGATCCAAAGAAACTAAGGTTCAGACAACACATGGGCAATGAAATGGCTCATTATGCTTGTGACTGCTGGGATGCAGAATGTTTGACCAGTTATGGCTGGGTGGAATGTGTAGGCTGTGCAGACAGATCGGCTTATGACTTAACTCAACACTCTAAAGCTACCGGCATAAGATTAGCTGCTGAGAAAAAACTACCAGCTCCCAAGCAAGTTGAAGTTGTAGAAGCCGTTGCTAATAAAGCTGCAATAGGAAAGGAATTTAAAAAAGATGCTAAAGTAATAAATGAAGCCTTAGCCTCTTTGGATACTGCAGCTCTTGAAGAGTTACAGAGTAAAATGGAAACTGATGGAGAGTACATCCTTGCTACTTCAGCTGGTGAGTTTAAACTAAACCCCAACCTGGTGAGTGTAAGGAAGAGTCAGAAGACTATTCATGTTGAAGAAATTATACCAAGTGTGATAGAACCATCCTTTGGTATTGGAAGAATTCTTTACAGTGTTCTAGAACACAACTTCAAGATGAGGGAAGGCGATGAGCAAAGGACATACTTCTCGCTACCAGCTTCAGTGGCCCCAATGAAGTGTGCCGTTCTACCCCTGAGTGGTAATTCTGAATTCACCCCATTTGTTAGAGAATTATCTCAGGATCTTACATCGGTAGATGTGTCTCATAAAGTTGATGACTCATCTGGTTCTATTGGTAGAAGATACGCCAGAACTGATGAGTTGGGTGTACCCTATGCAATTACTGTCGACTTTGACACTATGAAAGAACCTCACACTGTTACATTAAGAGAAAGAGATAGCATGGGACAAGTTCGCCTACCATTAGCTAATGTATCACTTATTGTGAGAGATCTTGCCAACAATAAAATTTCATGGTCAGATGTTGAAGAAAAATATCCTAAATTTGAACAACAAGAAAACGCCAAAGGCGCTGCTGCGTGAATTATGTCATTGACGCAATAGAAAACAGTACAATTATGTTAGCTCAACTGTTTCGTTGACGCAAATGAATATCACTCTTAATTGAAAATCGTATTTATTTTATTTAGCTTTAAGCTTGAATTGAGGAAAATAAAGTATTATATCTCACTTTGTATTTTTCCATGAATAATGATAATGTATTTTATACTTAAGTAGACATTTAACAGTTCAGATATCTTATAAATATTTGTGTCTTTTGAGATACTGTTCTAGAATTGAATATTCATTGCTTTATAGGTTATTACTTATGATTAATGAGTTGAGCTGAAAGGAATCTTACGTGTGTTCCAGTTTCATTGAATCAGATTTGTTTCTCCAATAAACAATTCATGATAAATTTATGTTTTAGCAATATGATTTTGTTGGAAATTTCTTTTCTTTTTTCTTCTTCTTTTCTTTCTTTTACATTAAGCTATCCCTTAACGTAGCTCAATAAATTGTCAATTAAAATAAAACCAAAATAACATTATCACTATTTTAATTAATAATTGTCAAATACAGAAATCGTAAAACAATTAGAGGTACAGATGTTGCATTATCTGTGGCGGCGGTCTCTCGAGCGTGACCTGTGTCGCGGTCGCTCGCGGGACCGATCACGCCGGTCTCGTGAACGTGATCGGTCGCGGTGACGTTCACGAACTCGATCACGATCCCGCCTGTCCTTATCGCGATCGCGATCTCGTTCACGATCCCTGTCTCTCTCACGCTCGCGATCCCTGTCGTCGCGTCTCACTGGTCTATCTTTTGAATATCTGGAATTGGAAATATGTACATTAGAAAATAAGTAGATTACTAAAAATAATTCATATAGATTATATTTACTTCTCAGCATCTCCATAATCGCGTCTGTCCCTATCGTCGTGCTCGCGGCGATCAGACTCCGTACGGCCGGTGTTGTAGTTCCCCGCACTACTAGCACTACTGTTATTACCGTTGCCTATACCCCCGCCCCGGTAGTTGGCGCCCTTGCTGGCATTGCTCTGTCTATTATGCTCTGCTAACCTGCATCATAAGATTGTCACACTAAATACAACGTCATAAACATTCGAAAATTCTACTCAAAATAGCCTCAATTACATTGAAGAACTCCAGAAGTCTTCAATCAGCATAGCTGCAGCCTTGAACATACAATCATTTGAGTGATTATGACAAGACACAATTCATGACCGAATTATTGAAATGCACGTACTTCTGTTCTATCTGCTTTTGGATGGGTACAGGTATCCTTGGGAACAGTGTGCTGAACCAGTCCAACTTGATAAGCATTTGTCTCACAAGAGCGCCTATGGTAGTAGAGCCTCCCCCTCCCGCTCGAGGGTCCACCTCTTCTTCATCATCCAGGTAATCCACATACCAGTCAAACAAGTCAGCGGGAGGCTGTGTGTACCGTATGTACATAAAACCTGAAATACATAGTTGTAGTACATTGCCATTATTAGCGCAATAGATGTTTGTAATATGTACATATAGTAAATAAATGTTGTCCTCTAAAAAAATGCAAAAGAATCTTATTTTCTGCACAACACTGGCAGAATTCAATGTGCACGGATGAAAGTCATATTTTAAACAACCAACTAAGATCTATTCAATACTTATTAAGTTATGATATTATTTTAATGCAACTTTTTCATTGGTCACAAACAAATAATTCCCCCATAGATTTAAATATGACCACTTAATTATTTACATAAACATATTGCCTTTAAGTCATACCTACCAAGTGCTCTAATGTATGGCGAGTCTGTGTGCTGCAAAAGGCCATTCACTTGCTTTCGAGTTAGCCGCAGGGTATATAGCTTGTAGAGAAGACAGAAGGCTGTAGAAACAATGCCCCCTGCACCTACCCCTCGGACCTAGAAGTAAAAAAAAATACACAAGGCTTATATACAATACATTAAACTGGGCAAGTTATAGATGATAAATGAAATTAATGGATTATTCACTGATATTTTTCAAAATTTAGAACTTAAACAATTCTAGTGTACTCGACTGTAAATATTATATGGTAAGTGTAGATATAAAGTAGTCACTGTCAATAACATACTCACGCCGCCACACATGCCCGTCTGGCCGGCAGTCTTCCGGCTCCCACGCTCCCAAGGCTCGAGGTGTTTCACCTGGTAGTAGATCTCGTCAACAACCTCGTGGTACGTCTTCAACTTGAACAGATGCACTGGAGACAATATCACACTTTACTAATACAATTATAAAAAGTTAACCGAAAGTAATGATCAAAGTAAAAACGAAATCAAGAATAACGGTTATATTTTATGCTCCTGTGCGATGTTTTGTTTGCTTACCTACCTTTGAAGTAGCTAGAACCTTGAATATTCGCTAATATTAAAGGATTCAGATTCATAGTCTGCTCATTACCCCATATTGGTAATATGTTATGCTGCTTGCTCGTTTTTCCTGGTTTCTGTTGATTGTAATCTGTAATACGGAATCCATTTAAGAGTTTGTATCATAAAGCGTCAGACATAATTAGGTTCACGTCATACCTTCAATTTCACTCATTTTTACTTAAAGTAATACTTATCGCATCAATTAAACTAATCGTAAATAACAATTCTTAAAATATGCCACCAAAACAGCTACTACTACAATTGAATTACGAAGAGCGTGCTTTCGTATATGCAAAATACATGACGTGCACAAACGACATTTTGAATAATGTTGCCAGGTATGCCATTTCAATTTTCAATTTCCAGCCAGTGAGTTAGACTTATACGATAAAGTATTTATTGTCGATTTGAATAGTGTTATAACATTTTAAATAATTTATTTCTTAATTTGTTACCTATTTTGTTAAAACTCAGAAACGATAATTTGATCCAATGTTGAAAATCATGGAGGTAATTGTATGTTTATATTTCTTTATATCAATATTTATGTGCAAATTAATGAATTGATCTGCCTATAGATTATATTGGTTGAGGTATTATTTAATAATAATTTAACTTAAAAGATTAACATTTACTTATATAAGTGTTCTCTACATTTTTAACAATTATATAACTCCTTCTTATATAGTTGTTAAAAATAAAGCCAATTATTTAGTCGTTAATTTCAACTTCCACAAATGAATTAAAAATTTAAGGAAACCCTATTCCTCTGCAAAATACTCGTTTTTAAGTTATTTCTAATATGTTTGTCTATTAGTTCTATAGTTTTTAGGTCACTTTGCAACGGAAACAAAAAACCGTCTCATTTTAAATCAGTATGGTAAATTATTGTTTTATATTCAATAGTTATCGACATATAAGGTACTACTCCGGTTTTGTTAATATATTGTTATTGTAAATTTTTTAAAAGGTGTCAACATAACTCAAGTTTATTTTCTTAATACTAGTCACGGCCGATCTTTAACATTAGGCCAATATGCATAGGGCTATCTGATGTTGTTTTCCATTCATTTAGGCATCTTCCCTTTTCAGCTTTTCTAGCAGAAGTTATATTTGAGTGAACAATAACACGTCTATGTAAAAGTTATATTATATATTCTTTTCAAACAATCCAACAATCTTTAAATTGAACTTATTAATCTTTCACACATTCATCCCTATCGTTATTTATTATTTTAGATATGTTATGCTTGACCCTCTATATATGTGTACTTTCCAATGCGTCATCTCCCTGTTTTCAAACTGTAGTCAAAATCTTGGTTTGATATTTGCTGGCAGCTCATAACTTTGGTAGGTTGTTTCACATATTGTAAAAATCTTTGTTGTGATTTTCACAACCTGTTATCTATTATATTATTCTTATCTTTATATTTTGCATCAACATTTTGGAAATTTAAATCAAAGTACATAATTAGAATTTGTGATTGTGGTTTAACTTTATGATTTACCAAATAATTTTGAACACCAATCAAAGCTTTAACATTAAGGTGGATAAAAAAGTTATTAAACACATTGAAAAAAAGTCTTACTGCATGGGCTTTTGGTTCTGAAGTTACTGTTGTCAAAAAGTATACCAGTTTTATTACTAGCACTTCAACTCAGTATTATATAGGATACAATTTAGGGAAGTTAAGGAAGTAGATGCTTAGGAACTGCATTATTTAAGTTCTCTTTTTACTGTAATAGAAAGACTAGATACATGGTGGCTGTCAATCCTATTGTTTGTCATATCCAAAAGAAGAGATATACCTCCTTCTTTCTCATGCATACTGTAAAGAATTTTGTAGTTTTTCCTGTGTTAAAAATGTATGTTTCATCAAGGCAAGAGTATATTAGATATTTCAAGGATAAGGAGTGAGTTGATTTTAAATCACTATCAGATGAAAAATATTGAAGCAGTCCATTCATGTAACAAGTGAAGGTAGTAAAATATGGACTCTGAAATTTTACATTAATATGTAGATATGAAAAGATAAAGTGTAGTTTTTCAACATATGTTTATTCTTATAATACATTATCAATAACTTAAAAAGAAAATCAATGAATCACTGGTAGTAGAGTTCCAAATTCATGCCGTCATGAATTTCATCTGATTTTATATTAAGGAAATGTATGATAACAGATTGAAAAAATATTATTTCAATTTGGAAACTATGAAAAATACATTCAAACTTCCACAGATTAAATTTAAATAAGCATTTAGGTCAACACAAAATTTTCTACACTTAAGCTAATATACATTTATAGTTTCCTTGCTTTTCTAAAATATTGTTTGTTGTTCAATATAATCACAAGACAATTTTTAAAAAGAAGCAAATAATTTAATTGCATAATGTTGTAATATTTCTGAAATACATATATCATTGTTTTTTATTGTTTCTTAATGGAACTAAATAGTTACAAAGAAGTAATAAAACAGGCATTAACTTCGCAATACACTTATTAATGGTAACATGGAGAAGCCTAAGTTTCTTAAATATAGTTTGTTTATTTTGTAAAGGATACAATCTGATAGCTTGATGTGATCTTTGAAGACTGTGTACCATTTCTTTAAAACAATCTTATCGTACCGTGTGCCAGTTTGGGCGGCTATAAGCTTCTTCAGATCACCCACGGTGTCATCTGGGTTGCATTTTACCCTTACTTTCTTTCCTAACCGATCGTTGCATGTTACTTCTAGCATATTCTATAAATACGTAGCTTGCGTCACTTTTTGAATGATATGCTGTAACAAAACTTTAAAACAATTTAATAAATATTAATTACTAAGCAAAGAAAAGTTTTCGTTATTATAAAGTTCAATATATCGAAAACTTAAAAGAAAAGATAGCGAGGTCTTAGTAGTTAGTACCGAGTCTTGACATGCGAATGGAGTTATCAGTTGACTTCTGAGATTTTGACTTTGACTGTTAACAAACAAAAATTGTTTAAAGTTGTGACACTATATAGAAAGAGTTTAATATCAGAAAGGCTACGAAATTAAAGTTACAATTTTAAATTATATATAATAAAACACACTGTTTTATTTTAATAATATTTTATTTACTAATGCTATCAAAGAAACAATATAATATATTTTAATGTTTTTAAAGCTAATGTCAAATTCGTATTTGACATTTCATTTGACAAAAGACAAATAAATATACTCCTTTTTTTAAATTTAAATGAAATAACATTGTTTAAAGTTTTTACATATACACAATTATAATTAATTATATAAGATAACATTATTAATTAATGCATTAAGTCGGAGCGGTAATGATTATTACGTAGAAAAAATTAAGTAATGGTTTTGAACAGGAAGTAGATCCAACTGTCTACACATCACTCGAAGACCGACAGCAAGTCTGACGACAGTGAAATTTTGTATAAGTGATAGTGTTAAGGGATTTGTGAGAAAATGCAAATTCCTAATGAATATATCTCAACGGCTGAAGACGTTGCAGATCAGGTATATTATTATATCCTTATAAATGTTTTTAAATATGTAAATTTGTCAAAAAGGTTTATTTAAGCACGTACTACACTGGTTTTGTCACGTCACCGAACTTGTAATTCTCGTTGGCGCTTCCAAAAGTATTTTTAATTTATCCGATTCATTGTTGATATTATTATCATCGCCGAAAAAATAAATGTAAAGTATTATACTGTACAAAATAAATAGTTGTGACATCAAGTTCGTAATGGAAACTTTTCTATTAAACTTTATCGTTAATGGGATTTTACTTATTATTTGCCTCATGAAATAATATAATCTAAGAATTCTCTGTTATCTTGTTGCAATATTATTAATTTTTAATTTAGAGTAAATATGAATATAATATGCTCAAGTTTAATTTACATCTACAAAAGTTCAATAAGCTCTTTACATGAATTTATAGGAACCATAAGTTTAATAATATATTACAGACTTACAATTAAAAATTTCCTTATTTCCATTTGTATCTCATTCAATACAAATATTATAATTTGCTCTAAGTAATTGATACATAATTATTAATACATTCTTGGAAATAATAATTAATAATGAGTTCCATTATGTCAAAAAAATTAAATACTTAATGAGCATACATAGTATAAATGTTTTAATATTTATTTATTCTGTTACTAGGTTATAAGAAAATGTAAGCATGTATTACCGACAGTAGCGAGGCTATGTCTTATATCCACATTTCTTGAAGATGGCCTTAGAATGTGGTTTCAATGGTCGGAACAGAGAGATTATATGGATATGTCTTGGGGCTGTGGGAAGTTCTTAGCAACAGTTTTTGTGGTAAGTTTAATTTAAATAATAAGGAAGATATATATAAATTTTGTTCACATTTTGTTTGAACTTAAAAATTATATGCTATAAGTTCAAGAGTATGTAATTATGATTAAAATATAAATTAATACACAATATAATTACAAGTTTATCTATATGTTATAAAATATATTTTTCTTATTTAGCATATTTATGTTAAACTAAGAAAGTGAAAGTGAAGTTTGGCTGAATATGTTTTTCATTATGACATATGACACTTGTCATTAAAACATATTTAAGTTGTCTATGGATTCACTCACTGTATAATATTATGTGATAATAATAATTTATTATTACAATCATATTAAAATACTTAATTTCTTGACCTGTCATTTATCAGTAAACATGTATTTATGATATAGTATATAAAATGTCTTATCAATCCTAACTGCTACATTAGAATAATGGAATATAATTTGAGGTCACTAACAAGTTTTTAATTACTGTAAAAACTTTATATGTATTTCTCTATCTATTTAATATTCAATGAATACATAAGATTTTAATTCTAAAGTAAATGAGTTAGTTTGGCTTTATACATACATACATACATACGGAGGTCTTTAAAAAATATGTATATAAAAACTTATACTAAATTATATATATTTATGAGATTCCTAAAGCCTAAATTAGAGAGTTTGTTTGGTTAAAATATGTTTTATTAACATACAAAATAATAATAATTCTTCATAATTTCGTCTTGGCCAAGTGAAAGTTTCACTTGTCCTTTCTATTCATGAAGTGGATCACATAACGCGCGGCGATAGTTGTAGCATACAAATTAGAAACATTTTTTTTTTTATAACAGTTTTATTTTTGATAATGCCTATTTTACTAATATTAATTTGTATAATTTATTTATTTTGCTGCTAATTATATAAAATATTATAAAATTATTTTATTTGTAATGTCCATTTATTTAGCATATTTAAATTTTATCAGATTATCTACATTTATTATATTTTTTTTAAACATGTCGCATTTATAGTGGCCTGCAACCAATAGTAAAACGTCACGTCGATAAAATTTTATGTAGTTTCGTAAATGTTCATATAATATTATTATAATAGATGCAATTCCACTGTGAATGACTTATCATAGTGTTAAAAATGTTACCAACAAAAAACTCATTAAATATAGGAAGAACAAATATTTTTTTATGTAAATGTACACTGTTCGTCTGTTTTTGTCTCTTAAATGTGTATTTATTCAATTTTAACTGGTTTGATGTACAAGGTTTAAGTCTAAAAAATACTTTGTAAATATTATATGTATTACGATTTTTTAATTGTAGTAATTGTACAGCGATACTGTGCATCCGTTTTATATTAGTGAACGTCTTTTGTGTGGGGCCTGTCCTCCATTTCTTTCCCCATCAATATAATTCTAGATCAATGATATACGAATTTAAAGAATCATGTTGTCACAAAATTCGTATGACATACTTTTATTTCATAATAAGATTATATATATAATTCAGTAGTAGAATTTTGGTGTAAAGAAAATAGATAAAATCCGTAAATATATAGAGAAATGTTGAAGTTAAAAGTTACATAATTGAATTAAAAACGTGTATTTCTTTCAGATAGTAAACTTAGTAGGTCAGCTAGGAGGATGCGTCATGGTGCTAGGACGACTGAAAGCTGACATAGCGTGCGGGATTCTGTTCTTCATTGTCGTTCTACAGGTATACATTATTTAATTTAGCCTCCTCGAGTGTGTAACCATCTTTAAGTGACTTCTCGAAGTTCGGAGAGCGTTCAACGGAAGTGAAAGTTTAAAAAAATTCCGTACGTCTCTTAAACAATGATAAAGGCATAATTGATTGTTATGTTTTGTTCAAACTTGGCACACAATCCTCGAATTATTTCTATATTTCCCAAATTCGGTCGCACATGTTTAATTAATTGCTCATTGTACATTCATAGCCAAATGCGCACTAAGTGTACACGAGTGATTATTAAAAATAATTGAAAGGGTTTACAAACTTTTTCTTGCCGAACTCTTTGGTCACTATAGTTTCATGTGTATTTCAGGGCCAGAAGAACAGAATGCTGCCGATTCTTAATTTATTAATTTAAACTGTCATTTTCTTTCCTTATCTTGTTTAAGTTAAAAACATGTGTGTAACTAATCACGTTATGCAATAATGTCGTGCTTTATCAATATTTTATCGACAATAAGTTATTTCCTTCAACAGTAGCGACGATAACTTAATTAATTTCTTAATACCATTCAATTAAGAATATAAGACGTGCTTCATGGTTGGCCTTTCGAAAATTATCAAAAACCGCACGTATTACGTTACATTGACGCTGGTTATCAAATGAGAACCGGTTATAACCGGTTCATTATGACATTAAAAATAATGCTATTTAAATATTATGATGAGTCATGTTGTCTAATGATGGTTTCAGACGTTCGCGTACAGCATACTATGGGACATGCAATTCCTGTTCCGTAACCTGGCCCTCATCGGAGCCCTGCTTTTGGTGCTGGCGGAGGCTCGGGCCGAGGGGCGCAGTCTTTTCGCCGGTGTACCTTCCTTAGGCGAGAATAAACCTAAGACATATTTACAGCTCGCTGGAAGAATACTTTTGGCGTTCATGTTCATAACGCTACTGCGGTTTGAGGTGTCGTTCTTACAGGTCAGTAGTATTAACTTTTCTATCGTATATTCGATGACTTCAAAAGGGGCTTGAATTTTTCAAATTAAATTATCAAACTGAAATTAGTAATCAGGTGTTCTTTATTTAAATTGGTTTATTTTTTTTATCTTAAATCAACCTGACATAAAACTTTGCAAAATATTAAAAAAATCTTTAATGTATAAAGCATTTCAGTAAACTTTCAATATCAATTTGTTATAATGTCATATAAAATTATATTAACATGAGTATAGTGTGGGTGTTGACATCCACTACATTATGCATGAAATATTTTAATTATTCATTAATAAATTATCACAATAAGTTCCAATAATTTGAATAAAATTAAGGTATATTTATTAAGTGATTCTTCTTCCTCAGATCGTCCAAGACTTGTTGGGTTCAGTGCTTATGATTCTGGTGACAGTCGGTTATCGTACCAAGCTGTCAGCATTACTTCTAGTTTTGGTGCTGTCGGTACTCAATCTGTACCACAATGCATGGTGGTCGGTGCCATCATACAAACCTCTCCGGGACTTCCTTAAATATGACTTCTTCCAGGTAATTAATAATCAAAAGTATATCTTAAAACACATTTTTTCTTCATTAAAGAATAATTTTTATATGTACACTAGCTTTCCGCCCGCAGCTTCGCCGCGTGGAGTTCGGTTATATCGCGTTTCCAAGAGAACCTTTCAAAAGTCTGGGATAAAAACTATCCTATGTTCTTTCTCAAGGTCAACTCTATCTCTGTACCGAATTTCATTAAAATCAGTTCAGTGGTTTAGGCGTGAAAGCGTAGCAGACAGACAGACAGACAGACAGACAGAGTTACTTTCGCATTTATAATATTAGTAGGGATTATGGAAACTAAACAAAATTACACTCAAATCCAAAAATTTTTTTTCTGAAAAGTCTTCATGTTCTTGTTTTTTATTTCAATACCGTCTTTAACTCCTGTTAACTCATTGACATATAATTTGACACAAAATATGTATGAACCATCATACAATTCTTCAATTGTATAATATTAAAATAATGTCGCTATTTTCAATATATTATTTATGTAGTAATTGACGGCTTATTATCACGAACATATAAAAAAAATACTGAAATTAATTTATGTAAATGAATTTTTCATTTTGCATATCTAAAATCATTTACATTTCACAATTGAAGGTGTTATGTTATTCATAGATTAAAATAGAAACATATTGAAATACAATTCTTTATTTAATTAAATATTTTATAAGTATGTATTATAAAAGCTTTAAAGCTTCTATGATTTTGATGAAATATTTTTTATATATGGTCAAAGTATGTATTGTATTTGATATTCATTCATATCATTATATCATTGTTTCAGACACTGTCAGTGATTGGAGGTCTTCTGATGATAGTCTACCTTGGTCCAGGAGGTGTTAGTATGGACGAGCACAAGAAGCGGTGGTAACACCAGCGATGGACATTACTGATGTGTTATATGTGTTGTAACTAGGTGACTGAACGGAACACTGGAATACCTTCTTAACATTAATTGGATACTATACCGATTTAATAGAGCCCTCTGTATGACATGTTGGCAGTACGTCAAGTGCCTTCTCATAGTACAGTAACAGTGATCATGTGTTAAAAAAAAAGTAATTGTGATTGGAATCATAAAATGTGTCTGAATATTAAATACTATATTGTTGTTGTAATGAATTTCTTGCACCTATGAGCTAGTAGTTATATCGATCAACTTTTCTATATCAATTGTAATTTGTTGAAGCTTCGCACAAATGTTTTATTTTTTTATTGTTGCAATAAGGTTTTCGGTTAGACTATGTTAAATCCATAATATCTTCTATAGCATGTTACTTTGCTAGTCTTTCTTAAGAATTTATGACTTTGCATATTTTATAGTTAGTTTTTTTTTTATAAATTCACATGTTATATATATTTGATTTAAATGTCTTCATAATATTATGCCAATATTGTACTTATCAAATGACATTATTCTGTGAAAGTTATCAAAATGGATGACTGTTATGACAATGGAACCATAGTTTCAAATACTTCTCTGTGTTGACATGATACACATTCCCCATTACCTCGGAATGTTTTTTTTTGTTTCGAAATTTGAATTCCTCTAAAATTTAAAACCCCCAAGGAGTTTAAATATCATCTTTGTTTCTCTGTCCTTTGTCATCATGTATGTATATTTGTCATCAGAAACTATATATGCCTGTTACATGAAATCACATTTATTAACAAAATTCGTTCTTCCAATGTCTAGCGATTTAAAGCGATCATTCCAATTAATGAAATATGTACGTACATACATGCCAGTATAAGATTGTACTTATCGACTGACCATTGGTATTATGTGGACCGTTTTTTTTATATATTCAATAACAACACGTGACGAGTGAGTGATTTCTTATATGACTTTCCTTAAAATTTTATTACTTTAAAATAATATAGGTATTTTAAAAGACAAAAAAAAAATAATAAAATATTTTTATAGTATTTTTATTTATTTCTATTATCCACTAGTGATGTTATCCGGATCTTTATTACATTTTTTTCAATATATAATTGATATTATCTTTTACTTTCTTCTAGCTTATTTTTGTCTGTTCGAGGACGTGAGGTTTGCCATGATGTTATGTTATTTTTAAGTCAGACAACATCTTTTATATAACATTTATTGTAAAATATTAAAAATAAACAAATTCAACAAACTACTTTATATTTTCTATGAGACTACTGTTTGGTTGCTTTCGCTTCCTTATCCTTATCTGATATATATTTAAAAACTTTATTCGCTAGCTGTCTATATTTTTCCGCGTGTATGCTGTCTGCCAGAGCGTATATAGCTGGTTTACCGCTGTTTATACATTCAGACATATTAGCGTCAACTTCAAAGCTCTCGATAATTTCAAGTCCCATTTGATCCGCCGATTGTTTAGTTTCGTTTCCGAACACATAGTTTTTGGTCCCGCACTTACTACACATGGCGTGCGACATGTTTTCGACGAGACCCACGATAGGTATTTTAAGTTTCTCGAACATGTTCACGCCTCTCTTCGTCACCTGCAGTGCTGCAGATTGAGGAGTAGTGACTACTATAGCACCTGGAACAAAAATAGAAATATGTTATAACTTATATAGGCGGATTCTATATAATTAACTACTAAATTTATGAGACCTTTCTAAAGATTTGTGTTGTTTATTAATAGAATTATTTTTAATCCTTCTTACTGATTTATCAACAAAAACTGGTGACTAGTTTCCTTATTATACAATTTCAAATCATAAGAAAAAGTAATACTTAGTTATGAAAATCTGCTTTAATTTCTTTATTAAATAGTTTTTACAATAATGAAACACGCGCAGTATAATCCGAAAAATATTAGTTTCATATAAATGAATACTCGCGAAAGCCTTATATCTCATAAAGATATTATATTAAGTGGAGGTATAAATTTCATACCATCAATCGGGAGATTCTGAGCGAGTGATAGATGAGTATCTCCGGTTCCGGGCGGTGTGTCCACTACGAGACAGTCGAGTGGACCCCAGGCCACGTGTCGAGTGAGCCGCTCCAACGCCTGCATCACCATCAACCCGCGCCACACGACTGCGTTTTCACCGGATACTAGCAACCCCATCGACATGCTTGAAATAGACAAAATTATCATTTTAATTCTCAAAGTAATACATAGCCTATTTAATGTCTACTTATTTAGCTGAAATTGACTTCTTAAGGCTACAAAAGCTCAAACAAGATGAAATTCCTCCCGATCATTGCATATTGTCGGTAACTATCAACTGATTACTTATAAGAGTTTTGTTGCAAAATGTAACAATCAAATGGTATATAATTATATATTTTATATTGTAATTAGATATTATATTTATATTAAAAACATATGTTTCCTTTCTATTATATCCATAACATCAATTATTTAAATAATCTAGTCTGTTTAATAAGGGATGATAAAAAGTTTTCCCTTAACATTTTAGTAGTATTAATTTGTAACATACATATTAAAAATCAATGAACATACCATTTAACACCATAATTTAATAGCGGTTCAATAAGGTTATCATCATTCAACATAGGCTCTCCAGTTATATTCATCATGAGAGGAACTGATGGCCCAAATACATCAGCATCTAGCAGACCTATTTCTTTGTCCGGCTCAATTACTTTCATTGCACATGCGAGATTCACTACAAAAAGATTATAGATTTTGTATAAATTATTTCGTTTCTATATCATACAAAACAGTTAAAGACCCTCGCTAAAGCTGGGAGTTTGCCATGAAGAAGAGAAGAAGATCATACGAAACAGTTAAAGATGTATTAATTTATGTATGACAAATAATTTCACTTAGCACCCACCAGCAGTGGTAGTTTTTCCCACTCCCCCCTTCCCAGAAGCTACGAGAATTATACTCTTAACTCCTGGAAGAGGCTTTTTTTCTGGCAGTCCTTTAGCCATAACTTTTGCTCTGTGTTCATTAATATCGCTTTTACTGCTGAACCATCTAATTGCACAGCAGCTGGGTTGGTTCTGTAAAAGATTTATGTACACATAAACAATATGTAAGAAATAGCCCTTAAAAAATGTCGTTTAATATTATAATAGTAGGCGTTAAGAAAAAATATATACAAACCACATTAAAATGTGAAAGAAAAAGACCGTGGACTCTCGGTATTACACGTTGAATATTCATTATATATAAAAAATCAGTTCTTAATAGTCAATACACTTTAATTGCTAATAAAATGGATCACTAGATCAGTAGATTCTCTTAATAATTCAACAATAATTAGACGATCTGCTTACTTCAAATACAATAACAGCTGATACTTGTCAAATGTAACAGACTGCGTCGAAAGCAAATTTTTACTTAGATATTTTAGTCGGTGATATTGTGACTACTTGCACTGGATTATGTTAATTATAAAATTAAATAATATTTTTACTAAAGTTATTTATTGCAGACATTGAAATGTATGAATTTCTTTTTATATAAAACACATGCAACTGCCTAAGCTAGTGCGAAAAAATTACAATAATTGATATCAAAACGCAACTGTCATGTGCGGTGTGAGTGATATTATTATATGTTCTAATAGTGCAAAAATTTCGAATTTGTATGTTGGTTTCTGTAGATAGAAGGAAAGTTGTATTTAAGTGAAAATGGCCATTTGTTTGCGCACATTTTCACATAAGATTTTGCCTATAAATGGCATCGTAACATCAACGAAACATTCAAACCGTCTAACCCGAAAAATACCCGAGCGAACACAATTTCTAGAAGATGTGAGTATTTTCCTAAATAGAATTATTATATTTTCATGGCTATGGTTATTAAATTTTTATCAATATGGGTTAAACTTTTCGGGACTATGATTATTTTTTCAATTTTGGTTAAATCCTCTGATTCTTTCGTCCGATATTACTAATCTCCGATAATCAATCAAACATTTTCAGTTCCTCAGTAGCAGACGCATATCTAGTTGTCAACTGGCACCGAAATATTCTTCGGAAAGCTACATCGATGATATTCATGTCCAAGAGGTTACAGTTGTCAATAGTTACCTAACTCGAAACTCGAACGAAAAGTCAAAACTAACCTTCATAGACAATACAGATGGAAGGAAAAATAATGATAATATAGAAAATTATTTCAACTACTACTCTGATGGTATGAAGACATTGGGTCTCACCAGTGACGATTATGTTGAACAGAGAACACTGTACAACTTAAATGAGCGGCCCTCCATTAGCATGAATGATGTTGATTTTTCAAAATATCATGGGGTAATTAACAAGTTTATTATAATTAGAATAGTATTAAACATACAGATGTATACACATGTTTTATGTGGCATTTTAAATAAACTCACCATTATATGTTTTTTATCAATTAATATGGTAATCTATAGTGTTAATTGACATTAATTATAGGATATAGAGCCAACATGCTTATCGGACTTTGAGAGGGATGCCATTGCGTTCTGTAGTGGGCCGACAGTAGCATCTCAGGCGACACCCCCTACAGAAGAGAAAACTATTGATGGAAAGCCTAGTGAGGAACAGTTGATGAAAGTCTTTCATTCACTTTCTAAGACTGTAAGTAAATTTTCATTTCTATTTCTCATCAATTGTGAAGTTTGGTAATTGTATTTGCTTTGTTAACTTTTCCGTCATATACTTTCAGATGCCACAACTGTTTGTGAAGCCGCTGGACTACTCTATCTATCATCCAAATCTTGTTTTCGTCAATAATATCAGAGGGGTGACTACAGTGTAAGTAAATTTATTAAAAGAAAAGATAAATTTACACATTTACAATATTTAGCTAATTAAGGCTTACAAACATGCTTTATAATATTGTGAAAAGGTATAGTATCAAAAGACCTCTTTTGTGAGGAACATTTAGTGTATATAAAGTTTTTGAATTTAATTATCATAGTTAAATTGTGTTATATGGAATAGCTATTAAAAGTTTGTTTCATAGAAGTTATATTCATGTGATATAAATCATTTTAATTATTATACTTCTTTCCAGAGGTTTATTTCACTATGTGAAACAAGTGGCGCTCCTCCGAACAGTAGCTCACATAAAATTTGCATATGTTAATTTTGAAGTATTAAAAATTACAGCACACCCAGAAGATTCTTCAGTACGGTAAATACTTTAATAATACATACATTTTTATTGATCCTTATTTCCTAGATCATAGAGTTCATTTGGCTTTCTAACAATTTCAGTATGAGATGGAGAATCAAGGGAATATCTGGTCTTAAAGTATTCTTTATGTTCTGGAAATACAAGTTGTGGAACCTTAAAGAGGTTTTTCAAGATCAAGAAATGTAAGTAGCCATTTTAAGATTGCTTAAAAATGTATGGTATAAAAATAATAAATTAATATCTAAGTTCTTAATTTTTTAAGGTGGTATGATGGATTTTCAACCTTCTATGTTGGTACAGACGGACTTATCCAGAAGCATGTGGCTGATAAGGCAAGTAATTCTGTAAAAAAAAATAATGGTTATTTATCAATTATTTATTGAGATTTATTTAATTAACAGAATTATTCATTAATTTCAGGTGATGCCGGACCAGGACAGGATAATAGATGATGAGGAGAAGGCTCCAATTGCGGCTAAAATTGCTCTTCTCATTGGTCTTATTCCTAGAAATTACTTATCAGATTTGACACCATTTTTATCTTCATCTGACTCAAATGAATGCACACCATTTTATAAAGTACTAGAATGATTTTAGAGTTGCACCAAATACCATGTTAGGTACCATGTGATATTATGATGCTAATGCGGTTCAGTTATTTTAAATCCAGTCATTGATATTAAAGTTTTTTCTTTTTATATTTATTTAACAATATTCTCATCGAAGCTATGCAATTCATGTTATGATTAGTCAAATAATACTAGATGGTTGTCGATCATCACTATTATGATTTACAGCTTGTAAAGTTAATTTTGATAATTGTAAAAATGCCTTGTAGTTTATAGACATGTTACGTACTTGGATACAATAAAGTTATGACATATTGTTTTGTTTTTATTTTGTACATTTAATTTCCATTTCACAATATCCTTTCTCAATGCTTTTAATCCATAATCAATAAAGGGAAAACAAAAAAGATGCATTCAAAAAGATACAGAATTATTTTTCATTTCGTTATTTGTTTTACTAGAATAAGGTAGTGTTTGGTTATTATCCAACTAGAAGGAGCTAGGTCGGTGGTGGCCTAGTAGTGAAAGGCCCGCCTCACATGCACGAGGGCGCGGGTTCGATCCTGGCAAATACCAATGTGATTTTTCGGAATCATATGAATGACAGACGGTGAAGAAAAACAGCGTGAGGAAACCTGGACTTATAATTTCACAATTATAAGTTTGAAATCAAAAAAACCGTCTTGAGCAAGCGTGATGATTAACGCTCAAACCTTTTCCATGTGAAAAGAGGCCTTTACTCAGAAGTGGGCTCTGATAGCTCGATGACGAGATGGAGAGTGCTACGTGTTATGAAATGCATCTCATACAAAAAATCTGTACCTATGTACAGTAATGTAACAAAGTATTTTATTAATATTTAATTTATGTCTTTTTCAAATTAAAAATGTTTACATTATGGCAACATTTATCCAAATCGACAATTGTTTGACTTACATTTTTTAATCTGTATTCAGTTTACTTCTGACTGGTGAATAGATGTGCCAATCTAGTAATTATTTGTTATAACCGTGGACGATACGTTTTATGTCAAAATTTATTTATTTCTCCTTTACCGCTGATAAGACAGTCTGTAAATATTTTCTATTAAGGAAAGTAACACTATTTATTTATAATTCAGATGACAAATATAATGTAATGAAAGTATTGTCTGCGAGTGTTGTGTTATTATGTATTTGATGTCATGACTACAGACTACGGTAAGTTTTATCTTAACATTCATTGTGAATGCATTACGGGGTCAATGTTCTTGATAAATTTAAAGATCAACAATTGTTTTAATTAACACTGGCTGTATGGGATACATCGTGAAGTACATAACGCTATGGACATTTGCCAAGTCGGTCATTTGTGTCGTAACAAATACTATAATTTTATCCTAACTGCATGACTTCTCCCTTAATAAAAAAGCTTCAAGTTCTTTTCTCCATAATTTCTAAGGATCGATTTAAGAATCATTCTCAATTTTCGTCCAATCATTTCGTATATATTATTTTTATTTCTAAAATTTTATAAGATTAAAAAAACAAGTTTAAATATGCGTACTATACGAGTTATTCTGAAATAACAGTTTTTAAATTTGTAAACAGATTTGCTTGTTTTATAATTCTTAGAATATTTGCAACAGGTATTCAAAACTTTTGAATTCCAATCATATTGTGTTGATGCTAATTAAATAACTCACTTTATAGACATAACTGTTACAGCCTACACTAAAAATATCTTTTGTTCTAGTTTCTGTAAAAGGAACAAGAGTTAACAACTGTATAGTTTATCAATATCTGATACAATTTGAATCAGTCTAAATTTCTATACATTTTATTTATTAAAAGTTTCCTAAAGTCTATGATAATGCCTCCTTGTGGCGGTCTTAATGTAGCCTAAACATGGGACAATAAGGGACTCATAAAATGGGGTCATTGTGTATGGGCATATGGGGTGATTTGTATTTTGTAATTTCATTTATTGGGAGTAAGTTATAGTGATATTTCAAAAATATTCGAGCTAAATAATAATTTATTGTTAAAGTAGACAAAATAAGTGGGAACCTGCATTTTAATCTGTTATAACATACTTTGTATTTTACCAACATTTTTGGTTGTTTAATAAATTGATTTTTACAAAGATCTTACAAACAATATCCAAATATGTATTTCTATTCAAATAATAATATTTGTTACAGGAGAATTAACATAAAGGAATCATTGAGACATAAGCCCTGTGACATAACAAGGGTATGGCTTAAGCAGTCTTAGTCTTAATCTACTCATGTTTCGTATCACTTACTGAGCTTCTTTCAACGAGTGACAACAGTGAAAGTGAGTCTTAAGTGATTATGTGAGTGAAGATGTCGAAGGTTTTGACGTCGCTGGGTGGTGCGTTACCGGACGAGAGGCCCCTCCTGTCTCTCCAGATCGTGGAGAGTCTAGCCAAGTGCCCTGCTGGTTATTGGGCTGTCAGTCGGACCTATGATGAGGATGCTGATGCAGGGCTTCTTAGACAGGCCGGCCTTTTTGGCAAGAAACCCAGCCATTACATTTGCTTGTCTAAATCAGAAGGTTAGTTTACGTAATTAATGTTAATTGAGCTTAAGTTGTCATTATTCATTAATGATAAGTATGTGGGAAAAATATTTTTATTCAACCGTAGAAGATCCAACGCAATGATTCACGTTTTTATTAAATTTCATTAAAGTCTTGTTTTCCTATATGTATAGTTTTTTCTCACTTAAGTTTATAAACTAGGACACGGGAAACGAAAGTTTTTGAATATCCATTAGCTTGTTATTTAGTTTCTATATCAGGATATATCAAAAATATTAATTAAGCCATGATAACATGTTCATATCTTGTGGCCATTAAATCTATAATCTGTGACGTATTAATGCATTAACTTGAACATGCTTTCAATTTGTTGTCTGTTGAACACGCGGGAAGTCTTCATTGTGAAGCTCACATCCTCATAATGACTCTCAGAGTAGATTCGGACCTCAATTTGTACATCAATACTGTAATTTATCGTAGAACACGTGCTAATATTATAATAATATTATGATTTAAAATTATGGCGGTTTGAAAAACGTGTCACTAATGACTCACGACTCCCTACAATATTCATCATACGACTGACTAATAAATTGACAGTCTTTTATATTTGACTAGCTTTCCGCCCGCAGCTTCGCCGCGTGGAGTTCGGTTATATCGCGTTTCCAAGAGAACCTTTCAAAAGTCTGGGATAAAAACTATCCTATGTTCTTTCTCAAGGTCAACTCTATCTCTGTACCGAATTTCATTAAAATCAGTTCAGTGGTTTAGGCGTGAAAGCGTAGCAGACAGACAGACAGACAGACAGACAGAGTCACTTTCGCATTTATAATATTAGTAGGGATTAGTAGGGATTGAAGAAATTAATACTTTTTTTACCACGAAAAAACACGAAATTTTATCAAATAAAATGATTTGTAATTGTTTCCTTCCTTTTACTACGTTTAAACAAAGTATCTGCTTGAGCTTTCTTTGTGAAGAGCGATTTTTTAGTTCTTATTATAAATAAAAGCGGAACTACGCTTTGAGTATTTTTTTTTCCGTCTGAGGTTTTAAGAAATACAATAAAGAGATCTAAGACTTTTGATAGTATTCATTTAAATGAAACTAATATTATTGTTTATTACTAACTAGCTTTTGCCGCGACTTCGTCCGCGTGGAATAGTGACTTAACCAACAACATATTTATTTGTTTGAATAAAGATTAATATTATTATGTTGATACAACTTAAACAAATTATTTTTACCAAATTAGGTACCTACCATAAAAACGATTTTTGTGAGTTAATCTTAAAAGATAGACATATACTGTCGCGGACTGTTTTTTAGATCATTAAAAGAGTTATTATTATTTAATACATATTTTTTGTGTATCTTGAACCGTTTTCACGGCGCACGCAACGGAAGGCTTCAAAGATGAAATAATTTCTCCCGTTTTTTACACATTTATCACTATATCTTTGCTCCTATTGGTCGTAGCGTGATGTTATACAGGGTGACTGGTGAATTACTATCAATATTTAAGGAGATTACTCGGTACATGATTCTCATTCGAATTATGTAAAAAAATAGGCACCAAATTTTTGACAAAATTTCTTTATAAATAAATAAAGTGTTGACACGTTCCAAGTGTGGACGCGTGCGGTGGCGTGCTGATACAACACCACGCCGCCGCACGCGTATGTGTGTGTGTGTGTACCTAATCTGTAGGGTGTTCACACGATGCGTAATTAATTACATAACTTTTGGTTAACTTTACTTAGAAGTTTATTAATATTTATGTTATATTAATTTTTATTTTGTCATATATGATCGTCAAATATCACGTCCTCAAATATCGATAGTAATTCACCAGTCACCCTGTATAGCCCACAGCCTTCCTCGATAACTGGACTATCCAACACAAAAAGAATTATTCAATTCGAACCAGTAGTTTCGGAGATTAGCGCTTTCAAACAAACAAACAAACAAACTCTTCAGCTTTATAATATTAGATTTGCGATAAAATACGCGTAGTAATCCGAATAATATTAGTTTCATTTAAGTACAATAAATTTATTTAGTCTCAACATCACATCTCTACATTTTAGTATACAATCAACAATGTCGCTATGAGTGTTCCATTTGTTTGTTTAATGCAGCTACTTAGATTAAATTACGCATACATTCTCGCTAATGTAGAAATAAACGTGTTTTTTAAATTCATTAATGTAGTAATTATAATTATGTAAGCGGGAAATGTAAATAAAATATCCATTACAATAATTAGGTAACTAAATCACCCCGTGAAATATAATGCCGGACTACGGAGTGTCGTGCAAGCGAGGGTGCACGTTACACGATATGTAGACATTGAACTATTATGACCTATGTACTATTATAGGTAATTTATATAAAATTCACTTATACATATATAAAACTTGATGTTATTACAAAGTTTTTTTTTTCACTTTTCCAGTGTGTATAGTAGAATTATTTTGTAGTTTGTTGATGCAAATCATTTTCAAGTAATGCATACTAACATTGTAAATGTCACAGTAATATCGTTGGCCTGTTCGCTAACCTTGAATGGCCGATTCTGTGATTAGGTTTTAATTAAGTTTGTTAGTGGTATTTAGAAGATCAACAACTAAAATCAATTTACACTCTGGTCGAACAATGGGCAAAAACTCACAAAAGATTACTTTAATATGATTAAATTAAAACTATTACCATTGTCGAGCTTGAGATTGTATTGTACATAATTATCCATTGCTTCAACAATCGCCCTAGACTTTCCTATTGTGAGTGTAATCTCTTGAAAACCATTATGTAGGTTCCCACGTATGTATTATATAATTGTCGTGTTATTTTAACTCGACCAGTTTATCTGTCTGGATGTCTGTGCTGTTTGATCAGGGCTCCTTAATGTGTCTTAACGAAAGTGAATGACGCAATCAGAAGCGGGAACTTTTATTAAAATGGAGGGCAAATTACATCGGCACGGAGACTTTATTATTGTTTCTTATTCTTAATGTAAAGTATTAAAACGAGTTATATGTTTCTAACGCTATGGTGTGATTCATGCCATTTGTTTTAAAAATAATTTATAAGATTATAGAAGAATGATCTCATAATAAAAATATTTAACATAATATTTTTAATATCGATAAAAGTATTTTTCCTTTTGACATATTTGCAATAATCATGTATTGTAATTCGGGTTTTCCTAGAAAATGTTTAATAGTTATCTACCGAGATAACGTTACACCAGTAGAATAATATTACACACAATTATAAATTAATAAACAACCGAGGGAAAATTATTTCTATTATACTATTATAATAATCTTAAAAAAATACAATCAAATTATGAACCTTCTCCTTTTTGAAGTTGGTTAATTCAAAAGATAATTAATAAATTATACGTTTTTACAATATACATATAATTCTTAATAGATAATAAAAAAATTGTGAAAATTTTTGTAAATATAACTGATTTGGTTTATTCTTTATATAAATTTGAACAATTTTTTCTAACACTTTTAATGGCTATTCGCTCTTTTAATATACGATTTATCTAATGTGACCTATCATTTAGGCAAAGATAAATATATTTATAATAAGCTATGAACAACTTACGTATGATAGTTTTTGACATAAATAGCACAAAGTTCTTTGAAATATTTACAAGTAGCCAAGATTAAATTCTAGTTTTCGTAACAGATTTTTGTTATTTTATGTATTTTTTTCTATATACATATTATTTCTTAATATTACATTTAAATATACTAACTAAACTATCTTTATAACTTAGGTAGATTTTTCAAATACTGATGAAAGAAAAGATCTAAAAGTCCTTGACCCTCGTTAAAAGAATAGTCGAAAGTTATAATGACTCAAACCCGACAATTCTAAGTAGAAATTTAAATTGAACAAATGAGTCTGAAGCAGTCCATGTTCATTTAATCGGGTTGAAAAGAAAATGTCTTCGACTAGCTTATTTTTTGTTTTTATATCTCGGTTATTTAAGTTTTATTCATATTTTAAATTCGATATATTTTTAATTTTAAATAAGCGTTACAAATAGACAATAGTTAGTTGTCTGATAGTATTAAATAGATTTGTTAAGGAAATTAAATGTCACGGTTGATGTTCCACAGTCAAAAGATTTGTGTTCAGTGTCTAATTAATAAAGAACAGACTCTAACTGTACTTAAATACTTGCCACTGGCCAGTATTAGAGCTGATTCATACGATGTTAACAAACTAGGAAACGTATTGTCTTTTGTTTATTTACGCTTATCATGCACTTTTATTCTCTCCCAAAAAAAATTCTTAAGTTATTTAAACTATTGGCAGTTTGTCTATATGTGGTAATTATTTGTTAATGGAATGCATGCTTGATGTTTCTATACAAATACAAAAAAAAAACACAAATAAGAAACATTGATTGGATCTGTTGTTACGTTCGGAGTGACCTTCAGGTGTCTCAGATATTGTGACAGTCGACTGATTTAATTCACACAATAAGATTGAAAAGAATTGCAATAGATACATTTAGTTTGTCCTTCATCAATAGACAAGAGAGTACCTATGGTTCGTTCCTACGAAATCCTAATGAAAGTCATTTTTCTTCATTTCGTAAGAATTATTATTAATTTAATTAATGAAAAATGGTACATAGTTTACGGAATATATAATAAATACATGTTAAACTGATGCCATTAGTAACATATTGGCCTCTAGTTCTGCCATGCACGTTTCAATGTGATTTACTACGAGTGGCCTGTAATGCGACATACGATATATAAATGGAATTTTACTGAAAAACGTTTTTACGTATCGCCCTATAATCAAGGAATATCTGTTATGTTTCTTTATTTATATTTTTGGAGTTTACCTATTAGAGCCATAAATCTCCGTGTTTTGAAGTGCGACGGAATGATTGACATATTAGTTAGTTGTCAAATCTAATGTCAAAAAAAAAACGTTTGTATCAACAAATACTAATAAATTAAAAATTAATTAAAAAACATTGTCCAACGAACAAAACTGTGAATCTAAACCATTCCCAGATCCCCTTGAACACATACAAAAAATTTCATCAAAATCGGTCCTGTCGTTTGAGAGAAGTTCAGTGACATACACACTCACAGAAGAATTATATCTATAAAGATTATTATAGTTTATAATATGGTCCTCACATCATTTCAGGTGTTCCTGGGTACGTGATGGACGGGGTGCTAGTACTAGGGGAGCGAGAGGCTACGCCCGCGGGGTACAGCGTGGCGGGGAGGCTCGGCAAGCGGCGGCTGTGCACGCACGTGTCCCGAGCCCCGGCCTCCGCCCCCGCCGCCGCCGCAGCCCTCGTCACTGACGTCATCGTCTGCTCCAAGATGAGGAGCGCACCCAGGGGATTCGTGCTAGCTGGGTGTGTACACGTAAACTATGAACTCTTCCACTTTTACTCACTCGTTTATTTACTTTTCTTTTTTTTATTATGTGAAAGGTGGCAAACGAGCAGACGGCCTACTTGATGGTAGGTAGTTACCGTCGCCCATGGACATCCGCAACATCTTTGTTACGGATGCTTTGCCAACCTTTTTTCATTAGGTAGGGGTTGGAATAAGTAAATGGTAGGAAAGGGTTTGAATAGGGAAAGGGCTCAGGGAAAAAAATTTCTTTACTTGATATGTTAAGTAGAGTTTTTAATTGAGTTTTTTATGTGTTTTTCAGTGAGATCAACGGCAAAGTAGTCTGCTATAAGGTGAGCGGCGGCAGCGCGGACGTGTCCCCCACACACGCGCCCGCTGACTACGAGAACGTCGTGTCTAACGTGACGCCTGAAGCAGTTAGAAGGTGACATTCGGAATATCCCATACATACATACATTAGCTCTACTTCACATATAAAACTACCTCAAACAAGTCATATTGAATAATAGTTTGTCATAATCACTTTTTCAGTTCGTTGTCCGTTAAATTTTACGAACATTTCAAACAACGCTGGAACGGCTGCACCGGGTATTGGTTTATATTCGATCTATTGGAAAGCATGGTTTTGAAACTTTATTGGCTTTTAACAAATAATATTACGGTCGTTTGGTATGAAGGTTTTACAAATATAAAACAACATGGAAGGGGCCGTCCATATAATACGTCATTCTAAATTAGGGAGGGGGGGGGGGTTGGTCTGCGGATGACGGTAAATGATAGATAGGGGGGGGGGCGTTTCGAAATTGACGTCATTCTTGTTTATTTATTTATAGTTTATTGTTCACGTACAAAAAGATGATTTCTAAAAAGAATTTTCTTCCAGCACACCTAGTAAGTGAGACTGCAAATTTGAAAGGCGGCTGAAACGCGTACAATACTAAAATAACTCATAATAAACATACATAATGCAGCATAGATGTACACAAATACAGTAATAACTACAGATAAAATACTCTAACAATAATATTACATATAATACTAGCTGCCCGACCCGGCTTCGTCCGTGGTACTTACATGCATTATACATATAAACCTTCCTTAAGAAACACTCTATCTATTAAAAAAAACTGCATCAAAATCCGTTGCGTAGTTTTAAAGATCTAAGCATACATAGGGACAGACAGCGAAAGCGACTTTGTTTTATACTATGTATTGATATTAAACACAATACTTAAATAATAATTACAACATTACACGATTAATAAAAGTACATAAATACTATACTTATACTTAAATACGTTTCATACTAAGGGAGGATAGTGTTCTTGTGATATTTTGCTAGTATTTAATGGTATTAATTATTGTACTCATAATTTATTTATTTATTTATTACAAGGTCAAGGCATGTCTACATTATTTTTAAAACTATAAATAACATCGCACCTATGAAAATAGTTCGTATGCGACACTGTGTTTAATCATATAATACCCTATTTTTCTCAAACCTGCAATGTTTTAATTTTGTCAAACTGGTAATGACGTCAATTTTGGGAGAAGGGGGGGGGGGCATTAAGATATGACAATAGGATGATTGTAGGGGGGGGGGGTCTAAAATCTGAAAAAAATCGATGACGTAATTTATGGATGGCCCCGAAGAGATACGCTTTAATTGCTCAAACATGATGGAGGTAGGGAGAGTACGGTCGGGGAGTTTGGACAGCTTGCTGAGTTGTGTTAAAGACTTTCTTATAAGTGTGTTCCGAGATTTATTTTGCGTTTGAACTTCTCAAATGTTTTCTTTATAGTTCGGTTCTCTTTATTTCTCATTTCTTTGTTGTCAGACTACGCGCTGCTCCCGAGCGACCTCCCAAGCTGGCTCCCCTCGTGTCAGACATCAACAACTTGAACCTCAAGTCTCCGGACGAGTTCACGACCGACCACGACTACGAGGCGTTGAGTCCATCGTACAACGTGAAGCCTGTCCGACCCGCGCCTCGCCCGCCCTCGGCGAAGTCCCCAGTCCCTCAGGGAAGCCCTACGCCCGCGTCCCCAGCCGGCGCCGGCCGGAGGAAGGGTCCCGCCCCCCTCCCCAAGACCCTCAACTATCACACCCTGGGCGGCTACAACGGCATGGAGGGCGTCCCATTCGTACTCAACCCCAAATTACGCGGCTTACCCAGTGATACATTGGTGAGGATTAATAAAATACTCATTTATTATTATATAACGCTATAATTAATTAGTACATCCTAAATTTATGAATTTAAAACAACTTTATATATGTATACAATTCCTGCATTCTAATAGGAAAAAATATTAATAAATCTGTATACATACCTACTCTAAATTGTCATTTATGAAACAAGTCAGTACGTGTAGCACCCGTCGACCTAGCTTACTAGTTCTCCCAAACACTAGGACAAAATTTGCAAAAAAGGATATTACAGCTGAGGGAGCACAACTTTACAACAAATTACCGTCTGATATAAGAAATGCAAGCTCAATTAACGAATTTAAATCTCAACTTTCACAACATATTTTAGAAAATAATTGATATACCAACGATGTAACACACTTGTAATAATATCTTACTATCTTTAATTGAGTTCCAAATAATCTGGCGACTACTTTTGTATTTTCACTTTTGTATATATGTTCTCATGAAAGTGACTGTCTTTTTGAGAATAAATTCTTTAAACCTAAATGTTAATTTAATCCAGACCCAGCTGCCGGAGATCAAGCAGAGGACTCGCTTCGAGCTCGATCGTGACTACTCCTACAGCTTCGCGGTGGAGCGACAGACGTGATGACGTCACACGCCCCCCCCACTCGTCTATATCATTATATAATATATAAACACACTCTGTTAGGAATACATACATAACTGTTCGTTGAAGACTGCTGGTCGCGGCACAAAGTTGTTTTAGTTATTATTATTATTTTTTCGTATACAATTATTATATGGTTCGTGATCGAATAGTTTATACACGTGGACAGCCAGAGCGAGGGTTCTCGATTAATTAATATTAATATAGAATGTTCAGTTACATATCGTGGAGGAGTTGTGATGACGGAGCGCGGACTAAGACTGATGTACAATGAAGGGAACAAGGGTATATATAGATACAGAGGGAGGAGTTGGGAGTAGAGGGATGTACGACTCGAGGGAATTAATTATCTTATATTAAATAATATATACAAAGACCACGGCTTACTCGTGTGTCGGACTCAGAAGCCCATTCGAGTATCTTCAATTCAGAATGTGCTTGCCATGACTAAGTAGCTCATTCGTTTAAGTTACTGACTAAATTAATATATATTTTTTTAATAAGGGACGCTAAGTTCTGTTCTCTGTGAGATGTGTCTGTTGCCACGTCCCCGCTCGTCAGCGGTGTCGACTTCCATAGTGCCAATATAGTTTTGTACAAACGAATGATCCGTTACCGATGCGCGTGCGCAGTTAGCGTGCCTAGTCAAAATAAGCGGCCAATTAATAACACGGTTGTTAGTAAATTAGTATTTATGAATCGTTCGTTCTCTGTTCACTGCCCGCTTCGTTCCAGTACTTTTTTTACATAATGTAACAGTAATCTCGACGCGTACTGTTTGTTGCTGTACCTTATCTACATGTTATACGTATTTTTTAATTATTTTGTTAATCTGAATGTACCTTCTACTGTATGTAACTAGGCAAAATATTATTTTACCGCTAGGATAGTATTAATTTTATCACTGGTTCTATTATTGAGTCCCTGTTGACTCACTCAATGTATTTTGTTTTATCTTATATAATGTGGTACATACTCATTATGTCCTCAGCATAATTTATTATTTTTATCTGAAGGTTATATTAATTATATGGAACTGATGTTTAACCCTTTTTATCATCTTGACAAAAAGTATATAATAGCAAATGAAATTAATGTCACGACTCATTTTTATTAATAATTATTATGACTTCTGTAAATATTATTTTAATGCAATAATACTAGTGAATACGCCTTTATAACTAGATAATGTATTGATTCCGTTTTGAGAATAACGAAGAAATAAATTATTGACATTCTTGTGTGGTTTTATTTTTATTTCAATGAAATTAAATAAGAAAACAAACGAACATTTATTAAAACTTTAATTACGAATTTCAAGTAATGATTGCAGCTATCGTAAGTGAACGTTCGGTAACGACATATAACTATATACAAACGAAGAATTGTACTTAAACAAGAAACATTAGGAATAATAATACGTGGCAGACCTCGAACTCAGAGGAACGAAACGTCTACACACGAGAGGCGAGTAATATGGTTAGTTGACAAATAGAAAATGTGTGATCTCAAACAATCGTGGACATCAATCAAATTAATGCGCGATCCTTGATGTTATGAAGGAAATATAATACAATAGTACGGAGAATTTATGATACAATCAGTCCTCGCCCAGAGACGAGACGCGACAGTCTTCAGTGTGTGGAGGGCGGCTTCATCTGCTTCTGTTGTTCCAGGAGACGCTCCAGAGGAGACCCGCCCGGACCTGACCACAGGGACTGGAGCGAGGGAAAAAGACAGTTAATAGATATAATGAACTTAAAATTAGACCGTTACTGGTTATGTAGTTTGATATTTGAGAACTTTTTTTAATAAAGTACCTGATGTGTGGAGGGCGGCCAGGCGTGCGCGTCCTGTCTGAACAACGAGTACGTGTTGGATACACCGCCCGACACCGCAGCCCCCGCCTCCGACTGAGCGCCCTGATACATACACACACTTATGTTACATGAGAACTATACACAGCAGTAGCAACATGCTCTGTTGGTTGTCATTTGGTACTATAATATCTACCCCCAGGTTCTGTTCTACCAATATTAAATTATTTTGTACCATGGAAATATATGAGTAAATTAATGTACAAATTTATAATAATGAGATACTTCGATATCTATCTGACTCACCGCCACGTCTTCCAATGTGTCGTTAGTTCCGTCGTTAGTGAACGGCTCGTTATAGTTCACGTGTTGTACGTCGAGCACGTTGCTGCCGAAGCCGACTCCTGGCTCCGAGTCCTTCCCGTGGTAGTTCTGTTTGTTGAGCTGTAGCGGCTGGTAGCCGAGTTTGTTGAACTGAGGGTATAAGGACGAGTCGTAGCTAACGGCGGCCGGGTACGGGCTGAAGCTGTTCACGGCCGAGCTGTACCCGGGAGACGACACCAAGCCCAGGGGCTGTACCTGCGGCTGACCGACCGCTGATTGACCGAACGACGGCGCCAAACTATCCTGCTTATTTCGTCCTATATTTGACATGTTCTGGCCCACATTTTGCATGTTTTGGCCAATGTTCTGGCCTTGCATCTGGTTGTATTGTAGATTTGGATAAATATTGGGCACGTTCCCGGACATTTGAGAATAGAAGTTCGGTATATTCATGGGTGTGGTGGAGAAGTTCGGCTGGTTGAAGTTCGTGCGGGTGTCGGGTTTCCACCAGGGCATGCCCTGCTGGAAGTTGTCGTTCGTGCTCGGCCAGTTCTGTCTGGGAGGTTGTGCGGTGAAGGGCGCGGTGAGCTTGTTGCTGTCGTCGCGGAACTTGTTATCGTTGAATGTGTTCTCGTGCGGACTCTGCCAGTATCGGTACTGGTTCGCGAACCTCGGCGGCAGGTCGTTAAGGAAGTTCTTTTTGTCGCCAGATATTTGGTATCCGTGATTGAATTTATTGGCCTCCTGGAATATTTCCTGGCGAGAGTTCTGTTTCTGTAGCGCCGCCGTCCTCACGTCGATCTCCTTGGGGTTCACAACAGGCAGTCTGATCCCCTGTGTGTTGGAGGGCGCCTGGTAGTTGGGGTTGTAACTTATTCCGCTGTTTTGTATTCCGTAATTCTTTTGGAAGTTCATCTTATTATTGTCGCTGTACGGCGCCGTCATCGTCGGCCAGTTGGTGCCTTGATCCCGTTGATGATAATTCTGCGAGACGGAACTGTTTTGGGCTGACTTCTCTTCGCTCTTTTCTTCCTGTTCCGATTTCTTCGTTTCCGTTTCCGTATTCTGGAGGTGCGGATATCCGGCCGATTTGTCTTTCAACGAGAGGATTCCCCCCGTTTTTCTTCCCACCGGTAAATTTGCTAATGACTTAATGGCCTTCGGTTGAATGACTTTTGTTTTCTCATCTTTCGATGCACTCTCGCTTGCTTCATCTGTAGTCTCCGGTGTGGGGGGTGGAGTTACAAATTTAACCTAGAAAAAAAATATTTGTTTTATAAAATATTTTCTCCATACTTATAAAGTAGCTTTAATATTTACTGTAAGTATCGTCACCTGTTTGTTAGTCTCCTCCTGTTTCCTCATAATAGCCGCCATAGCTATGTTTACTCTCGGTTTCCGCGCCTCCTTCTTGTCCTCACTCTTACTTCCCTCCTCACACTCCTCGCCGTCCTGATCCTATATAATGACGACTTTTATGTAACTCAAGTCCTTAAATGATTAATAGTTGTGAGATAGTTACAGTTATGGTATTGAAGAAGATTATTTGTATCTTCGTCTTAGAAGATTATTTGTATATATTCCGCTCACAGCTTCGCCCACGTGGAGTTCGTTTATATCGCGTTTTCAAGAGAACCTTTCAAGTCTGGGATAAAACTATCCTATGTTCTTTCTCAAGGTCAACTCTATGTCTGTACCAAATTTCATTAAAATCAGTTCAGTGGTTTAGGCGTGAAAGCGTAACAGACAGATAGAGTTACTTTCGCATTTATAATGTTAGTAGGGATGATGTCTTTCTATTTATTTTTTTGTCTCGTATCTTTCATATTTCGTGTATTTTTGTTTGTTTACAGTTTCCCTATGGTGATATTTCTTATATAATAACACTATACGTTACCTCAGCGGCGGGCGCGGCTCGTCTCTCCTCCCTCGCTCGCTCCAGAGACCCCTGCGGCTTGAGGATGCCCGCTCGTTTTTCTCGTACTGTTGGATAATATTCTATTAATATCAACATATACTTTGATTATAATGAATAATTGGTATATATAATTAATAACGGCGACCTAACGTCGTGCGGATGTCTGTTTTCTCTCCAGAGGTAAAAGAAAAGAGATTAAGAAATATTATATAATGAACTTTCTTATTATTGGTAAGTGGGAGTTGCAAACACGCTAACTGGTGGTTTTATCTTGAACTACCGAAAACGGGACGGCTGATGAATGTCATATGCAAACAGTTTGTAAACAAATCCGTTTCTTAAGTATTATTAATTATCAATTATTTTTTTAAGTGATTCAAAACACGTTGAGTTCTACTAATAAAACCAAAATGTTTCTATCAATGTGTGAAGTCTTGGATCATTTAGAGGCTACAACAAGAAGCCGATGTTTTATTGTAGGCGAACAAGCGGTGAATTGCAATCATTTAATTTACACTGGAAAGGAAAGTGATGAACTGCATCCCTAACTTTTTTCTTGGTTAATTGGGGTGTTTTGTCCGTGCAAGGCAAATAACATGACGGAATAGCATTTTGTTTTAATCTTTGTTTGCCTTTGGAACCCACAGCTAAATAACAAAGAGATTTTTAATTTTTTTTTTATAAATATAAAAGTTTCTCAACAAAAATAATCACCTGTTGAAAAATAATCTGACTTCTTAAAATGTAAAGAATAAACTTGCATGTGATCAGTAATTTTTAAACACACATTTTTTTACTAGCCACTTTTTCTTTTTGACCAAACGCATTTGTAATTTTAACGAAATTATTTATTTTAGGAAATAAATGAAACCGGACATCAAAGTCTCGACAAACTCTTACATCCATAAACACAGCAATAAGCTTTACTTTATGTTTCTTTTGAATCAAAACGTACACCTGAATCATCACTTTATTTTCCATTTCAACTTTAATTTTTTATTCAACTACAATTATAAAAAAAATAAATAATTGCGTATTAATTTTCACTATAACAATATAAACACCAATAGTTTTTTGACAGCTGACCCGTTTACTGTAATCACCAGGCGGCAGTAATTGTACTTACCACTTTCCTATATACAGGGTGACTGGTGAATTACTATCGATACTCGAGGACGTGATATTTGACGATCATATATGACAAAATAAAAATTAATATAACATAAATATTAATAAACTTCTAAGTAAAGTTAACCAAAAGTTGTGTAATTAATTACGCATCGTGTGAACACCCTACAGATTAGGTATACACACACACACACACTCGCGCGCGGCGGCGTGTTGTTGTATCAGCACGCCGCCGGACGCGTCCACACTAGGAACACTTGGAACGTGTACACACTTTATTTATGTATACGGAAATTTGGTCAAAATTTAAGTACCAATTTTTTTTACGTAATTCGAATGAGAATCATGTACCGAGTATTCTCCTTAAATATTGATAGTAATTCACCAGTCACCCTGTATAATAAAACCCTTAGTTATTCTGATGTAAAATTTCTGACTTCTTAAGTTCGGTTTTTACAGTTTTTGCATGTAAGAAAAACAAATATACCTAATTCAAAGCCTCCATCTTTATAATATATTTGAGAAATAGCTTTACGAGATAAGTAAGGTTTACCTTTCTCTCGAAAGTCAGCCTCCGATATGATGAGTGGTGGTGGTGGGGGTACGGGGGGTGGAGCCTGAGGCTCGGTGGGCGGGGCTGAGGGCGGTGTCAGCGTCGCCAACACCAAGGACAGCTGTTCCTTACTGGACTCGCTCGTAGAAAATGACATCACCCCGTCTTCGTCACTGAAAATTAAAATATACTGACTCATACACAACAAAATTACAATGAATTTCACTTGTGAATTACATTTACAATTGTTTCGCTAAGAAAAACTTTATAAACATCGCTTACAATTCACAATTGACACTTCCTTACTCTCGTTCCGTCCCTTTCTACTCCCTCTTCCAAGAAGCGTTAAACGTTTAACGCAACCTTGATGAAAGTTGCATAAGAAGTTTCACTAACAACTACAATAGCCGTCGAATCTTACGAGGAGTACATTTTTTACTACTCACTACTACTACGGTCTTTACCTCTAATATTAAGTTACTTATACAGGGTGACTGGTGAATTACTATCGATATTTGAGGACGTGATATTTGACGATCATATATGACAAAATAAAAATTAATATAACATAAATATTAATAAACTTCTGAGTAAAGTTAACCAAAAGTTATGTAATTAATTACGCATCGTATGAACACCCTACAGATTAGGTATACACACACACTCACACAGACGCGGCGGGGGCGTGGTTTTGTATCAGCACGCCGCCGCACGCTTCCACACTTGGAACACTTGGAACGTGTCAACACTTTATTTATTTATACGGAAATTTGGTCAAAAATTAAGTACCTATTTTTTTTACATAATTCGAATGAGAATCATGTACCGAGTATGCTCCTTAAATATTGATAGTAATTCACCAGTCACCCTGTACAACTAAGGTACCTCAGTCCTCACTTCTAAACGTTAAACATTAAGTGCTGAGGCCGCCGGTGCTTATAAGATGGCAATCCAGTCAACTATAAGCATCGACAGTCAACGCCGTAAATCACTGCCATCATCATCATCAGCCTATCAGAGCCCACTGCTGAGCAAAGGCCTCTTTCTCACATGGAGAAGATTTGAACATTAATCATTACGCTTGCTCAAGAGGGGTTGGTGATTTCAAACTTAAAATTGTGAAACTATAAGTCCAGGTTTCCTCACGATATTTTCCTTCACCGTATGTCAGTGGTGTCTAAATACTCTCAGAAAGTACATATGATTCGGAAAAATCACATTGGTCCTTGCCAGGTTTGAACCCGCGCCCTCGGCAACGAGAGGCGGGCCCCTTAGCCACTAGGCCACCACTGACTTCAAATTCAAATCACTATATTTAGTAAAAAAAAAACTACTATGGTCCATGTTAACTAACACATCGCATGTGAGTAGCTCCGGATGTTGTTCGGCTAGCTTCTCCCCAAGTCTTCTAAGTCTGGCGCTCCTCACACGTGCCTGTAGCTCCGTGTCACTCACCAGCGCCAGGTACGACGCGCCCCACGACGCTGACACACTGGAACTGATAATAAGATACACTATTAGTCACTCATACTACTTATGACCTGACTATCCTTGAAGTATGAATGAATTTTACGTTATCACATTTGTTATAACATCCCTCCTGGTGTGACGTCACACATTTTAAAAATATGTATGTGTTTGAAAAGAATCGAGAAAAAACAGCTATTTTAGTTTTTAAAGTTATAATAAGTTAATAAATCAACATTAAGTTCAATTTTAATGTGACGTCACAAAACTATTGACCCCCCTCCATGCCCCATGTCACAATGTAATATCCCCTTCACATTAACGTGTATGGCCCTAATGTAAACTTATCTTCTGTGAGCATACAGAAGATAGGTTTACAATATACAGATAGATAATAAACTATCATACGCAGTGTCTTCGTCTGGTTCTTCTTGAGGCAGCTTGTTTGAGTCCCAGCCGCAGTGGTTAGGAAACTTGAGTCCCTTCAAAGCCTCCTCCAGTGGTAAGAAGCCGTGTAACTCTTCATCCTCTGGCAGAGGAAGACTTTCATCTAGAGATACAAATAGATTTATAATATACATTTTAAAGTACATATGTGTATAAATAAAGATGTGGGTACGTTAATACCTTATTCATATAAGGGATCAATTTAAAGAAAAACAAATAATAAGACAATAACTAGAACTATTGGATAAGAAAGCTCTAAACAAAATTAATATATTCCAAGATTTTACTGAGTATTATACCACAAAACTCGTTTTAGCACCGAAATAGATCGAATACTAGTACCATTACAATTTATATGTATACAAGTTCAAGAATTATATAGAAAAAAAAAACAAATGTATATTATGAGTATTCTCACAGGCAGGGTCCTCGAGGGCGTCTCCCATGTTGTTGAGAGCGTGAGCGAGCGCCGCCCACATGTGAGGCCTGGAGCCCCACGCGTGGGACCGGAGCGCCGCCTGTCGGCACCACGACCACTGGAGCCACACACGCACTGGAAACAAACATATACATATAAATAAAACTAATACTAAATTTTTATATTTTGGGCAAGATACTCACGACGTTTCGGTTCCTTTTGAGCAACATATGTAGTAATACGATAATATTAGTTCCTTTCAAATTATTACTTGACAAATACATACATATAATATAGGGAACTAGACCAGGCTTGAACACACTATGATGGATTCTTGTATCATTGTATAGTCATAGAATCTCTTAGATAAGTTGCTTTTACTTAAACAGTCAAAGATTCCTGTTCCTTGCATTAATATAAAAAATACATATAACATCCGATCTCCAACACATGTATGTGTGTATCGTACATGCCGGCAAGCCCTTGTTGGGCGTGTCCCCAGTGTGCGCGGCCAGCAGCAGCGCCAGCACGCTGTGAGCGGCCAGCGAGCCCGCCAACACTGCGGCCCGACCCTCCGCCTCGCTCATGGCCGCCGGCTCCAACGACAAGTCCTCCGTACTGGAGTGAACCAGCCAGATTGTGACGCACGCCATCTAGTGACACAAACATATAAATATTATTTATAAGTTTTTACAGACTTTTTTTCAATACTTATTAATTAACTAGCTGACCCGGCGAACTTAGTATCGTAAATCAAGAAATATCTGTTACACATACTACAAATTATACTGTAGAAACCAATGTAGAAAGTACACTAAGAAATGGAAAGTGAATTATGTTGGTATTTTGTTATTATAAGTCCGGCCACAGACCAACTCCGACCGATATATTTGCAAAGAGCATATAACTTTGTTTTAATTTTTTCTTTGTTTTAATGGCAACTACGTGAATATTACTGCCGTTATTCGATAAAAAAGTGAAATATTGTAGTATTTTTTTTTTCTAGTTATTTTCCTAAATTTTTCTTACATAAGAATCTTCAAAATAAAAAAAGTATTAGCGAAATCGATCCAGCCATTCACGCGTGATGCCGTGACCAAGGGGAAAAGGGATTAATTTTATATACAGGGTGACTGGTGAATTACTATCGATACTTGAGGACGTGATATTTGACGATCATATTATATGACAAAATAAAAATTAATATAACATAAATATTAATAAACTTCTAAGTAAAGTTAACCAAAAGTTATGTAATTAATTACGCATCGTGTGAACACCCTACAGATTAGGTATACACACACACACATACACGCGTGCGGCGGCGTGGTGTTGTATCAGCACGCCACCGCACGCGTCCACACTTGGAACACTTGGAACGTGTCCACACTTTATTTATTTATACGGAAATTTGGTCAAAAATTAAGTACCTATTTTTTTACATAATTCGAATGAGAATCATGTACCGAGTACTCTCCTCAAATATTGATAGTAATTCACCAGTCACCCTGTATATAGATTAATATTATATACAGTACAAATTATTTATGTCAAGTTTCATGTGTGATATAGGTATTTCTTGCTTACCTTAACCAGAGTCATAGAATCGAAGCTATCAGTAGCCACGAGGTGTGTCAGGGACGAGTTCAGCTTCTCTACCAATTCTTCTGCCTTGTCCAGACTGAGGGAGACATACAATTTAACATTTTATATACATTGAATAAGTTATTATAGATAATCTTTTTCATCAGTTTCTTTTATATGAAATTTCATTCACCTTATTCAATTATTGCCATTATTATATCAATAGCTATACAGTGCGTATATAATAGAAATACTAATGGATCTACTCCAATGAAACAAATAACACAGCTGATATATATTATATATGTAGACAAAAACATTAAACACATATATTTAAAGGAAGTTGTGGCTGAAATAATATTACTTATGAAACAACTGAAATGTTGACTCACTGTTCCAAGCTATGCAGATAGTGGAGTGTTCGTACTAGTTCATTAACATATGAGTGTGAATCGAGTTTTTCAGTTACAGTTGTTTTTGAAGGTGTGCTGGTAGTGTGACCCTCTACACTGGACAGCCCCGGTAGTACTGGCAGAGGCGACTCCTTGACATCACGTCTGAAACATTTTTGTATAATACAACAAAGTTTATCAATATGGTCTATGTAGATGGCACTAGTACATAGATATTTAATTTGATGTCTCAGTTTCTTCTTATTAGTTATTACATGATTAATGTGCCAGTGTCTCATTGAATCTAGTAAAGCATTATAGAAATTTTCTAGAAATGAAGGGAGGCGAATATTAAATAATAAGATCTAAGACTTTCGAGCAATGTTAATTTAAATGGAATTAATATTTTCGGATTACTACGCATTATTTTATTATTAAAAAAATACTAAATTAAAATATATATAATTTTCCATTTTTTTTTAAAAATTATAAAAAGTTACGCGTTTTAATCTATACTAATATTATAAAGCTGAAGAGTTTGTTTGTTTGAAAGCGCTAATCTCCAAAACTACTGGTTCGAATTGAATAATTCTTTTTGTGTTGGATAGTCCAGTTATCGAGGAAGGCTGTGGGCTATATAACATCACGCTACGACCAATAAGAGCAAAGATATAGTGGTAAACGTGTAAAAAGCGGGAGAAATTATGTCATCTTTGAAGCCTTCCGTTGCGTGCGCCGTGAAAACGGTTCAAGATACACAAAAAATATGTATTAAAGAATAATAGCTCTTTTAATGATCTAAAAAACAGTCCGCGATAGTATATGTCTATCTTTTAAGATTAACTCACAAAAACCATTTTTATGATACCTAATTTGGTCGAAATAATTTGTTTAAGTTGTATCAACATAATAATATTAATCTTTATTCAAATAAATATGTTGTTGGTTAAGAGTACTTCATTGTGAATAAAAGAAGACATTGGTTTTATCCTGAAAATTCTACGGGAACTCGACCATTCCAAAAACCCCGCAAGAACGGGAACTATGTGGGAACCAAAAATCTGCCGGAAGTCACTATTCCACGCAGACGAAGTCGTGACAAAAGCTAGTCTGGAAATATAAGTTTCATTTAAATAATATTAGATAGCTTAATTTCCTACATACCCAGCGGCGGCCAGTGTCCGTGCGAGGTTAGCAGGCGCGGGAGGGAAGGGCGCTCGGACCAGTAGAGACCGAACGTGCCAGTAGAGTGCGGCCAGGCGACGACCACGACGCCATGCTACTAGCGCCAACTGAAACAGATTATACAAGATGGCTATGTAAGGAGGTTATCATGATATATGTAAATCATTGACTATTACTGAATATATGATTTAAATCTATTATATATTCAAATACTCAATGACAAGATCATCAAAAAAAAAAATGATTATATAGTAAAATTGTTCCATATTCAAAATATTAATAAAGACATATGTCGTCAGCGCGACTGTGATAGCAATAGCAAGAGCAATTTATTATTTACAATACCGCGTATAATTGCTACATCAATTTTACAGGAAGAAGAAATAATTCATTATCTTGATCAATAGGAATGTCATCAAATTTCACATATATCTTTATTATTGCAGTCGCTTCGTACATATATATATAACTAACAATAATGTCAGTAATCATCACCTGATTGTATGGCTGTCCTGAATGCACGGACACCGCCAGGGCATGCCTGTAGAAGGTGTGAGCGACTTTCAACTGGTGTCTATACCGAGCCAGGTCTCCTAGGTGTACTAGACAGTGTTGACACGCGTACCGGGCTGCTCCAGCACCCGCTCGAACTGGTTCCGGACAACCACCGGCCTCCCAACCTTCAACTGACCCGAGAAGGGACGCCCTACGTCTACAACATGATTATTAACAATTAAAAAGTAATAAAGAAGTTTAATTAGATCTTAGATTCGCGAGTATTCATTTAAATGAAGACTTTATTGTTTAGAATGCACACACTTATATATAATATTAGACTTAGAACTAAAATTTAAATATTAAAACAGTAATGCATATTAATTAAAATAAAATTGTTGACAACTATGTTGTAATGCTGATTATTATCGTCAAATGAAATAGTTACCTAAATGGTAGATCTAATTTAAATGTTGTGCAGATTTGATGCAAGAGGCAGAGGTAGAAACCAGCGGCAGCCTGCAGCACCCATGATAGCATACCTTGAGCTTCATTTCTGAGGACACTCTAAACAAAGAAAAATATACCTCTACACAAGAAAATGTTACTGGGAACTAAGATTATACGGGTGACTGGTGAATTACTATCAATATTTAAGGAGAATACTCGGTACATGATTCTCATAAATTCTCAAAAAAATAGGTACTTAATTTTTGACCAAATATCCGTATAAATAAAGTGTGGACACATTCCAAGTGTGGACGCGTGCGGCGGCGTGCTGATACAACACCACGCCGCCGCACGCGTGTGTGTGTATACCTAATCTGTAGGGTGTTCACACGATGCGTAATTAATTACATAACTTTTGGTTAACTTTACTTAGAAGTTTATTAATATTTATGTTATATTAATTTTTATTTTGTCATATATGATCGTCAAATATCAAGTCCTCAAGTATCGATAGTAAATTCACCAGTCACCCTGTATATAAAATTCTTGTGTCACAATGTTCATTCCCGTACTCCTCCGAAACGGCTTGACCGATTCTCATGAAATTTTGTGAGCATATTGAGGTCTGAAAATCGGCCGACATCAATTTTTCATATCTCTCAGTCATAAGGGTTGTTCATTGAAAAATACATCAAAGGTTGTAACATTGAAAAATACGTACAAACTTAAGTTTTTACTTTTTTTTTATCACCAAACCCTATTTTTTAAATGGCAAAACAATGTTTGCCGGGTCAGCTGGTATATATAATACTGATTATTTAAACTGAAAAAGATACCAGCGTCAAACCATAATATATTAAAGTATATATTTGTATACAAGTTTCTCTCTATTGTCAAATATGTTTATATAAAGCACCTTTCTATCTTTTGAAATGGCCTGTAAAGCCTCAATTTGCTGCTTGAAACCAACATTCCACAGATCTTGTTCCACTTTCTTCTCTAGAGCATAATCAAGATCCAGAACCAAAACTTTCTGGTACACCTGTAACAATAAATGAATGAATTGTGCACACTTTCTTTCACATTTATTACTACAACATAATCAAAATAAACAATATTATTATGCTATTCAAAGGACAGACATACACTTAGTTTTTAATGTGCATTTATTTATATAGAAATAAGATATTTAGGATATAATTTTTAATACTTTTAGCAACCATTACAATTCACAATAATATTTTTCAAGTTAATTTGACAAACCTTCTGTAACTGTTGCTGTGTTATCCATAAACTTCTATCCTGAAGCATAGAAATACAACTATTGTATTTTAAAATCTTCTGTTTCAATTCCTCTGCCTCTCTGTAAATATAATAGTATACAATACGAAAATTAGTATTGAGTTAGGATTCATAATAATATTAATTCAATGTGTTATCGAGAAATTGAGAAATTAAAAAACATACAACATGAGTTATAAAATTTCATTCCAACCTAAAATAACTCTAGGAAATCATGAAATTGGTGACTGCAAAGTTAATTGTTATAAAATACAAATGACAGACAGTACAAGAAAAATATTTCTTACTAACCTTAATAACTGCACAGCGGCATTTAAAACCATTTTTATAGAGGCGTATAGCCTCAGTTATTGTCATATCATCAGTACAAAACAGGAAACCGACTAAAATAAAGAAATTATAAAAAAAATCTAAACATTAGCGATACCCATACAGTCAAATGAAATAACTGTCAAACGTCAAATTTTAATTATCGTGTTATCATCAATGTCACATAAAAAGTAAATTCTCAGTAACGATATGAATTACAGTTTAATCATATGTAATAAATTTAACTATCCTTAAATATATATTTAATATTCAAGTATATTGTCATACATAAAAGTGCTTATTTTTATAAATTAAATATTAATTTTTAAGTATATACTGCAATCCATAAGCGGACTATTGTAAAAATTATGTATAGTGATATAATTGTTAATTCTATCGTTAGAAGTTCAATTCTCAAATTATAAATATATTTTATTAATTTATATAATGATTGAGTTGAAGGCAAAATCATATATATATAACAAAGTATATATTTATTTGATAAGAAATAAATATTTTTATAATCTAAAAAAACAAATAAAAAAGATATTATGTAAAAGGAAATAATTTACATATTTTACTGAAAAGCTTATTGGGCTATGACTACACGATAGATTTTGTCTACATGTAATGGATATTTAGGACGAAAATATACTTAATAAACTAATATTAATTTATAGTGGCTGTTGAATCATTTGTATTTAAACTATTTTATATTAGAGGAATGATTTCATCATTATTTATCAAAGTGATTCATCTTCATAGTTCAGTGTCATAATAATTGACAAATGCACTTGTTAATTTTAAACAGGATTGCAAGTGCACTAAACGAAAATCAATACAGAGCCGGTATTGGATGTCTTACCTATACATAGTTAGGACTTCGAGATAAAAATGAGGAAAATCTTCAAATTGGCGGTAAATAATAAATAATGTGATAATTTAAAATAATTTTTCTATGTAGCATAACATAATATCTTATTTTTCCTTTTTTTTAAGGACAAAGAAATAATATTTGGACACAAAATTTGCCAGACCCATGAAGCTAAGTACCTTTGCATAGAAGAACTATATCAGAAATTTTACAGACCCAATTGTTACGATATTGGAGGAACATATATAAATGACGTCCCGGATTTTTGGTTTATATACAAAACTGAAATTATAGGAAAGCTATTTCTTTTCCATTTATACGTTACCAAGCGCCAGGCTTGTTCATTTATTGTCTCTGTTAGCTGCACCAGTGACATAATTTGTGCACCAAAGCAAAATGCAGCATTCTTACCATCTAAACTTGAAAATTTCCCATTTAATGGCCTTAATACTCAAGGATATGTCACGACATATAGTTTTACCGAAGTCGATGTTGATATACTGAAAGGAAAGAAATTGTATATACCAGTTTCATTTAGTATGGATAAACCTCTCAGTGAACTCGCTGAGACTATGAAAGAAAACCACAACTATAAATATCTGTTACACGACCCTGTCGGCTCTGATTTTGTTATTGAATCAGCAGATGGATACAAATTTAATGTGCATCGAAGCCTACTCTGTGCAAATAGTGAAGTTTTTAGGGCTATGTTAAAAGATGAAACAGCTGAGAGTATGAATGGCTATGTTAAGATGGTTGATATAAATAAAGATGACCTTAAAGACATCATTGAATTTATGTACACAGGAACAATAGAGAATTTGTTGGACTGCAACTTCTATAATATCTTCATACTGTGCAACCAATACGATCTACAAGGGTTGAAAGAATTAGCAGAGAGTGCATTAATATTTCAGATCAATGATGACAATGTTATTGAAACTCTATCCTTGGCAGATCTTCACAACTCAGAAGCAGTCAAACTGGCAGCCATGAAATATATCAAAATGAACAAAATATTAGTTAACTCTGATGTACTGGATGAATTGAATAATGTAGAACTTGTCAAAGAGATTTGCGAATTCCTTTTGATATGAATGTTACTTTAAGGAAACAATCATAATATGTTTAAAAGAAAAAAAAATGTTGTACAGAAAACGTAAAAATAAACTTTATTGAATTTAAAACACAACATTTATTTAAATAGTAAGGATTATGTTTAACTCTAGATAAATTATATGTATGGGCATGCTTGGGTCCCAAGCAGTGGAGTTCTTCTCACGATGAGCTGAGGTGGAGATGGTCTACAATCATTTTGGAATGTTACTCGATGTCTTCGTCTCTGCGGCAAACAAAACATTACAATTATTTAATAAATAAATACATATAAAACTATAAAAGTATTTTTAATGAACTCCAACCTTCATTTAAGTGTTGTATTTTTAGTTTTTAACATGACTAAACATTTAATTCAACAAGCAGTTAATACTGTGCTTTTAATACTTTGTACAATCAATGTGATGTTAAACCTGTTATAGTAATGAGTTAGCCATGTTGTGTTGCAAAAATTACATGTATGTACTTAGATGCAATTAATATTACAGGAATATTTATAAAGTTGACGTGAACACAAAACTACTGAAGTTTAACTGTTTCTAATACTATAGCGCTAACAACAGCTCATTTGATATTTTTCATATTAATGTAACATCGATAACTCAAAACACCTCATCGCGTATAGCAAAAGGAAAAAGATAAGTGGTTCACATGCAGGATAAGCAAGAAAAAGGCCAAAAGTTGTCATAATATTTATTTGTAATTACTGGTATCCATACAATAACCAAAGGTATCTCTTCGAAACAAACGCGCTAATGTAAAACGATCAAATTGCTATAAATCGTATATAAAAATAAAAACTTACAAGACCCTATTCGTTAGTCTAACTGTATAAATATAAGATGTAACTTATGCTGGCTCATTAAAGGTCGCCATTAAACATTTTTCTATGTAAACTTTAACAGATACATCAAACGAACTGATTCTTACAACGTTTCAACTATGTAGTCTAAATGACAATAGGAATAGCAAATGATATACAAACTACGTCGGATACTGGCCACGGCGCGTGACCTCGTTCAGGTGACAGCTACGGGTTAGCGATGGGAAATGTGTTATGTGAGAACTCAATAGATGGGGCGATGTGGACGCGTTCACACCCGTCAGTGTTAACAATACAACTGTCAGCGACTTATAAAACTTATCTCCCGCCACACCAACAATGTAAAGTCCTTTAGGTGATTGTTTGATACAGATTCTCCGAGATCTGATTGATTCATAAATGACGCATTATATTCATTAACATGTAACCGGAGGAATCTGTATCAAAGTCTGTCGCTGGCTCGCTGCTAACGTTTACCGTTATTGAACGACACCAAGCGGAGCGGAGCTTTGAAGTTCACCGCGGCCTGCTGTTGGAGCTGGTAAGCCATTGGATGGATCTTGAAGCCGTACAATCTGGAACACAGGTTCTTACTTAGATATGTTAAAATTAATTATAGTGTACCTATTATATGGTCACGAATTGGTTCAATGCACCTTTATCTTACTATCTATTCATCTATCTATAATAATTAGTAGATTTAATATAATGTTCACCCAGTTGTGATATATCTATTGAGATTATTTCAAACAAGAGAAAAAGCAATAAGTTTTGTTACAAGATCATATAGGTATATTGTTCAAGTAATAACTTGAGCATATTGTATAAGGGTTCATAATAAGTATATACCTAGGCACAAACTGTGATGCGGGGCGCTTGGGCCTGGTCTCCGGGTGCACCATGAACAACATGTGAGGGAAACCGGTGCCGAAGAAGGCTCCGTCCGTGTGGTGGTGACGCGAGGACTTGGGTGTGTACACGTCCATGCAGCGAGGACAGTAGAGCTTCACCATCGCCTCGCCCGGGACGTCAGAGAGACCTACCATTATATATTATTATATTATAAAAACAACAACTTATTGGTTATTTTAGGAAGTTGTATCACAGCTGAGAATTTTTGCCATAGAATGAACATTTGTAAATATTTCTTAGGGTTATATTAATATAATGTTTTTATTTTGGTCTGTTGGTATTCATAGTGGAATGGATGACAAATTCTCTATCTGCATTATTGCTTCAATTAATATGCCTTTTAATAATTAATGATGTGTACAATAATATGTGACATTCAAGCTTTTAATATAAAGCAATCATGTACAGAATTTTTTTTTATAATGTTATCTAACATTGTGGTATTTTAAATATTTCCTTTTGACCATGAAATATATCAACTAAAATATTAATTTAAATATGTAATTATTTTACACCAGACTTACCTATTGGAAGTGTAGCTTGACACTCGCAGTAAACACGCGGGCAATGACCAAAGTCACCACTTTGGAATTTCTCAAGCATCTGTCCAATACCTCTGTCAACACAAATAATTGATATTACAACATAATATAAAACTAATATTTATTTAAGTTATGAATGAATTCTAGAAATTATTAAGTGAAATTACATATGCCAAATATACATATAAACATAATAAAGTACAGTTTCATATAAATTATCTGTATGTCATAATTCCTGATTTTGTAATTAAAATTAGTACTTATATTAGTAAATTAATTAGTACTTATAATTAATACTTACAAAGTAAATTACAACTAGGTTTTGACTATGTTGCACAGAGATTGAACAAATAGTGACATTAATGTAATGAAATTCTTAAAAGAAATATTATAAACTAAAAACATAAAAGAAATATAAAACCAAAAACTGTCTTCACACGGAACTGCTGAGTCACACCCGTGTAGAATAGAAGAGTTTAAGCAGAAGCTAAGGCGTCCTCTGATTACACCGCATAAAGATAATCATATTTTAGTTAAACGACCACTTATGACACCGTCACATAACACACAAGCCTATTATTACATCAACACAATTATCATTATTTACTATAAATACGCAAATCAGTCACACAGATTTTAGTAGCAAAAACTATGTATTAATTATTAAAAAAAATTGGTAGAATGAAAAACATGATATATAAGTACTTCCGATTAGCTTATATAATGTTACTTTAAATAAGTACACAATAATATGAATAAACAAAAGAGGGTTGACGTCAGGTTGGCTGCCAGTCATAAAAACAATTATCCAAAACTATACACAACATGTAAGGCAGACCCTGGCTACAGCTGGGAAATTGCCAGGAAGACAAAGAATAAACAAAAATAAAAGGACAATTAAATCTATAATTCAATGTTTTAATCATTATACTGAAGTGTTTAGAAGGCTCTGGAATACTCCAAAATGTTCTGTATATGCAATCATCTCATTTAAGTGAGTTAAGTGATGAGTGAAAACATACTTAAAGAATCATTATTGACTCATCTTAACATTAACAGAATGAACTAAATAGTTTTTATGTAACTTTAAAAACACTAAGTTTTAATGTATTTAAACTAAAGTTTCTTCAACCAAAGTACAGGGTAACATCTAAATATTATCAATAAATTGTATTTATTCAGAAAATTACTTATAAATCAATTTGATATACTCATTTTATAGCTATAAATTTTATTGTGAAGTATATATATAGTCTCACCTATTTGTTAATATATATCGAGCATGAATTAAGCCATAGAGTACTTCCGCAGCTTGCTCTACTAAGTCGGATTGGTTTGGATTCTCATCGAGGTCATCATCTACAAAATAAATATTAGTATATTATTAATATTATGATATAAGGACAAACAGCAATTGATCGAGTGAATCATTGAACTAAATAGTTTTCTTAGAGAATATATAGAAAATAACTTTGTAGTGGTTTAATCAATATTTGATTAACATTGGTTCGGCAAACATATAAGTAAGTGTGTCTACACTACAAAAACTTATGATAAAGTATTTTGTAGTAGTTATACACTAGTGTAAGGGTTCCTTTCAACTTACCAGGCTCCAGGTCCAAGACCATATCAAGTGCTTGTCTGTAGTGTGGGACTTGCTCATTTAGACCCGTCAAGTTAAATTTATCATTTATGTAATCTTCATCCACCTAAAACACATTGGATCAATATCACAAGTAATGAGCCAATACTGTTTATAATATAACTTCAATTACAAACCTCGCAGAAATACTCGTTCCCCCGTAAACCACAGAACCATGAAATCCATGATACCTCCTCCGAACTGCTCATTTTTCTAAAACGTTAAACGCTAAGTAATATTACAACTTTCAAGAATTATTTGACATAAACTATCCAACGCCAAGCAGAAACTGTCGGTCTTATTTTAAAAGCACTCGCCAATGTTTTCCACATTGTTTTTATAACTTTCCGTGAAATAACCCTCTTTCAATTTAATTTTGTGAAAAACACAAGGAAAGTTTTTGGTAAATACGAAAATAAAATAATTAGAAACCTCACCTTTTCGTACCTTGATTAGCCACGCTTGACGGGACGATATCTACCTCGGGATGAGGGGAGAAAATCCAATTTGTTGTGAATGTGAATATAAATTGTCTATGGTTGAAAGAGCGCGAAAGTGTAAAAACTTTATTTTCTATCTATTGTTTTTTAATAAAATTCCTAATTTATTTTAGTTAACATTATGTATTGAGTATATTTTATGTTATATTAATAATTTGAATATCTTACAGATGTAATTTCATAGTATTAATTATTATTTTGTGACTAGTTGTCTTCATACTCGGCTACCAGATCCACAAAAGGGATATTATTAAACTGCTAAATATTATTGGTATAACCTATTTATAGGTACTTAAAAAAAATCGAAACAAAATAGAAATAAGCAAAACCGTTTATTGAATCCCTCAATAATTAACTAACAACCCTAGTGTCAGGAGAATATATATACATATTTTTACTTCATTAGATTGTTCAAAAACTTGAGAGTCAAATAACATCATCAATAATAGCTATATAATATGATCAACCTACAATGAAATACTTTTATTGTAATACCTCTTTCTATTTGCTTACATATATTTATGCCCACTAGCAGATAGTGTAACAAGACTGATCCAGACTTTTTATTTATTTATTTTAGCCCTATATATAGCAGTATGACGGTATATGTGACTGGATTTATTAAAAAATAAAAATGATATAAAAGATTTTTTTGTTTTATTTGGGTATATAATATCTTAATATAAATGTTATACAGATATTGAGTTGAGATATATATAGAAGAAAAATGTTGAATGATTTTCCCTTTTTATATTAAGGGGAATAAATCAGTGAATTCAACATTTCTCTGAGGAATAATAACTCAGTTACAAAAGTGACTTAATAGTATGATTGGCATAACAACTAATATATGCTCTTAAAATTAATTTAGAATATGTGGCTATGCCATTACAAAATTTATAAAATAGTATCACAAAAGTAAACAAAAAACAAGATAACAAAATAAAAAGAGTTACATTTACATAGAAAAGACTTAGTTTAGTTTACATTTGCATTTTTTGACTCAATGCCAGTTCTTTGAATATTTTCTTAGTGAGATCTAAATCTTTCAAATTCTTCCAAGACTCACTGTCCAGAACCGCTGGGTTTTCTTTTATAAATGTAAACACCTCCTGTCTAAGTTTGTACAGATTATGTTTTTCTGATAACACAAGCAAATCAATTGCATTATTAATATTCATTTGTTCACAGATCACATTCTGGAGTATCTTAAGGTTATCTAGTTGGAATTGTTCGGCTAAGCCAAATATGGAGTCATGTTTCTGTGGCACAATGTCTTGTATGGTGCCTGTATACAGATATTCCAATAGAATCTCCATCTTACTATCATCAATATCAAGCATCAGGGTATTAGAATTTGTGTTCCTAACAATGTCTCTCAACACTGGACTGTGAGCCAGTAGCACAATCTTATTTATTTCATATTTTCTTCCACTCATGCTTATGATGGTAAAATTTTTATCTTTTTGGAGGAACTCAGACAAATTATGGTTTGATTTTATCTGCCGGACAGCTCCAATGTCCAATAGACATAGTGGGTTTGTATCTATTTCAATAGGAATGCATAGTCCCTTATCGGCAATGATTTCAAGATCATTTCTAGAAAAGCAGTATGATTTAATGTGATGGCTCTCATTGGGAACAATGGATCTAAATGTTTTCCATTTCAGTTCTTGAGGTAAGAATAAGTAGTCACTAGCATCTGAGGTATTTATATCTTGAGTGCTAAATTTAGTGCTATTACTGATACCAAGTACAAATGCTCCCACAGAACGATAAAATACAAAAAGATTTATAATATAGCAGTGATATAACTTGGTGGTAATCGTGTAATAAAAGTGAAGCTCCGGCTTATCACCAGAAAAAGTTCCTCCTATGTCATACTTCTGACCGTTACATTTGTAAGCCACATCAAAAATGCATAATCTTTTAGCTTCTTTTGTTTGACATTCATTGAGCGGAGAAATGGAATCATATCGAAACTGTAATGAGAGTGAATTTATTAGAACAGGACTGAATATATTAGAGCATCAGAGTAATAAAACATTAATAACTTATTTTTCATACCGGAATTGGATCATTTAAGTTTCTTTCGTGACTTGTAGATATATTCATGATGACAAATCTACACACGTTGGCCACTCTATTCCCTGTGGATAAGGATTATTATAAATTAATTGTTATTGTATAAAAATTTAATATTCGATAATATATGAAAAGATGAATCATTATGCATGTTATTGCGTCATGTTTATATTGGATACGGACTGAAATAGACTTATTTATATATCATAAATATAGATGTGAAAGAACAAAACAAAATATATATGCGTTATAACGTAGTACTATAAATAAAGACCCGGCAAAAAATTACTATATATGTGAAACTTACGAAATTTCAGCCTCTACAAAATTTGTTGATTTTGCATCGTATGAGATAAGAAATGATAAATTAATTGGCTATTTAGGCAAATTGACAAAATTCTTATGTATTAAATCTAGAAAATATAATTATCACTACGAATACTGACATTAAAATCTAGATGAAAATTTTACAGATGTTTCCATATAGGATCTAGGCTTTTGAAATATAGGCTTTGGGTTCTTGTAGTAATTAATTTACAATTCAGATTACAACAATTGTTATTTTGTAGTTAAAGTGAGGAAACAAAGCAAATATTTTTGGTTTCAGTAAAGTTATGACAACTCATGAGGTTTTTTTTAAACTTGAAGCTATATTTTTATTCTTTATTGTTTAATAAAGATTGCTATAAATTATAAAATTATAGAGTTGAGATGTTGCTACATAAATAAAAATAATTTTGTACATATCTAATAATGCAAGAAAATATAGTTTATTAAATAAAGAAATACCATAATATTAAGTAAGGGGAAGGGGGGGGGGATTATAAGGACAGCTTTCTGGAAAAGGATGCAACGTTAAAAGAACATTTAATAAATCTATCTGTTAAAGTTAAATAGCGGCTAACATCCTTTTTTTAGAAAGATCCTTCTTGGCAAATATTTGTAAACGATAAACTGAACGCTACGTGAGTTTTCATGATGATTCTTATCTAGCGTAAGTGTTTAAAAGTCTTCGCTTTTCAAAATCAATCGAAGTCCATGAGTGAGAGAGCCGGTTGCCCTTTCCCTTTTCCCATCCTTTCCTACCCCTTCCCTTTTTCCTCCCCTTCCCATTTTTCCTCCCCCTCTTCCCAAATCAAGGGTGGTGACACATCCGCAACATGTCTTATGTCGCGGATGTCCCATGGGCGACGGAAACTACCTACCATCAGGTAGGCCGTCTGCCTGGTTGCCCCCTTTTCCATAAAAAAAAAGAAAAACGGTGAAACTTTGTGTAAAATAGATCTTAAAAATTATGACTTTCGCACATTTAAACACTACACGGAAAATATAATAGTCTCTGAGGTAAAATAATTTTTCTCTTTCTAATTCTATGAAAATAATAATTCTTCAACTGTTGGGTATACAACATAAAAGTAGCATAATGTGCGTGTTTTTCGTCCGTTGACTTCTGAATGTGGCCCTAGACTCGTAGTTCTATAAATCGTTTTAATCGGTTAGATTTCATTAAATAGTGTTTGTTGCCTTTAGTGGGTGCAGAAGGGCGGGTACAATAATAGATAATAAATATTTTGAAGAGCTTTCTTACATCAGTTGACGGTGTAGAATTTATATTCCCTCTCACTCGTGCAAGTTTTCCAAAATAGATATCAACACTTTTTTTCTATAAAGCATTAAACAAGCAAATAAATGTAGAACTTCCCAATTTCTCAGTTATAATGATTCTAATACCATGCTTTCACTTGAATTTTCATTTAATTGTTCTATTACCGATCGATGGGTCTTTCAATTCTTGTATTGCAAATTGATCATGATTATCAATAAATGCAAATATTTCTTCCATCGCTGGAGTAAATGAATCACTTTCAGGACGACCGATTTTACCTCCACCAATTGGTTTCAGAAGCGAAGTGTAACAGTCAGTGTGGTACTTAGCCTCAGCAGCCTCATAAGTCATATTCATACTGGTGCTTTTTGCTTTATCAGAACAAGTCTAAGCTTCCTTTAAGATGGTTTTCTTGAAGTCAAGGGTTGAAACCTGAGAATCACTTCGTCGAAGATGCTGCACTTGTTTCATTCCAGCCGTTTTATCTGTTTCATTGCCACAGTAGCTTACTCCGCTTTACTCTATCTTTAAGCTGCAGCGATGATGTTCTTCCGGGTGTATGCTTTACGACACTGCTTATGTCTCGTTACAAATGTTTTGTCCCTCAAATAGTCATCGAACCCATCACCGCTTTCAGTTCTTGAAGCCAATAAAGCCCTTAGCCCAAGATCAATAAACACAATAAAATTCAGTTTCTATTAAAGATTCATTGCAAATGAAGCAAACTTCTGACATTTTTCGAAAATTCTGTAACGGAACTGTTTAAAAAGAGAATATAACTAGAGTTGGACTCACTCAGAATTGTATATTCTTCACGTACTTGTATGCATGGGATAAGTAAAACTATGTTCTAATATTTTTTGTTCAAATTATTAACCCGAGAATGCAGACTGGCCACATATGAGTGCATATTCTATATGTTTTCTATGTTTAAAATAGCCATAATTCGAGAACGGTGCACCGCAGAAGAAAAGTGTTGTGATCAATTATATAGAATACTTTAGGATCTATAAATTTTGTTGAAAGCATTTTTCTATAGCTCTCGTTATTTCAGAGATATACGCAAAAACCGCTACATTCTGACCTCGAATAAAAACAACGCACAAGCGGGATCGATGGGGACTTTTGACATGTCATTTGTAATGATGTATTCCAGGCCTGCACAAAAATTCAGCTTGTTGGGAGTTAATGCAAACTGGAATGTCTATTTTAACTGGACTAGGTATATATTGTCTACAAATTATCGACTTAATGTGCGATAGAAGAATCGTTTAATTCGTCGTTAGGCAGTTGGCCCGCAGACGGTGAGGAAATTACTTACTATTTTCTTGCTCATCGAAATTACAACTGCCTAATTATAGTGTAACATTACAAAACCAACATTCGACGATTGTAGACAATTGACGTGTCCCACGGTTTTATTTTAGTCTAGTCTGTGCATATGTTTATAATTCCCACGGCTGTATCTATTTTATTATTTTTTGGTTTTTAGTACATTTATCTTAAACATTGCAATGTATGTTTCACGTAAAACTGTTTAACTTAAAAAGTTTTTTTTCCTATTTTTATTTTCTAGTGTTTAGTTTTTATTTCTCATTCTAATTAATTCATTTGTGCTTCATTATTGCAAGGTTTCTTGCCCGTTAGTTTATTGCAGTCCAACTCCTCTTAAAAAAATGTTATCAGCCATTTGGTAGCGGTGGCCATCCTAGATTTCAATTTAGCATAGTAAAGTGTATTCTACTTGTTGAGCCCTTTTATTTGATACCCATACTGATGGGATTGATAAAACCTAGGTTATCCGCCATTTTGTAGAGGCCGCCATCTTGGATTTTAATTTTATATAGTACATTGTATTTTACTGGTTCAGCACTTTCATTTGATAGCCAATACCCATATTGATGGGATTGATAAAACCTACGTTATCCGCCATTTTTTGGCCGCTATCTTGGATTTAATTTTTTTTATAGTATATTGCATTCTGCTTGTTGGGCCCTTTCATTTGATACCCATATTGATGGGATTGATATAACCTATGTTATCCGCCATTTTTTAGCGGCCGCCATCTTGGATTTTTTATAGTACATTGTATTCTACTGGTTGAGCACTTTCAATTGATACTCATATTGATGGGATTGGTAAAACATAAATTATCCGCCATTTTGTAGCGGCGGCCATCTTGAATTTATAATAATAATGAATAAACATAATTGTATTGTCACCAAAATCCAAAGTGTATACAAAATTTCAGATTAATCAGTTCTCAGGAAGAGGGTGAAATTTGAATTACTAAATTTGACCCAAGGAAAATGAAAAAAGAATAAATAATAAACCAAACAGGGTGACCTAAATAAAACCGTTTAAAAACAAAACAACGCTTCGATACCTTTTTGTTAAATTAAAAAAGAAACTACTTTTCACAACGTCAAAATAAATTGGTTATTAATATTTTTACTTTAAACACACTTAAACGTAAATATTTCTTAAAAAATAAGTAAATAGTATGAAACGATATTAGTCTAACTTTTACCGAATTATTATTAAAATAAAAGAATTTTATGACAGCAACTACTAATACTTTAAATCATTGATACAACGCGCTTTCATGTTATGATCTAGATAACTTATATGAATGTATTTTATGAGTTTTATGAATGTAAAACTATATTGATAGTGTGTGACCATTCTGTATATTACTTGTGTCACTGTGACACGGAAAGTGTAAGTTAGTACACGTATTTGGTAAAAACTTGTTATTAAAATAAGTTTCTGACAATTAAAATTTTGTCGACATTAAAGGTTCTATTTGAATCAAACGAAATAAAACCTTAATTTGTGGGTTCATTCTTATTTTTATATCTCTGTTTTTTTTTAACACTTGCTGACATAAAAAGGAACCTCGAATTTTAGACGCAATGTAAAAGCAAAATTTATTGAAATATAAATGAACATAGACTATAAAATATTAAATAAATCTATGACAAATACTCAGGATATCCTTATTTTAAGATGTTTCATGTTTAGGTTCTAGAAAGATCGATAGCAATCATTGGCAATGGTAACAGCATACCATGAGATTTTTCATACTTAATGAAAAAACATTATAATATATATCAACAAATATATGGTATTGGGTTTATTTTTAGTATAATCTGTTTCGAAAATCTTCTATATAAATAAAAATGGATTGCTGTTCCTTAGTCTCGCTAAAACTCGAGAACGGCTGAACCAATTTGGCTAATTTTAGTCTTGAAATACTCCTGGAAGTCCAGGGAAGGATTAAAAGGGGAGAAAAATTGGAATAATTGCCGGGAAAACCCTAAAAACAGCCCTTTTCTATTTGCCCATACAAACGTTTTTTTGACATTAGATTTGACAACTAACTAATATGTCAATCATTCTGTCGCACTTTAGAACACGGAGATTTTTGGCTTACAGGTAAACCCCAAAAAAATAATTAAGAAATAATTTATTTCTTGATTGAGGCAGTACGAAGTCTGCCGGGTCAGCTAGTTTGTAATAAATTTGTGCATTTAGGAAAACATAAATGAAGTTCTGAATTAGTGTATAATTTGAAATTATTGAACTTAATAATATGGCACGTTTGTTTTATCTTCAGGTCCATTCTAACAGCAATTATGGTGGTAAACACTTGCCTCAAGGTGTTATAGTCACTTAATGAACTTTTATATACTTGGATTCTTTATTATTATTTGAAATAATCAGCTTCCACATATTTCTTTGTTCGCTGTCCGTTTTATTATTTTAAATTTATGTCATCACTTTATAATGAATTGTATATTAAATACCAAAAAGTAACTAAATCAACAAATTGGAAACTAGAGTAGATGACAGCTTGTTCTGATAAAAAATATAAAAAAAATTTGCAATGGATTTTGAGTTTAAAATAAGCATCGTCACATTCCTCCTCGGCTTTAGGAAATACAGCTTATCTTTAATTATTACTTTTTGCTTCAGAGCACCGTTTTTGATGTGATGCTGATTGCAAAGATTAAATATATCTTGAAGTCTACGTCGAAATTGATATTTATTAATGGAACAAATATTACAGTTCCTGATTTATATACTTCATGAGGCGATGTATAATAAAATAAATCCATTATTGGATATTATATTTTTAAACGATTATCCTTTGGCTTTTGGCTCCTATACATAGTAAAATACATTGTATTAAAATGGAATGGAATAAAAATTGTAAAGGTTGCCCAATCACGGTGTTTAGGTATATTACAGAAAAGTAGGTATGCAGCCAAACACAATTTACTGGTATTAGTCATATGTTGTGTAAGGAATTTACGTACGGCTACTCTCTTCTACCTGGCAGTTTCCCAGTTTAAGCCAGGGTCATATGACTCGGAAAAAGTACTTGCCAGGATCGAACCCGCGCCCTCGTGCATGAGAGGCGGGCCTTTTAACCACTAGGCTACCACTAACTTAGATGAGTTACTCTGTGACAGAAAAATATCTACGGTATATTTGTTATTTATATTTACGAAAAAGGCGAGTAGAGCAACAAGGGAAGGATTAAGAGAAATTCTCTCTGAAGATTTTTTCTGTGCAAATGAAAATAACAACTAAAACCATGTCGAGCACATTAAAAGACTACGTATAACATGTCGCCCATAAAGGACGATCTCGTCATTTCTTAACTGATAATTTAAAAAAGAGTGTGTTCGTAAAATAAAAACCACTATTTAAGTCGTAAATAATGAATGCCATAAACATTTTGTTTACGGATGAGAACATTGATTTTAGGTACAATTGACCAATAGTTTCAGAAACAAAATAACCGTATTCTATAAACGTTGAAAGCTGCAAAGAATTTTCTATATTAAACAATATACATATGTATAACAACATGATTATTATCCGGCTACGGCGATAGTTTGCGTGGGTGGTAATAATGAAGAAGTGACTGGGACATATTTTTGTTAGGAAAATCCTCTTCAAAACAACCGCGAAAGGTATTAAGTTACTATTCGTGGGAACCTTCTAACTATTGCATTAAGACCGTCAATAACATCTTGTTCAATAACTATAAAAGGTCCTTTTCACGCAAGACCAAGAGCTGCATGATAAAGCTCACCCAATCTTGGTTAACAACGAACGTTGCTGCTACATCCATCATCAATTTACATCTTAATTTAATCCACTAGAATTGGATTAACAATCTATTTCAGAAAGGCTTGCTTAAGTCACTAAGTGCCACGATTATTTGTACCCAATCATCAAAACAATATTATTACGGTTGAGAACTTTCCGATACAAAAGAGTGCTTTTTATAACTAACGTCAAGGCTTAAAACACGGTATTGTAGACAATGGCAGTTACTTTTTATAAACTTTTAAGTTTATACAATAAAATGGTTTTATATGTATATTGTATGTATTAAACTAATCAACTGTAATCGTTTCAACTGTAACTAACAACAAAAAATGTTGTTTGTCATTGTAATTATATTTATGGCAAGACTAATAATGCATTCCACTAATATTATAAATGCGAAGGTTTGTGAGGATGTATGATGTATGTATTTATAGTTTAACGGACACAAGAGTATCCATATACTATAACATTAATGATGTTTGTAGCTCTTTTGAGGAAAAATGACTACGGATTTTGATGAAACTTTACAGTAATGTAGCCAGGGCAACAGAGTATTTTATATGCTTTATTTTATCCAATGATTCCTTGTATTTTGAATAAAGTAGGTAACACGGAATATTAATGTCTCTGTCGGTTGACTGCCGTACCTATTGTTTTTAATTATTTCATACATTTTTTATCTGAGCCCAAACCCACAGTCCGCTCGACAGAATCAGACTTTAGACAACTGAAATAACTGAAAATATTAGTAATAATAATATAATCCTGGTGAACAGCTTGCAGGGTCTGAACAGGTCCAACATAATCAACTAATCACGCATAAGAATATAAGCATAACGTCTAATAAGTGACTGAATATTATTATATGTTAAAACAGACTTTACAAATTTTTTAACCCACTTAAATCAATATTATATAAAATCATATTATACAGGGTGACTGGTGAATTACTATCAATATTTAAGGAGAATACTCGGTACATTATTCTCATTCGAATTATGTAAAAAAAAAATAGGTACTTAATTTTTGACCAAATTTCCGTATAAATAAATTAAGTGTGGACACGTTCCAAGTGTTCCAAGTGTGGCCGCGTGCGGCGACGTGCTGATACAACACCACGCCGCCGCACGCGTTTGTGTGTGTGTGTATACCTAATCTGTAGGGTGTTCACATGATGCGTAATTAATTACATAACTTTTGGTTAACTTTACTTAAAAGTTTATTAATATTTATGTTATATTAATTTTTATTTTGTCATATATGTATGATCGTCAAATATCACGTCCTCAAGTATCGATAGTAATTCACCAGTCACCCTGTATATTGATAATTACAATGTATGTAGGTATACCAATAAGTATATTCTATTCTGAGTACTAAGCAAAAGCAAAATGATTAAAGTTGCTTCCTTTCTGTTTTTCTGTTTCTGGGTAATCGTAAAAGAAATATTCTTCTATCTTATACGATCTTACTTCTTGAATTGAATTCTCGTGGAAATAAGTTTTATTATATAAAACATATCTAAAGTTGGTAGTTTCCAATGTAGTGTTTTGTTTGATAACGGCTCTTATTATTTTTTCATTATTCTATTAATTTTTAGACATCCAAAATAAGAAGCTCCTGAACTAGATGAAATGTGAGTTAAATCTTAATGTTTTAGTCATAAATTTATATTGTACTCATACTATAAACTTTTGGCTTTAAATCATCTCTTGTAATCAAGACAAACGAATTGCATACAAGGATATATTATCGTGTGAGAAGGTGTCGAGTTCAATGTCCTGGCCGGTGTTTTTGACCTATCCCACTGAAAACTAAACAAGGATCATAGATGCTGCGTTTGAAGTGTCGCAGTGAGGATTTCGAGAGCTCCACGGGAACCAAAGCGCATGCTCCAGAATTCGTGATACCAAAACTTAATAATGCCTCTGTTATGTAGCGAGCCACTAATTGGATTGTCACGTCCATTATGCAGTATCATCAGAATGCCTTTGATATTAACGTCATTTATATATTAAATGTTAATTAATGTTATATAATTAAACACACGACGGATTATCATTAATCACATATAACTAATTTCGATAATGTAATACATGTCGATATAGGAAACAATGAGAGTAATTTGAGATGAAAATGAAAGGACCTAATCCATAATAGAATATAAGATGAGAGCCGGGCACGTGAATTGTTTCATCTGGTCCCGGTACTGCAGCATTTTCAAGGCCATTATTCAGTAGGCTGCAAGCAGTCGTACGGGCCGGTCGTCGTCACACGATGCCAGACGAGCTATGACGGCGCCACGCGATCGACGCCACGACGACAATGTCGAACTGTTGCCGCTTAAATCCATGCTTGTTAATAATAATTACAGGGAAGATGAAGCTTACTATCCCCCGGCATCAGCTATCAACAATAATCCGTCGAGTTCCAACCTGTACGACTACACGCTCCTCTCAAAACGTACACCGGCTTCCAAACGGTACGTTGAAATCAATGTTTTTTAATAAAAAACATTATTATTTTATAAATTTACAACTTACGTCAACATAGAGATGTATCTTGTATGTAATTCAATTCGGGTTACTGTGAAATGTACGTACAGAAGCGTTATAAATCGAGGTCCTTTGTTCTTTCGGATGTTTTCGTAATTTCGTTTCAAAATAAATGTCTAATTTAATAAATTTTGTATACACGTGTTTTATACATTCCCTGTATGACTTCCAACATCTATTTATTTATTTTTAGTATCCTTTGAAGGCGTTTACAAATGTTAACATGAATTTTTATATACAAAACATTAAACAATACATTTAATAGACATGATCAGGTGCTATACAATTTTTTTTCAGTTAAAATTGTAATTTTAGTGAAAACTATTTTTGTCATAGAACTTTAAATTATTTTTAAGTTATAAATAAAGTGAAAATTAAATGTAAAAGCATATTATATCTACATTTATTTCTTTATATTAACTATATATTTGTAATATCTGATTATTGTCTCGTCAGTCTGTTGAGGTCAGCTCAGCCGGCTCCCACACCACTGTTGACACTCCTGGGTGCTCCGCCCCCGTCCCGCAAGAGAGAAGAGCTGACCGCACTCGCCAACTTGAGGAAGAAAGTCGCTCCAGCATTGCTACGACAAGACAGGTAACAATAACACTGACACTTGATGAATAAAGACAAAAAAAGAAGCTAATTAAAAACTTCTCTTCTTCTCAACTGTATATATTGACCATACTAGTCCAACAGGTCAAGGGAAGCTACCCTCTTGAACTCTTGTTTTCTGGGATTGCCAATACCCTGTGAACCACATGCTCGCTTTCTCTACGCATTACATGGCCGTTCCATCTTACTCATTAAAATCTCCCCTATCTTCTAATTAAAAAAGAAAGCGTAAGTAATAAGCAAATAGGTCTATTTTAAATAACAAATGTTAAAGATTTCCGTCACTTCTATTCATAAATTTTCCTCTCAATAATGCTAATAAAAAATTGCTTTCTGTACAATTTATACAAGTGAGCTCTCGTTACAAAATAAATGTACAAACCCTCAAATATTAAATGTTTAATGACGTAACAAAACATGAAACGAACAGCCGCGGCCGCTACGATATAATATGTTTTGTATCGGAGATATGAAACATTTAGTAACAGCATTTAATTGAAATTATTTAAATTTAACAATTTTTTTAAATATAGTAGGTATAATAAATAGAAAAGCGAAATTAACGTTGCCATATGCCAAAAATACCATAGATAAATTTAAAGTAATTAATTACATATACTAAAACTTGAATATTATAATTAATACAATAAATTGTTAAATTTGAAACAAACTATTTGATTAAAATACTTGTATAGTATGTATAATGTATATGTACGCTATTTACGCTATTTTGTTTTGACAAATTTGTTTAGGGTCTAGATGTTACGAATAAAAAATACAAAAGGATATTCTTTACTTAATATAATAGATAAAAGAGTCTTTATGGACATACATACATACTTTGAATCGGTTTTTTTTCTATTCTGAAGCTAATATGGGCAACGGATAAAATAAGTAGTCAAACTATTGTCGAAATTTTTTCTGTTCTCAGTATACGTAATAATCTTTAACAACCACATATTCTTACGAGAATAATATGTATACTCGGGAAATATAAATACTGAAGACGATTGTTTTATTAAAAAAAAAGAAAGTTATTCAGACGGCTCACGGAAAGCATTTAGTTATTCGGCATTCTATATTCGGCTTAATATAATAGACGCAGCCGAATAGTACGAATACGGAATAGTAAACATGTACAATGATAGCTCTTTAATCTTAATAACTACCCAAGGTTTTAGCCTTAATATATTATATTAAACATACGGACAGAAAAAGTATAAAATATAACCAAATTGTTTATTAGTATTACGTAACATTTACATCTAAGGTGTAAAAAAAAATAAAAACACATTGCCAAAAATTAAAAATAATCCGTAACGTGATCTTTATTTAAAAAATATAACAAATATGAAACAAAAGAATAAATATGAAAAGTAACTGTTATAAGTGGCTTCTAAACCATATATTACCTTTATAATAAATATGATTTCGTCTCTTATTATAATTACTTATAATAAAAGACGAAACATCTCATCATTCAATGTATTCACCGTGCGTGTGCCGGATCCATCGTTGTAGTGAGAGGAGCTTCAACAGTGACTGGGACTTGCGACCCAGGTGTAGGTTTAAGGGGCCCCTACGAGTGTCTAACGCGCGTTAAATGCTCACCTCCACCGTTCAAGCTCCTCTCTCTACCTAACCGAATTTAAACCAAACCTACTTACTACTAGGGCTGCCTTGCCTAAAATCGCCTTTACTTTTCAGATGTTAAGTAAAAAATTCGTATGACAATTTGTTCTGATAAGTACCTAACTATTTAACGAGTATTCTGGTGAAATACTCTTATGTTATAATAACAGCTTTAATGTTTATTTTAATTACTTTTATGGGCTCTTTATTTTCTCTAATCCTATACACTGAAACTATAATCTCCAGTCACGCGAACCTTCGTGTGGCTTATCACGATTTTCACGTAATTATTTTCATCATGAATATACGTTTAACATTTAACGAATCTTTATACAGACTTGTTTTAAACTCGATAAGTAATACAATTATTGTAATTTATGATATCAACTTTATTTAAATGATAATTCTAGTGCATTTATATTGAAAATGATATGATAATGACGATATGTATATATGAATTTTAGTTGGAAATACAATAAAAAGAAAATTGCCAAAGAATTTCTCATTCGTTTTGAAAAATGAATAATAGAAACTGGAATTCAATTAAAAGAGACCAAGAGGGTGCTTCATTTCCCAGCGAGCTTGTACAGCTTGTTATTTTATGGAGGCGTAGGTGGCACATTCGCAGACATTGAATTTGTATATGTCGTTCAATTTGTACACAAGCTACTTGGAGAAGAAATTTTAATAAACGTTAACGACGCAATATGTTACATAAATATTAAAATTATATTACTGGCGGAAATATTAAACCTGTTTTAAGAATTTTATATTTCAGTCCGTAATGACTTTGAAGCGGTATCATCAAAGTTAAATTACACCAGTAACTAATTGCTTTTATGACATTTTCTTCTATATTTACGAATAAATGCTTCTTGAAGATTATTAAATGGATGGTTACGTTTTTATCAAATAGCATCAACCAACACGTCTTCCTATTTCCAGGTCATCAAAGATCGATCAGCATAAAGATGACAACGAGACCGAACAACTTGATAACAGGCCGAGGCTATTACAAAGGGTATGTAAAAATGACACAAAATATTACATTTGTAACATTGAATAAATTTTATCACAGCTTTGAAAGATTCACTATTAGATATAGATCTTATGGAAACAATAAACATTAGTCAAAGACTTAAAGGAACTCCTTGGACAGAAAAACATGTTTACCAGACGTGTCCCAGGTCCGGGAGACCTTGACCCAGCTCACAGCTGAGACTCGCGTGATACGATCCCTCGATACTTTGCTCAACATATCTCAAACTATGTTTAGATCCTTCATAATTCATATATATTTATGACTTAAACATCCAAATACCTACCACATATGGAGGATAAACAAATATTTCACGACTCTAGAACTTCATAGCATTTAAGCCATCTTAAGTAATTTAAGTAATCATTTATAACAATTATCTAAAAGTTTCTGGAAAATCCTGGTATTATCTGGCCGGCTCAGTTACATTATAGTTTTGTTGAATTCTTTTTGACTGAAATACTAAGTGTATTTCCAATGAAATTCTATATACGTACAGTAAACGATACATTAATAATGTGTGATGGGATATAATTATACCTTTGATATGTTAGAGAGATACGAAAACAGAAGCTAATTAACAATCTAATTATAATACTAATACTGAATACACCTACTAATAGTAGTAAATGAGACTACAAAAAGATGCTAACTTCACTTAGAGCAATTTTAAATAAGGATTCACTTTACCGTAGCGTCAAATTTTTTATTAAGCTGACGTCTTAATAATATTGACACAGAGGTATAAAGGTCAGTATGATAATAACGAAGCCTTACAACAAATAAACAACAATAATTCTCATACATTTACTTCTAAGGATAATTTCCTTTGAGTTTCATATTCGTGGAAACAAAATTATATCCCATACCTATTAGTTGAGATAAATATTAAGTTATGATTCAATGTTGGAAAAATTATTCATCCATTATAAACAATTACATTATTTTAATAAATATATGTATTTGGTTAAAGATATATTCTATTTTAAATAAGATTAAACCTTCTGAACTCTTAGTATGAGATTGGTTCTTCAACGAAAATACAAATAGTACCTAACTATTTTGTTCTTCATATACATATACAGGGTGACTGGTGAATTACTATCGATACTTGAGGACGTGATATTTGACGACCATATATGACAAAATAAAAATTAATATAACATAAATATTAATAAACTTCTAAGTAAAGTTAACCAAAAGTTATGTAATTAATTACGCATCGTGTGAACACCCTACAGATTAGGTATACACACACACACACACGCGTGCGGCGGCGCCGCCACACGCGTCCACACTTGGAACACTTGGAACGTGTCCACACTTTATTTATTTATACGGAAATTTTGTCAAAAATTAACTACCTATTTTTTTTACATAATTCGAATGAGAATCATGTACCGAGTATTCTCCTTAAATATTGATAGTAATTCACCAGTCACCCTGTATATCTACTGTGATACTGTCATATGCGAAAAAATATTTATAAAAAACTGGTGAAAGTCTGTAACGATACAATTTAGTTGATTATATATAATATCTTCTATATATATAAAAATGGATTGCTGTTCCTTAGTCTCGCTAAAACTCGAGAACGGCTGAACCGATTTGGCTAATTTTAGTCTTGAAATACTCCCGGAAGTCCAGGGAAGGTTTAAAAGGTGAGAAAAAATGGAAAAATTGCCGGGAAAACCCTAAAAACAGCCTTTTTCTATTTCCCATACTTACGATTTTTTTACATTAGACTTGACAACTAACTAATATGTCAATCATTCTGTCCAATTGAAACAGTAGAAATTTAATAAATACCAATACCGGGGTATTGAAGACCGAATAGAGTTTGCCCGGTCAGCTATACCTATATTACTAATGACGAAATTAACGCGGACGAAGACGCGGGAAAAAACTAGTAGTTAATATAAATTCTTATATACAGGAACAACGGCCCATAGTTTAGATATAATATGCATACACCTGTCTTATACGACCAAAAATAGAGCAATTATATTATAAAAATGAAATAAAAATTGTTTTTAGTTTTCGTTGCGTTTATTATCAATAATAATCAATAAAATATTCAAGTGAATATAATGAAATAGATATCATAAACTGTCTCTAAAGAGAACATTTACCTTCAAAGTTGTGAGAGGTTTTCTTCAGCGTAACGTTCTAGTAATTTCTAAGTCCGTGTTATTAGGGAAGTGGGTGAAAGTGGAGCGCGTCCTTGACACAAACCTTCGCACCTTAAATCCCTTACAAACTCATAATGGCAGCATTTCCGTCTGCGTGGAAACAAAGAAGATTGGCCCGTTTAGCAGCAATTACGCTCGCTTTATGCGATGTTCGACTTTAATCTGCCTGCTTACCACAAATTTGAGTTGTCAATACTTACTGAGAATTTACAGGTTTTGTAATATAAAAGTTTTCGTATGTTTTATTACGCATAGTAAAGAAAAGTTTCTAATAATAAATTGAAACTTATCAAAAATTGCATCATTATATGTAAATGTGAAAAAATAAGTTCGGCAAAATAAAATTCCAATTTATGTTTTTGATACAAACAAATAATTGATAAAATACGGTCCGCGTTTCTGACACCCGGTGTTCAATATTTTAAAAACCAACTGTTTTGATAATATAAAATGAAATATAGCTCAATTGTGTTTTTAACGTAGCTTAATTTTGAGTTAGTGTGTCATCAGCCCTTGAGTGAGTCATTAGCTCTTTTAAATTCTAAAATCTCAAAAGACACCAGGTCTTTGCTCTAAGTTGTGGCCTAATGAGTGACAAAGCGGGATTACTTAATAGTCATACTCATTAGAACTGTGGTATTTTAAATGTACAGTTAAAAACATCGAAACAGATAATTTTATTAAATAATCATGATAATTAAATAAAACTATAAAGAATATTCATAAATTGTCTATGGTGCTGTTTTTTGTACCTACCCACCAGACCTGACGAGATAAAGATTACATACATATATACAAAATTACAGAGTATCGAAAATTTTACTTCTATTTTAATAGTACATATAAAGATAGATAGAAGTTTAATAAGATAGCACCCGACTAATAATAATCAAAATAAAATTGTTGCATTTATTTATATAATCTTGTATATATAGGAATTACATTATATACCTTGCGGCAGTTTCATCTCTAGCTAGCCGTATTTCTTAATTATTTTATATATTTTTTTTAATATAATAATAGTTGAAGGTTCTTTTGTTTGATTACTTATTTTTTATTGTTTCATGACTACGTTATATCTATTCAGTGAAAAATTAATTAAATACGATTTCCTAATTAATTTCAGTTTAGTTTTAGAGTAGATAATTATAATTCTAATTAATTAAAAACGATGTTAAACTCAAATAAAGTTATTAATTTGAGAGTTATTCTATTCTGGTAACAAATTGTAACTCGTTAATAGCGTCCTTCAACTGAGAGAGCGTACGTGACTTGACAACATATTGAACAATGATTTTATTGAAACATATATATAGACTTATGTACATGTATGTATGTATATATAACACGTGTTTTATCCTAAATTAAATCATTCACATAACCCTTTCACCATAGAAATGTGTCTTCAAAAGTCACGCATTTTCTTAGAGTTGAAAGCAAACTTAAAATACCATTCGCAAAGACTGAGTTTTCTATAAATATCTTGTGGTTCTATTGAAGCTGGGCCTTGAGGAGGGAGGGGGAGGGGAGGGGGGGTGAGGAATTCATCTACATTTTATATCAGCCTCTGACGTGTCTTGAATACGCTCCTTATTGAAATTGCAACATTGAACATACCCGCATAATACTTGCCCTATAAACACATTTGCTGGTTCGAATTTATTAATTCACCACAATTGTTTTATGGTACTATTCAAAACTAACACATTTGCTGGTGTTAATTTATTAATTCGTCTCGATATTTTATTGTACTATTCCAAAGCTGTAAGTTGATTCATTCGCACGAAATGGTTTTTTTCATTCATACTGATTAAAAAGCTAAAATGAGAGTAACCTTTGTTATGCCTCATTACAACGATCATCGTTTCAGAGATTAATTTCACCAAATAAACATATGGGGAAATCGAAAGAAGAGTTTTTTTGGTAAATTTTATTTGAGTTACGTCCATTATCCAAACGAGTTTAGTAGAAATCTATTATTTTAATATTACAAACAGACATATAAATTTCATTATATTTTGGATATGGCAATACAACAGCTCTCAGGCTCTAATACTAAATTCGTGTAAGACTATGTATAACAATTTGTATCATGTAATATGTAGCAGGTCTTGTAGCTCTCGTTGTAGGTAGCACTCGTAGTAATATAGTCGTGTTCAGCAATATAGTGCATTTTTATTTTCATGTAAACCTCTTTTCATATAACGCTACTATAATGTCAGAATTAATAAAGTCAACGGTTTGTTTCGGGAAAAAAAAAAACAATTATGTGTCACTTTATGAAGTGTAGAGCAATATACTGCATTTTTATTTTCATGTAAACCTCTATTCATTTTACATTTATAATGTCAGAATAAATAAAGTCAATTGCTTGTTTCTAAAAAAAAAAAAACAATTATGACGTAAATTTATGAAGTGTAGATTATTTTTTATAATAACACTGGCACTTTATCCACATTATCTGTTATAATGATACAATATTTTTCAGATACCGTCTCAGTAATGTTATAATTTGGGACGATTGATGGTGTGTCGACCTAGCCTTATTATGATTGATGACTCTAAGGAACTTTAGATTAATATTAATTCAATACGTGAAAGCATTTAAAAGTAATTCATTCGCAAATCAAACGTTATTATTTTTAAATATAAAATATGAAAAGCGTTTTCTGAATAAACATACTAATTTAGATTTTAATTACTCAGATGGCTGAGAGTCCGCAATGCGCACTGTTATACAGATTAATGTTGTTAATGAGAAAGTTACTTAAATAACTGTTAGGGTTTAATTACTGAAAACCGGTTTTAAATAAGATCTTACGATTAATTACCGGTAAATGAGAAATGATTGATTATATATTTTTTTGTGTTCCAATCACTACCATTCGAGATGTTATGACAGTTTTAAACCAAATAATTTTAATATTATCAAAAAATAAGAGTAAGCGTAATTTTAACATGTAACAACTATAGTATAGCTTTTTTAATTTCATTTGCCGCTGTACATACTTACTATGTATCAATCTAAACGTATCTATTATAGCAATTAATTTCAAACTGCGGTATACTTACCACAAGTAAGCATCCTACACTACATACGAAGCAATTTCTCTCTCATCATAACCCATAATAATAATGTACGAAGTCTTATGAATAAAAACCTGGCATCCCTCTATATCTTGAGAATGCGAAATTGTTCTAGGCATACTGTGATTTTTTTTGTTACAAATTACATAAACATAAATTAAAAGTATAAACTTGTCTAGATTTAAGTCACGAAGATAAATTATATTTATGTACTATAAGAAAAAACGAGCCTAAAGAATATTTATATTTTAATATTCATATTTAACTTCAATATTATAGATAAATATATCTGAACTAGAAGACCTGGCGAACTTCGTATCGCCCTATAATCAAGAAATATCTGTTACATTTTTTTATTTATATTTTTGGAGTTTACCTGTAAGCCATAAATCTTGAAGTGCGACAGAATGATTGACATATTAGTTAGTTGTCAAATCTAATGTCAAAAAAAACGTTTGTATGGGAAATAGCAGAGAACTGTTTTTAGGGTTTTCGCGGAAATGAATCAATTTTTTTCAGCTTTTAAACCTTCCCTGGACCTCCACGAACATTTCAAGACTAAGATAAGATAAATCCGTTCAGCCGTTCTCGTGTTTTAGTGAGACTAATGAACAGCAATTCATTTTTATATACATACTAGTTTTTGCCCGCGACTTCGTCCGCGTTAGTTTGGTCAAGAGTAATATATGTAGGTATAGCTGACCAGTCGAACTCTATTCCGTCTTACAGGCCATAAATAATCAGGTTTTTCCTGTTTCAATCAAACAGAATTGACATATTTGTTAGTTGTCAAATCTAATGTCAAAAAAAACTTTTGTATGGGAAATAGAAAAGGGCTGTTTTTATGGTTTTTCCAGTAATGAATCATTTTTTCTCACCTTTTAAACCTTCCCTGGACTTTCAGGAGTATTTCAAGACTAAAATTAGCCAAATCGGTTCAGCCGTTCTCGTGTTTTAGTGAGACTAATGAACAGCAATTCATTTTTATATATACATACTAGAAGACCCTGCGAACTTCGTTTCGCCCTATAATCAAGAAATATCTGTTACGTTTTTTTATTTATATTTTTGGAGTTTACCTATTAAAGCCATAAATCTCCGTGTTTTGAAGTGATTAGGAATGATTAATAGTTAATATGAGAGTTACACTGAGCTAGCAAAATAATAATTGTCAACGTTACTACTACACTTGATGCACAAACAATAACGATGGCCGACAACTGTGTAGGGAGTGAGAGAAGTCTAATTGTGTGAGAGAAACAGAAGACCGGCTTCGTTCTCATCCCTACTCCGTGCTGTTTACTGGGTCAGAAGTGACACCTGTAGATATCTGGCGGGGATAACTTATTAAATGACGATTGATCAGTTATCGACCGGAGATGAAAAATGATTAAATTACTAAAATAGCTATTAAAAAATAAGGGTTGATCGTAGAAGGGTGAAAATTTAGGATTGTATGTATTTTTGTACGTTGTATCATAAAAAAATAGTAATTAAAAATTTTGTCTAAAAAATAAAAAAAAAATTTAGGGGTGGACTACCCCTAACATTTAGGGGGATGAAAAATAGATGTTGGCCGATTCTCATAGCTACCGAATAAGCACAAAAAATTTCATCAAAATCGGTCAGGTTGTTTCGGAGGAGTATGGGCACGAAAACTGTGACACGAGAATTTTATATATTAGATATATATAGATATAGAAGATAATATACTCTTGCCAATATCTAAAGATCGTTTAAGTCATTATGCAAATGTAAAGTCACAGATCATCTCGCCGTCCGTCCCTCGTATGCAATCCAATGAGTTATAAGGTAGTTTAAATGAAACTAATATTTTTGGACACTACTCGTTTTTAAAAGTACAGCGAATTGCGAAAATCTTAGATATTATTACGATTTATGTAGTTGACAATTGTTACCTCAATAAAAGTTTGTTTCGTCAAATTAATACATCCGATTTCAATGTTCATATATAAATCATCATCAAATAATGTACTTATATGATATATTTGTATAAAAAGTTTAAGATATTTAAAACTATACCAATATTATTCTAGACTTCTTAGGTTATAGTTGTGAAAATATTAAAACAGCTGTTTTAAATAAACTAAATAAAAATTCGTAGATTATAAATGTCCATATTTATAAAGACAGATTATTTTTACAAATCCAGAAACCATAGACAATGATGAGACTGCAATTTTTAGTCTATTATGTATCCTTAGGCTTCAGGTATATTATACACAGTGCAATGTAATTGTTATTAATTTATGCCTCGCCAAAGTATTCAAAACATCTAATGCGTTTATTGAATATGCCATAAGTATATATGTTTAGTTTTAACATTAATAAATTTTATATTAAAAGAACTAAAAAAATATTTACGTATTTAATAGAGTACATAATATAATGTAATCATATAATCAAATCTTTTATATAATCTTTTCTTGGCGTTTATTAAATAAAATGTCTTCGTTCAGAATCGGTGCCAAAATATTTATAGAAACTTCTAGTTTTACAGAATAAAGAGATATAGAGGTCTCAATTCTGAAGCTCGTAAAGTTTGGTGCGGGTCCAATTCATTCGGCCCACTTCCTTCTTTATTGATTTAACCTTTTCTTTCGAGTGGAAAATGTCGATTTTATTGTTCGGCATTTCCAATTACCAATAGATTGCTCACTAAACCGACATTCGAGGGAAAATAACATGTTAAAGATTTTTTTTATATATGTTTTATTTTATGAAATTGATTTCAAATATTTCTTGATTTGCTGTATAGATTACACATAAATAAATAACAATATGAAACAGTTTCAACTATTATTTTAGGACCATTTTTTTGGATAACGGGTGAACATTTTAACGGTCCCATTTATACGTAGATTATATTATTATTAATCCGTATAAATTAGGTTAATAGCCCGACTCTCATGCATGAGGGAGAGGGTTCGAAACCTGGCAAGTACCAATGTGATTTTTCCAAATCATATGTACCTTCTAAGAGTATTTAGACACTACTGACAGACGGTGAAGGAAAACAGTGATGGAAACCTGGACTTATAATTTCAAATTATAAGTTTGAAATCACCAACCCGTCTTGAGCAAGCGTGGTGATTAATGCTCAAATCTTCTCCATGTGAGAAGAGGCCTTGCTCAGCAGTGGACTTTGATAATGATATTATTATTTTCTCAGTACTTTTCTATGTATCTTAAGCATTGAAAGTTGAATGGGATGCCTTAAACATCGGCCTATCAGAGCCCACTGCTGAGCAAAGGCCTCTTCTCACATAGAGAAGGTGCCATGGGATGTCTTATTTTGATATAACTTGGTAGGTGCTACAAAGCCGTCCAGTGAGTATGGTGGTCCAGTGGAGCGAGGTCCGCACGGCCTGGCAGGACAGCGACTTCATCACGGAGTGTCTGTGCTGGCACAACGTGTACAGGCAGCGACACGGGGCGCCGCAACTATATATGGCGCCCGAGGTATACTTAGTAGAGACACAAAAATATTGAAATGAAAGTAATATTTTTGGATTTACTATGCGATTTTTTGATCCAGTGATCACATCTCGTCTGCCCGTGATCACGGTTGCTGTAAAGTAGCTGAAACGTCGGGAGTTATAGTTTAGTTTGTAGTTATTAAAATAAAAAATCGGGTAGTAAATCCAAAAATATTCGTTTCATTTAAATGAGTACTCGCGAAAATCTTAGATCTCATTAATACAAAACTATGTATTTTCTAAGCTGGCTTCATCATAATAAGATCTATGACTTTCCCGTGTATTAGGTATTTGGGATTAATTTGCGTATTTTATTATTTTTTAAAACTACATACTCTGGTTTCGGTTACTATGCAGCAACCGTGATCACGGGTACACGAGATGTAAACATCGGTTTAATCATAGTTAAACCAAATCTGTTATTTTCTATTTGGACGCCTTCTTAAATTTGAAAAAGGAGAATTTATGATTCCAAATTATACATTTTATTTAAAAGTAAAATATAGACTTTCATTATAAGTGTAAGTAAACAATCTAAAAAGTTGCTTTAAATTAAATCTGTCGACCATCTCTTCATAAGAAAGATGATATATATACCAGTACCTACATATATGATGTAATGATACCTAAAAGTAAGGAGGTTTTTAAGATGCTACGCGTTTTATAACTACATAATCCCGACGTTTCGGCTCCCTTACAATTTACAGCAACCGTGATCACGGTTACTCAGTTCCATTTAAACAGGTATTTATATGGTAAAAGTTTTATATGATTACAGTTGTGCGACTACGCCCAAGCGTGGGCTAATCATTTGGCCCACACCAACAAGTTCCACTATAGAAACGACCGTGACGTCGGACAAAACCTTTACCAGCGACCAGTCAGCGACATACAGCCTGATGTCACCGGTATTATATCCTTAATATTATTACTGGACCTTTTTAATCCTAATTATCTCTTTATAAAAATATATTATTTAAATCTTATTTAGTCAGTGGTGGTTAAGGGCCCGCCTCTCATGCATGAGGGCGCGAGTTCGAACTTCGATCCTGGCAAGTACTAATGTGATTTTTCCGAGTCATATGTACTTTCTGGGAGTTTTTAGACACTACTGACAGACGGTGAAGGAAAATATAGTGAGGAAACCTGGACTTATAATTTCACAATTATAAGTTTGAAATCACCAACCGGTCTTGAGCAAGCGTGGTGATTAATGCTCTAACCTCTTCCATGTGAGAAGAGGCCTTTGCTCAGCAGTGGGCTCTGATAGGCTGATGATGATGATGACGATGTCTTAGTTACTATTTTGTCGTACAGTAGTTTAAAAAAAAATGCTAAAGAATATTACTAGTACATTCGCGAAATTATATCGTATATAAAGTATTTGCGATATAATTTAATTTGATAATTATTTTTGTATTCACAGGCCAGGAGGTGTCATCGTACTGGTACGCCGCAGTCCGTCAATATAACTTCTTCAAGGAGTCAGACGTTTTACATGCAAATGTTAACGCAGGTATATTCTTGAAATTATTATTATTCATTTAATTATTTCTAGGAGTCTCGCTCTATTTGCTACTTTCAATAAAGTGGCTAATAGTGTCTTGTAAAAACAAAGAAAAAAATAACTACATATAAAGATATAATCGTTGTTATTTTAAGGTCATTTCACCCAAATGGTGTGGGTGGCAACTCGATTCTTCGGAGTGGGTAAAGCCAGATCCCGTGCGGGCAAGGTGATAGTGGTAGCCAACTATTCACCGCCGGGTAATATGTCCGGACAGTTCGAGACCAACGTGCTTCCCCCAACACCGGACACCTTCCCGGACCTGCCTCCGCCGGAACACTGACGACAGCTTTCCATACGTGGCAGACGGCTCCGGATTGACACCACGTTCAGACAAAAGTAAAAAAAAGTAATATATAGACAGTGGAACTCTATGGTTGAAAATAATTTTGAAATTCGAACAACCTAAAATGGTGGATTATTTTAATACTAAATGATTTTTGCGAACGAAATTAATGATACGTATTTTGATGTGATTGTGTTAAAAAGTAAAAGAAAAATTATTATTTTAATATAAGGTGGTTTTAACGTTATAATGTTAAAATAAATTTGGTTGTGATAAGTTGGTGAGTTGTCAATTACGTGACACGAGTAATGGATAAAGGCAAAGAATAGAATGGAATGAAAAAAATATATCACGTGATAAAGATTGCAGGAATCCTATTTATAGGTGTCTTTTCAGTTACAAATTGAACCTTGTTCGGAAAACACTTCTTTATTTAGAAGCCACATTTATTTATAGGTACTATAACTACCAAAATAGGTACTTAGAATTTTTTTATGGCAGTATCATAGTCAACTTATTCACTAACACGTCATTACACAAATATATACCAAAAAGGTTTTATTAGACTCATTAAAGATCGTCAGTGGTTAGTAATAAACGGTTGTTTTGCCTGAGCTTATAATATTAATGTTTTCCGACAAATATTTACGCACATAATAGAATAGAGCTGACAATCATACCAACAATAATTACAAATTATCGTCTTATATAAATATTCATACGTTATTGATCTCCAAATATCTTCTAGTATCTTCCATACTTTCATTTTAGTTGAAATGGGTATAAACTATAAGGTGACGTATTCCATAACCCAAGTATCAGTGCGTCAATTCTTCTCAAATCTCATCCATTCGTAGTTAATGAACTGTAATTTCATTCGGAGATATTAAAAACATGAAAGCTTTTAATTCCAAAGAGTTTAGAAAAATATTAACGGAGCTTTTAGAATTGATACTTTGCAACCTTTAGTGATATTCAAAGGAGTTTATATATCATATACGTAGTACTAATAGCTAAGTGTTTTCAATTCTTTTACGATTGTTACCCGATAGTTTTATATAAAATCCCTAACACGTTAAACCCTGTCTTCCTAGAAGGTTGATATTATGTACACTTGTTATTATTGGACATCGCTATTTGTAAGTCTAGCTAATAAATGTCAGTTATTACTTGGTGACACTGACGTTTTGTTAACGCCATCTTTAAAACCGTTGAAGCCTAAGCATAAAAAAAAATTACCGCTTCTCGCACGTCCCCGCTTTAAGTCTAAGGTTTAATAGTATACATATCTGTAGCAGTAGTTTATATTTGCCGTCCGTAAAAAATAATTACCGAAGATTAAATGACAAATACTTGTAACGTGTCACAAAACTTATAAGTTGGTCGTGTTATTTAAATACAGAGTACAGAAACACTTTGCTTATTAAAATTATATTGTTATCTAGATGTAGACACTTGAATAGAAAGGCTTAGAATATGAATTGCTTATAATGCTACCGTCTATTAAAACTATATGTCAAGCTGGATGCGTACATAGTTATAGAGCTTGTAGAAACTAGCTAAGTTAAACTAGTTAAGCCATTCAAGAGAGAATTTTATTATAAGCTAGATATTAGATGTAATGTTGGCTGTATAATTGTTCCACACATCGAATATATAGACAAATAGATGTAGCTTTAAAATGTTTGTTATTTAAAAAAAAATATTGTTTTTTTAACAACAAAAAAGGTTTAATAAGGCTTATTATTTATAAGGTTGTTAGTTTGTGCTTCCAAGGATTATATTTAATACAATTTACATATAGTGTATATTTTCTTTAAAAAAGATTATTGAAATTTATTTTATTGTGCCAATATACACAGTTACTTCTAAATGAGAATTTATTTTGAAAAATTTTAATTTTATATTCATATTGATACCATCAAGAGCTAAATGTTAGAATGACTTAAATTTGTTTAATATTTTTTAATTTAATTATTAATGGTTTAGGTAAGCAGTGTTTATTTTTATTACAAAAATTATTGTTATTTAAATCAATATAAACAAGAAATTAAGATTTAAAAATAGTTAAGAATACATTTTTAGATATTTATTTTATTATGAATTAGTAAACGGCTGTGAATTGTTAATTGTTGTATTCAAATGGGGCTTGGCAATATTTTAGTTAAATAAAAACATCAAATCATATTGCATTTTATTTGTAAAAAACCTGTTTACAGTAATAAAAAATTCTTATTTATGGAATTAATTTCACTTCTAAGCGATCTCAAGATAACCAACACTTAAAACTATTGAAGATCATTCACTCCGTCCACCTGTGTTTGCAACTGGTGCACACATAATACAGCCTCATTTCTTCTTCCGCACGTCTCGTTTGTCCTTGGAAGAACACAGCTTCCCTGTGATTACACTTCGGGCAGACGTGATCTTTAGTTCGTGGTAGTGTTGGATCGCTAACTACATCGGGATTTATATGTGTTAATTCGTCAACTTCGTGCATAATTTTGTTGACATACACACAGTTTGAGTCAGCCAGTTGTTTATAATCGCAATTTCGACAAGCGTACTGAAGGACTTTATTGTTTTTATCTTCTCGTGGGTAAAGCATGTTGTTGCACTCTTGACAAAATTGTATACCAACGTAACCGGGACCACCGTCTTTTCGACCGATATTCATATTGTAGGTTTATTCTTTACTTAATTTTATAATACCATATGACTGTTGTGGTAGAAAATAAGTAGATATTACAAATTAAACTGTTAGTTTTTCTAGATTCTAGAAAATACTTTGGTTTGTCTATAAACCGAACTTCTTAGTGAATGTCAAAAGCTCAATACTTCGGACGTCAAATTGGCAACTGTTTGACAGTCTTAAATAACAGCTTATATCTCTATACCGTCCCTGTTTCTATTCCATTATTACTTTAGAGTTACTATTGTTATAATTACAATAATAAACTCGAAGTAGTAACCATAAATATAACCATTTTTATTATGATTTTCTATCAGAGATATTGAAGATAAATAGTAGTTATACGTATTTAATATTTTAATGGTTTAAACTTATGAAGTCGTTATTGAAAGAGGAAACAAAAATGATCACATCTATTTTTAGTAGAATTAAGTATTTTGTTTATTTTAAGAATTTTTTTATTAATTTCATGTCATGTTTCAATAATAAATTTATTTATTTATTTAAAATTATTTAGGATTTTTATATGTTACATTATGAATTTAATTTAGAATAAATTTCAAATTTCTTTAACCAAACTACATTCAGGCTATGCATTTTAATTTTTATCTTCATTAGCTCTAAAAACCCTAGCCTGGAGGGTTTTACTTATGAATGAATTTATAGTTTTCTATCCATAGACAACATTTACAACACTTTTTTTTCTGCGATTGGTACACATGTTGATTTGAAGGCATTGGTTGGCCAGATTATATTTCTTTTCCCATCCGTAGCCGATTGGTGTCGTGCTATCCAAATGGGTAAGGAATAGTTTTGTGCTAAAATTATGAAGAATTTATATATTTTGTGCAATATTGTGTCTACTTAGTGTTCATTTCTACTGTAAAATGTGAAAGTGCTATTACACGAAAGTTTTTTTTAAAAACCTCAAATAAAATACTTATTTTAAATTCACGCCTAGAAGTCGGCCATGGCGCAGACATGTTTTTCTCGTGGTGTTTATATAAATCCTCTTTCATCCTACTGTAACTGTGGATGTTCAGAGGTATTTTATAATATTATCACTCTTCGAAATCTTAATTATAGTGTAGTGTATAGATTTCGGTGAACCTAACCTGGACTTAGTGATGACCGGCATATAACTATTCCAGGTAAACCCCGAGGAATACGTACCGCGCGTAAGCACGTGAACCATCGCAGAGAGCAGCGATGGGCAGACAAGGAGTTCAAAAAAGCCCACATGGGCACAAGGTGGAAGGCTAATCCCTTCGGTGGAGCATCTCACGCTAAGGGCATTGTCTTGGAGAAAGTGTAAGTAAGTTTCGTTTTATATATGCGACGTGTTCCTTACAGGCCTCAGCTAAACGCAAATTCAATGTGTTAATGGTGGATGAGTGAAGAAAATTACATGGCAATGTTAGTACGAATCTACAGGGATATATTCGTAACTCGACGAAGTTACCGCACGCAGTATTATTCCCGTGAATGTGTTCCATCTACAATCACAGGATAATACTGCGAGTGGCATCATCGTGGTCCTCGGTGCTACAAGGTGAAGCGAGCGCGTAGTACGCAGGAGTTACACGTGGGTCAATGAACTTGACATGGGGGAGCGTCGACCAATGGTCATGGTGTTTTCATGTTGTGTGTCTAACGATTTTATATATCGCTGTTTTCTAACATTTTACTAATGACCGATGATTGTTTGTGATTGTAAACATTGTGTTTTTGGGGCGTACAGTTATATTATTTAACGATGTGTTATCTTGTAGTGGTGTTGAAGCCAAACAGCCTAACTCCGCTATCCGTAAGTGCGTCAGAGTGCAACTTATCAAGAACGGCAAGAAGGTGACGGCGTTCGTGCCTCGTGACGGTTGTTTGAACCACATCGAGGAGAACGACGAAGTACTGGTCGCGGGATTCGGTCGTAAGGGTCACGCCGTCGGTGACATTCCCGGAGTCAGGTTCAAGGTGTGTGATGAAACACATATACATACATACAAACAAATCGTGTACAATAAATAAACTCAATACTCAATAAGCATGTGAGCAGTAAACACTAATTTTGTGTTTAGTTGAACCTTAAACAAAAAGGTGTGTTGCTCTGATGATTAAGATAACTTACTGATCTTAATATTCCCTTCCAGGTGGTCAAAGTAGCCAACGTATCACTCCTAGCATTGTACAAAGAAAAGAAGGAAAGACCAAGATCGTAGATCTACTTCATTGTGATAAGGTATATAATAGTTATTTTTATAAGATGCTTCACACAAAATACAATATTCTACTTGATTAAATTAATTCATACATTATTGTGTTTATATTTTACTTTTTAAAGTACAAGATTTTGAATGATGTAATTATGTTGATTTGCTACTGCTGAATGCCATGACGTTAAAACTTTACTGACTGAAGATTATTTAATATATTAGATTTTTGAATAACTTACAAGTTTTAAGAATTGTATTTTTTTGTTACAGTACTGCTGGGATGGTGTTGCTCATAAGTGTAAATTCAAAAAATACATAAAAATTAGTACACAATAAACCTGTGTATGACAAAAGTCTTTTCTTTTCTAAATTCCACACAATTATATATTAATACATTTGACATATTTAATGCTGCAATTTGCAATATATAAGGTCATAGTGGTCTAGAGGGTAAAGGTCCGTCTCATGTATATGGGCGTGGGTTCGAAACCTGGCAAGTACCAATGTGATTTTCCAAATTGTATGTATGTTCTAAGAGTATTTAGACTCCACTGACAGAAGGTGAAGGAAAATATCGTGAGAAAACTTGAGAACTTATAATATCAAATGATAAGTTTGAAATCACCAACCCACCTTGAGCAAGGATGATGATTAATGCTCAAACCTCATTGTGAGAAGAGGCCTTTGCACAGCAGTGGCCTCTGATAGGCTGATGATGACGGCTGCATTCTTGTAAATATTCTCAAGGGTATTAGAAATAAAAACAGGTGTTAAACTGCTATGTCATATATTAGATTGCTCTGATTATACAATAACTGAATGATAAAATAGTGAACTGTACAGACTGCAGTCTATTTAACATTCTAGGCAAGATGTTTATTAGGTAAAGATTTTAGAATACATGCACAAGAAGAAACTATTGTCGAGTTGATTCAAAGTATTTTATGAGACCTCTAAACAATTTAATACATAACTAAGACACTAAATTCCATCTCCACTGAAGTTAAATTGTTTATTTATATTTTATTAGAAAAGTTAATAGATCCTTCAAACATATGGAATGTATTGAGATTTAAAGACCAAGTAAATTTGGTTTTACAGACTGAACTTAACACTAACATGCAACTGTTTTCATACCAGTGAGGATTTCATTACAGACTTAATACATTAAAAAAAACCTAATATATGTAAAGGGAAATATGTATTAAGAATTGATATAATGTGGTCAGAGGAAAGGTTTTAATATTCCTAGGAAGAAATTTTTAGTCTCAAATAAGCACTACAATATTAATGACACAGTTCTCAGTAAACATTCAAAAAGTCCTTTATGAGGCCATTACAATAAATAGAGAAAAGATATTTACACCATCTGGCGCATCACAAGGAACTACCGAGAACAAGATAAAACGTTCCCTGGTCGATACAATACCATCCAAAAATACATTCCCTAGAACATCAACACTTTGATCACAGACGACGGTCAGGCCTCGCGTTAACTACGTCTTACTGTGGACATCGCTCGACTTCATATAAACTAATATTAAAGCGATATATTTAGAATGCACCGTTTATGTACAGATTAGATTTTATTTATACGTTAGGCCCGCGAGTACCACAGAAGTAGCTACTAAACTATCGCATGCATCTACAGATTGTTCTGATGTAAGTGATCTAAACTTCACGAGTCACACTCGTTTTAAAAGTCGATAAGCTCATCCATACATTACTTTAACTTAGTCGAGGTTATTTTTACTCTTTAGATAAAATGAACATTAGTTTTGTGCTACTTACAAATATTTTATGATAACAATAATCTGTTGTTTGTTTATGATGAACCGAGAACGGATCCAGTATGACCCAATCGAAGAATAAAGCATGAAGTATATAAACACTAATGAAATCTGTAAACCTGGCTCCATAGTCTCACAGTAGAGAGAATTAATTTTCAATAAATTATCAAACAATTATATTCTACACAGCATGATTATGTTTTGCACTTATACTTATTTTTTTATATATTTCGAGATTATACATGATCATTATTTAACGTTTCAAGCTGAATCATTCAGAGAGTGTTCCTGCGCCGGCGGACCAGGCCGCGGAATACGTTCGGTACAAATTCGTTGTTGCGCGCTGACATCTGGAAATATTAAAAAGGTCATTAATATATAGACATATTATTTATTCAGTTACATATTAGGAATTCAAAATGATTTTAGTAGTTCAAATATTACGATAAAAAATATACATAGGTACATATATGTATATATAATTTTAACTTCTATATAAAATCTTTTATTTGAATCTGTACGATTCCACCTACAATATGTCATTTAAATTTGAAAACATTTCATCTCATTGTTACATAGGAATGTTGGAAATATGTTCACAGTGTAATCAATAACGTACGTTAATGAAAAATGAGTAGATATTGTTGTAATTAGCAGACAACGCCATCTAGCGTCCGTGGTTTCTGGTAAACATTACAATTATTATTCAAAAAATACACTGAATTTCATTATGAACTAGCTGCGCCCCGTGGTGTTATCCGCGGATTTTCGGGATTTCCGGGATGTAAAGTAGCCTATGTTATTCCTGGACGTCGGCTTTCTGTATACAAAATTTTATTAAAATCGGTTCAGCGTGAAGAAGTAACAAACATACACACACTCACAAACTTTCGCAATTACAATATTTGTAGGATTATAGCCTCTATATTAACTTGCAGTATAGTTAGCTAGTTAGTTCGTGAGTGTGATATAAGTAGTGTTCGTACCAGCGCCGTGTGGTGCTAGGAGTCGTGCGCGTGCGCGTGTGTGTGTGAGGCGGCCGGCTGCGGGTAGTCCATGGTCTTGATGTAGGCGACGGCCGCGCAGAACTGAGTCCACCAGTACAGAGACTCGCCCTGCAGCGACGGACCTGACAGGGCGTTCACCAGCTCCAGGGTCGACAGGAGAGACGGAGGGTTCACCTGGGAAATAGAGTGAAAGATATATAGATACACAGCTACTGTAGTGTTATTGAAACGTTAGCAGAAAATATAGAGTGATAACACGATATATAGTTTGATATTTAACTGCTAAATCTCTCTACAACTTACTAAAAGACGTGAGATGGTGTAGAACTAATATTAATTCTTGAAATGTGGTGCAGTTAGCGAAGTGTTATAATGAAATTTGCAAAAAATTACCAAGTCTGGACCTATTTGGCGAGTCGTTTTATGTATTTAAAAAGAAAATCATTGACTATCTTTCTTCTAATTCATAATTTTCCTAAGTTTATATAATATTTTTTTTTTAATTTTGTTATTTTTACGTATTATTTTTGTTTTATATTTAAATTAGTGTGTATACTTTTTTGATTGTATTCTGTAAATGTTATGTACACTTTATCATTGACGTACATATCTGTTGTTATAATATAGTCACCTACCTTAACTGAAAACTTTTAATATGTATGTTGTTAGTGTACTTATTTTAAATAAATAAATAAATGTACATACTTCGAATGCACCCCTAGTAGATTCTTTTCAAATATGGTTAGGTGGAGAAAGGAGCTTGGACAGTGGAGGTGAGCGTATAACGCGCGTTAGATAGGAGCCCCTTAAACCTACACGTGGGTCGCAAGTTCCAGGCACTGTTGAACTTCACTCCTTACAACGCAATAGACCCCGTACCCGCTCTACAGAATGCTCAGAGGTTTCTTCTCATGTAGTAGATGCAAAAACGTTAAATATGAAAGCCGCGTCTCACCTTGAGTATAACGTATACGAGTGCGGGCGTGAGGTCGTCAGCGGCGGGAGGGTCGGGTGTGGACAGCGCCAGAGTGGCCAGCAGCGAGCGGACACAACGCAGCACGCAGCGGAGCTTGTCTGACGGAGTGCGGTGGGCGGACAACGCTCGCAGCTGCTGCTGGGCGTGAGGGAAGGGCGCCGCCCACAAGTGACGAGCCGCCACGCCCACACCACCCGCGCCTCCGCTCACAGATAACACGCGGCGGATGTGCTCGCTGAACACCCTGTGTACACACATGCGACACGATTAATGAATGATCGAAGTGTTTCTTCAGTTCAAAGCCGTCCTCGGTGTACTCACTGGTCCCTGGCGATGTCTCCGTCTCCGTTGGGGAACATCACGTGCAGGTACAGCCTGGTGTACACGGCTCGCTCCACGGTCCGCTCCAGCCCCTCCGTCATGACGCTGGAGGCGCCTGTGTGATGACGTCACTCAGTCACAATGTAAACTAAAGTTCATATATCACCAGTGAGTCTCCTACCTTCCCAGGACGGGTCGCTCTTGATCTCGGCGGTGATCGCCTTGATGCTGGCCGTCAGCCTCATCGCTCTCTCGTCGATCAACTCCCCACCTTTGAGTAAAGCAGAATAAATACGTTGTAATTGGTATATATTATATAGGACATCTTTATGTGCGCGACTTCACTCGCATGAGATAGAAGTTAATTATGTATACAGAAACAAAATAGATGTCGTAACCAGCCGTCAACGCTATTTATTATTATCTGAGACACGGAGTGCCATACAAAATACAACCTCAAGGTACATACAGAATGTTTGAATGTCCTATATCTTTTGCTACATCTTTTTCTCAGGTCTACAAGAGCTACGTCAATACGCTATCTAGGCAGTGAAAAGTTTAGTAATTTTCATGCTAATCTTATAATCTCTCGGATCTATAACATCAGTAGTATGTTCCGTACCGTGCAGCAGAGCGTGTGCGTGTTGTGAGGTGTGATGCGCCAGTCGTCTCAGCGACGAGCCTCGCTCCAGCTGCTCGCGGACCCTGGCCGCCGCCGCCGCCCGCAGCCACCGCTCACACTCACGACGAATGGCCTTCACCTCGCTGGACACATTAGAAATAGTGCTTTATTGTTACGTACATTAGATTCAAATTACAAATGTATTTAGTCAGTAGGTCAGTTTTAAAGGGAATGACGTGTGATGACTCACGTCTGCAGCATGTATAGCGCGTGTGCGAGCGAGGCGCGGCAGGAGGCGAGGTAGGCGGCGTACGGGCGGCGGGAGGCGAGGTCCGCTCTCAGTGAGGCCACGAGACGAGCGGTTCGTGCAGCACCCTCCTCGCCTCCGGCTCCGCTCAGTAACGCGCGGCTCATGGCCGCACACTCCGCGCTGCTGCCCGCACGACACCACTCCGACAAGGACGAACTCGTGCAGCGCTGGATATAGTATATATTTATTAATACAAAATCTGTATCATATTGAAAATAACGGATGACATAAAACGAGATCGGATATACTATGTAAGGGAACTTTAATATGTTAAAGTAACGCGTTGATAATAATATTTTATGATGAACTCTATTAAAAGCCTTTCTGGGAGTTAACGACATCGATACTGTTAGTTAGCAATTAATTCACCATCACTGACGGAACCACTCTTTGATAAAGTTTACAGGAGTTCGAAAGTCAAGAATTTTTGAATGGAGATTGGATTAATTACAATCATATTAGAATGTTAGGATCACAATTTATACATACATATATATTCTTGTGTCAAGAAAAGCGTTTATTAATAAAACAATTTACTTTAATCTAGTCTATAGACGCTTCATCCATTTTTTGGCTAAAAATATATTAATGGTTTGATATGATTACATATAGTAGTTAAAATATTGAGTATCTTGAACATATTTTTGATTCTAAATGAATCGTGTTTTCGAGAAAGATCTATTAACTAGTTGTATATGACATATAGCCCAGTGCAGAAGCCTTTAAAATTAATGAAAAGTGAAAATAAATTATGGTAGAATGAAACTCATTACAAAAGGAGGGGAATATTATAAAAAATAAAGGAAAAATAATTTACGGGCGATCTGAGGTCGGGAAGGGTATGGGGGTGTTTATTTAAGGGTAAAAAATGTGTTTTCTCGATTTTTGGCAAAACTACAAGTCCTACGGAAAAAAGTTATATGGCAAAGTTGTAGGTAATAAAAAGATCTAAAACTTCTTTGCTAACATTTTTTTCACATAAGCTCAAAATTTATGTGAAAAATTCGAAAAACCAAGTTTTTGGTTTTTTATTTTTATCTCTTAAAAAAAAAACAATATTTTGTCACGAAATTTACTGAAAACTTACCTTTTGATGTCTCAAACACACTGTAATTTATTTGATTAAAAATATTTACTTTTTCAGCTTATTTTGAATAAATACCGAAAAATCAGCCTCATTTTCAATCGAAAAATCACCCGTCAAAATATCAGCTATTTCTAAAAATTTGGTGTATTTTTTGGTCGTTGAAATCTCTGTTTTCCGATAGTGAATAAAATAATATAAGTTGCTTACTTGCAGTACCATTTTTGGATAGAAAAATCATGTACCTTTTAATGAAATGACATTCGATGTCGTTTGGGAAATGCTCTTTCAATTTATTTTTAATAGTATTAGCAGATTAATGTCAATTTTGTGTAAATTACTTAAAAGAGGGACTAACTGGAGAACTTCCAGAGTACATAATTATTTGAGACATCAAAAGGTAAGTTTTCACCTGTCGTGACAAAATATTGTTTTTTGTAAGAGATAAATATAAAAAGCCAAAAACTTGGTTTTTCGAATTTTTCACATAAATTTTGAGGTTATGTGAAAAAAATGTTAGTACAAAAGTTTTAATCTTTTTATTACCTTCAACTTTGCCATATAACGTTTTTCCGTAGGCCTTTTAGTTTTGTCGGAAATCGAGAAAACCCATTTTTTACCCTTAAATACCCATCCCCATATCCTTCCCGACGTCAGATCGCCCGTAAATTATTTTTCCTTTAATTTTTATAATATTCCCCTCCTTTTCTAATGAGTTCCATTCTACTATAATTTAATTATGTTTTAAAAGCTATCAGCACTAGTCTAATATCTAAACATGAACACAAACACAATATAATGTACTACTAACACTTGGCACATAGTCCACACAGTGCAGGTCTATATTTGACAGCACCACCCTTAGACGTCTCTTCATGTTGTTGAACACCTCAGGGTCGTTGAGGTCCACCACGCCCTCGCAGCTGTAACAACATCCATCATATAACATAACAACATACAGCATAATTATGTATTATATGAGGAATGTTAGTTCGTGTAGATGTCGCTAGTCACCGCTCCATGTCGTGTGTCGTGCTGGTCGTGTGGTTGTCGTGTCGTGCTCGTCTCGGCGCGCTGTCGGCCGCTCGTCTGTACTTGGCGAGTATCTCCTCCGAACTCTCCCCGTCTCGCTCGCTCCTTTCTTCTACGGACACCTCTTCAGTCGATACTTTTATATCTAAAAGGGACAACCAGTTAATGTGCCATATGAAACAAATTCTTGCTCTTGTATATGAATTTATACTTCGAAATTGAAGTTTTTATTATTTTTCTATCAAATTAGATTTGAGACTAACATAGCAAGATATATTTATATATTATAACAAAACTTTAGTAATTTAGACCAAAATAAGGTCATAGTTATATAATGTATGTATCTTTTATACAATACTAGCTGACCCGACAGACTTCGTACTGCCGCAATCAAGAAATAAATTATTTCTTAATTATTTTTTTGGAGTTTACCTTTAAGCCATAAATCTCCGTGTTCTAAAGTGCGACAGAATGATTGACATATTAGTTAGTTGTCAAATCTAATGTCAAAAAACCCGTTTGTATGGGAAAAAGAAAAGCGCTGTTTTTAGGGTTTTCTCGGAAATTATTATTTTTTTCAGCTTTTATACCTTCCCTGAACCTCCACGAACATTTCAAGACTAAGATAAGAAAAATCCGTTCAGCTGTTCTCGAGTTTTAGAGAGACTAAGGAAAAGCAATCCATTTTTATATATATAGATTTTCTATTTGAATTTAAACTCTAGTGTAGGCCAACATCGCTTAAACTGTATTAACAGCACATTATACCACTGTATGTCAGTATATTAAAGGTCCCTATATCCAACCTCCGTGGTGTGTCCGGGCCTTGTGTCTGAACATCTTTATCTTGTGCAGCAGGTTCCCTCCAGACCGCTTCACGTTGTTCTTCAATTCGTCCAGGTTCCCCACCAGACCCTCCTCGCCGATCATGCGGCGCCTGACATACAAACAAACAAGAATAAATTTATGCTTTATATAGTCCTTCTTCTTCTACCTGGCAATTTCCCAGCTTTAGCCGGGGTCTGCCTTACATGTGAACAGTTTTGGCTAATTGTTTTTACGACCGGCCGCCTGCCTGACATCAACTCTCTTTGGGAATGCATTAACCAGTCGTGTCTAAATACTCCTAGAAAGTACATTTGACTCGGAAAAATCACATTGATACTTGCCGGGATCGAACCAATGCCCTCATACATGAAAGGCGGGCCATTTAACCACTAGGCCACCACTGACTTTTTAAACTTTATATACTGTAATAATAAATCTCTTGTATATTAAGTTCTAACTCATAGTTTTTTGTGTGAGAGGGCTACATACAACCACACTACTGACATCTCTAAAGTGTTGTCACTGAGTAATGAGTATACAATTAGAATGAAAGTGTAATCAATTATTTTGTTGGGACTTTAAACTACGGTTCAACGAAAAAAATATATATTTTCTAGAAGAGAGAGTTATAGGACCGGCTGTATTTGGTTTAAATTAGTCATAATAATAATAATATAAGTTACGTTCAAATATATCTGGTCAGTAATCTTTGGTGGAGTGATAAACAAACATCCATACAACCTCACAAGCTTTACAACCTCACTCATACAACCTCATAAGCTTTTACAGTTAACCGGTCAATATTAGTTATTGTTACCAACTGACCGTTGTGTTTTCTCAGCGGTGGCGTCAAAGGAGATGCTCTTAGGTATAGCGCCGGTGGAGGCGGGGGGCGGCGGGCTGACCCGGCGCTCCGTCACGTTGTCCGAGTTCACGTCCTGGCTGGAGCTGCGGTCCGAGGCAGAGTTCTCGCTGTTCACGGACAGCGTGCTCAGGGACACGTCGCTGGTCTTCTTGTCGATCCGTGAAGAGCTGATGCTGAGGACGCTTGTCCGGACGTCCGTTCTGACGGGTCGTGTTACACCGGACATGTTGGAGCTCACGCTGACAGCGCTCATGCGTGTCACGAGCTCCGTCATTGAGCGCTCCGGTTCCGGTTCGGGAGCCCGCCGTTCGGACCCCGGCTCGAATCTCCTGTCGTACTGAGACGCTGACATCGCGTTGAACGAACTCTCGCTAGAGTTCAATGACCTGGAATGGAGTTTAACGTTTACTTTTTCCAATAGAGAAGAGACAGAAATATTTCTGTTTGTAACACTGTGGAAGATGCGTTATGTCATATATGTTCAAAACGTAGAAGGCTTTAGTTAACACGAAACATACTTTATGAGTTAATGTAGAATTTATCATATATTATATCTACTATATCGTGTGTGTGTGTGTGTCTGTGTGTGTGTGTTGATATAAGTACCTGTCCATTTCATTATCCTCGTATCCTTTACACGTGGAGGGCAGGTACTTGTCGGGGAAGCTATCGTCGACCCACTGACTGGTCGCGTCCGAGCCGGGTGCTCCGCTGCCCATCGGCCCGGCCGTGGAGCATGACGACCGGCCCGCCTCTGAAGAGGCTTCGGCCTCGGGCGCCTCCGCGGGCCCGCCCTCGATCGTAGAAGACGAACTACCGCCGCTGTTAAATCATATATATAATATATATCGGCGCTATCAACTTTAATAACGGATGCGACTTGAAAATAATTTGAGGATGTCTTTAATTCCTATTAAAACCCATTAGTATTCATGATTATTGTTAAAAGTAAAATGAAATCAAAGACTATTTAAACGGAGAACATAACTATGTTTGAATCTTGGTATAAATATGACTTCTGGACGCAAGACGGCAGAGTTGAGAGTTCAGTGAGTGCGTATCATTGAAATATGTGATTTTGAAGTATCTTCGAGAAATACAGGAACATTAAGAACAATTGAAGTGTTATTTTAAAATATCATGGAACGTTCTAGAAGAAGTGACATTTAGTAACGTCAGCGAGGCTGGCGTCTCTCTCTTAAAAAACAAGGAATTTTATAATAAATCCGATATATGTTATATGAATTTATTCATATGCGAATCAGATTGAAATTATTTTTTGTATAAAAATATACTCGTACTTGTTTTGAGGGTAGTCGAATACATCGTTGGTCAGTGGCGGCGCAGTGCTAGGGCTCTCGGGGGCTGACGCGTAACAAGTCATCACCTGTAAATATTAAAAGCAAATAGAATTTGATATTAATATGCAGAATTATTAATATTATAAATGACACCTTTATATAGTATAGTTGAGATACATTTAGAAAACCGCTGAGATACATTAGAGGTCCTCTGATTTTTCCATCAAATATGTATATTGACATAAAGTCTAGTGATTAGAGAAACAGAGTTTAAAATTCAGAAGTATGAACAATTAATTAACAAGAATATGCACAGCATAGTTTTAATTCAAACTAATCCAGACTTCTACCTTTATGGTTAGAACAACTGTTTGTTGTATGAGGGATATGAAAAAGTAAGAAGGCATTAATAATATCTGTTGTGAATATTAAATGTTGTTAGTATTTCTCTGACCGGATATCCGTTAACTAGGATGCTCTTCCTGTGGTCGTATGGCGCGGACAGGTCAAGCTCCCCGCCGCGGGACAAGGCCGCGGTCGCGCTCAGGTATATACCGCTCCTGGGGAATATATAATAATAGGTATATAAGTTAAAAAATAATATTACTTAAGATATAGGTAATTTTAATATGTATACCACAAATGAAGTTATTCAATAGTTATTAAGTACAATTTAATGTATATAATGTATATTCATTACTTATATATACATATAAACATTTAAAAAAGCATTCACACTATACAAATAAAAACATTTCTTGTCTGTCTGTTATATGAAAAGAGCAACTTTATAGTAAACTAGAAGACCCGGCGAGCTTCGTATCGCCCTATAATCAAGAAATATCTGTTACGTTTTTTTATTTATATTTTTGGATTTTACCTATTAAAACCATAAATCTCCGTGTTTTGAAGTGCGACAGAATGATTAACATATTAGTTACTTGTCAAATCTAATGTCAAAAAAAAAACATTTGTATCAACAACTACTAATAAATTAAAAATTAATTAAAAAAACATTGTCCAGCGACAAAAATTCATCAAAATCGGTCCAGTCGTTTGAGAGAAGTTCAGTGACATACACACTCACAGAAGAATTATATATATAAAGATTAAGTACATACACTCTTATTAAATACCTGATGTAATAAAGAGTTACTTAAGATCATTAATTTAAAAAATGTATTTTATTTTATGTAATAAAAATATATACTAATAGTTTTAAGTTTCAATAGATATTCGACTTCTGTTGTGTGAACAGAGCCTTATACACATAATAAATTATTGATATTTTCATATGTAGTAACATTCAATATATAATACCTGTTAGGCAGCTGAGCTGCTGAGGAATGTCTGGGACTGTTGATATCCGGCCGCTTTATGACACCGTTCTGAAACATATATTGTATACAATTCAAAATCATCCTCATATAATAATATAATATAGAAGTATGATATCGTGAATGTTTGTGATTTTGTTACACAATAACTACTGAACAGAATTTTATGTGAATACAGATTATTTTTTGTAATGTAGGTTATATATACTGTATTAATATAAATTGAGCATTGTCATACATACAAAGAAACTTGAGGAAGGTGCTTGAGAAAACTCACTCATGTCAGTCAATCAAATATACACTTAACGTTATTTATAATAAAGTTGACATTTGAATACATGTCAGTGTATGTCTTACTTGCGCTAAATGTCTCCGCGTGAGGTCGTCGTGGTGCGAGGCTCGCCTGGGCCAGGAGGTGTCTGAGCGGGCCGCCACCGACACACAGTCATCTGTGTCCACCTGACAAATATATACCTATTATTATAATAATCTAACAGATTATAAAACATATTATATAAGGTCAGTGGTGGCTTAGTGGTTAAAAGGCCCGCCTCTTATGCTCGAGGGCGTTTTTCGATCCTGGCAAGTATCAATGTGATTTTCACGAATCATATATACTTTCTAAAAATGTTTAGACACCACTAACAGACGGTGAAGGAAAACATCGTGAGGAAACCTGGTCTTATCATTTCACAATTATAAGTTTGAAATCACCAACCCGACTTGAGCAAGCGTGGTGTTTAATGCTCAAACTGAAATAGCTCAATAAGAACATTCCCAAAGTGGGTTGATACTTGATGTCAGGCAGGCGGCCGGTCGTAAAAAACAATTAGCCGAAACTATCTAAAACATGTTCTGGGGAAGAGTTATTTTTTATGGCAGGCCCTGGCTAAAGCTGGGAAATTGCCAGGAAGAAGAAAAAGAAGAAGTGATATGATTATTATGTAGTAAGTAATAGTTATTGAGTATCACCTCAGTGTTCCGGTCGCTGTCTGAAGCCAGCACGTCCACACTCCAGGCGGACTCGCTGGCAGTTTCTGACACGTCCGGGGCTATAGTATTGGCGTTGGATCCTGGCAAAATATAATTAGATTTCAATTACCATAAACGTTATATGTTACAAACAGGATTGTAACAACTTAACGATTAATAACTTAAACGCAAATCCTTATAGGCTTATATGTAATATAATATCTAAGTCTTTTGCTAATTTTTATGACAAGTAGTATAAAATTACTTCAGTATTGAATGATCGTAATGCATCAATTAAAAGTTCATATCAGAATAATCGCATACACAGGCAATTCCATCCTAATAGGTTTGCACATAAAGTCGAGACTACAACAAACAATATATCTTAATTTTCCTTTTTATACATGCTTCATACACTATTGAGTCTTATAGCTATAGTAATAAGATTCAACCGACCTTGTCCTGCGGCGGCCTGCGTGGTGTCACATGAGTCTCCGATGGTCTCTGAGTCGGAAGCCAGTACGTCCGTGCTCCAAGTGTCCGACATGATGCTGATAGTCTCATCTCCCTCCAACAGCTTCTGGCAATATACACTCTTAAATACATAGGAATAGAGATCATAATTACTTGATAGGACATTTGGGTTTGGAAAAGAAAGTAGCTGTATTATATAATAATAACATAGAAGAGAATATAGTTGTAGATACTAATAAGTACATTTATTATGTATAAAGACTGTTCATCGAACTTTGGAAATAATTATTAATTGTAGACGTATGACACTCATTGTATCAAAGCTATGTAAGAAACTATGGAAATGATAAAATAATAAATACATGTACACCTAAGTCTGTTTTTACATGGTCTTTTTGTACACAGTTTTGATATAACACGGTTTGAAAATTGAATATTTTTGATTTTTTTACACGATTTTATTCCATTTAGCACGATTTGAAATTTTATGTACTTAAATTTTTTTTGTCAAATTTAATTTTTGCGAAGTATGTTCTTATCACAAAAAAGTATTTATGAAAGAAAAAAGTCTGAAACCATCGATAATATCGATAGTTTGCGAACACTAGCTTAAAGATTTAAGTGAATTCCCCTTTAGCGCGTACAAACAATTTTTACTGGTCAAAGCAAATGTGAATAGCACTAATTTAGAGGAATTCCCTTTATGACATAGTTTTTTAGTTCCTGAACTTGCCATACATTTAATTTATATTACTTTTAAGATTAGAGTGCATATCTTTTTTATCATTAATTACTATGCTTGTGAAAATAAGCATTATATATTTGATTTAATAAAATAAACATGAATTCTTGTTCTTAAAAATTCTTGTTTTTCACTAATTTTAATAGGTTTTAGAGATTAGGAACAAATCACCCATTTTTGTATAAGATCAATGTCTTTTTTTACACGGTTTTTTTTACACGGCTTCTTCTGGAACCAATCTACCGTGTAAAAACAGACTTAGGTGTATGTACATATATTCTTTACTTTGGATCATCTCCAGTGGGTTACACAAACTTAGTTAATCAAAAAAACATCATGTTATTTCATATAATTCATTTATAAACAAATGATGGAAAAGTAAGAGAATTTTTGATACTGAAGAAATAATAACCTTAAGCTCATAGAAAGCTTAAGAACACATATGTACATAGTTTATTGTTATATGGAGTTTATTTTAACACTGGAATCATGGAATATTTTGCTAATGTCATGTAAGGAGTTGACAATTGCTGTTACTTAAAAGTTATTTATGTCAGTCACATAGTAAATAACAGTTCCATTAAGATATATTCAGATAAAACACCTCAAAAACAGTCTTACTTAAAAAATTTGAAAGCCGAACTGTATAACCGGGTGGAAAATGGAGAGAAGAATTTGGTCATTAAATATTTTAAAGACATCCCTAAAATAATAACACCTTCGCCAAAAAACTACAAGAAATAGATACTATTACCAACAACGATCCTTTAGCAAGCACGGACACCTCTTATCAACTATTTAATAGTTACAAAAACATAATAATTACTATGAAATCCTTAAAATTTCTATACGCAAATGTACGCAGCATGGTTAAACCAGGCAAATTTGATTAATTGAAATGTATACTCTCATGCTTCCAGTACTCGCTTCATCTGATAATATAAACGGAAACATGGCTAAAATCTAATGATGAGGCAAATTACTACCAAATTCCGGGATATACACACACAGGCTAATATTGAAGAACAATGTACAGCAGACTGTCATTATCTGTGGATTCATCTCGAAAACTCTAACCTGGATATTGGTGCTATTTATAGAAAACCAGACACAACAAATCTTAAGGAATTTTTAGATATATACTCACAACAACTATATAAAAGAGGCAGAGCTGTAGTGTTTGGCGATTTCAACCTCAACTTATTAAATATGGAATTCGTAACCACCTATAGAGAAATACTTCAAGGAGCAGGATATAAAATTATGAATAATCTAAGTGAAAAATTTTGTACCCGAGAATGCGCTACTTCGAAAACTATTATTGGTCACTTGCAACGGTTCTTAGTTCATTTGCATCGAGTTTGCCGTATGAGTTGTCAAGCTGCCCAACAATATTTTTATAATTGTACTACATATTATTTTTAAGTGAATGTAAATTCTTTTAAATAAAGTTCTTAAACCCGATGTACAATAGGTATTTATTTTGCATAAAACTAGCATACATAAATGCTTGAAAAGAATACTATAACACGGACCTAGTCAAGCTTGTTAAGCAAATGTGAAATCCGTATACAGTATACCAATTAATTTTCAAAAACAAAAGATACATTTGTTACGAGATAATTTTTATATTTTTAACCAACTTATGAAATTAAAAACTTGCTACATATATGGAATGTTTGATCAAAAACTACATACATAGATAAGACTTAATCCAAGAAGATTTTAATTATAAGTTGTATTTATTTGAACCTAAAATATATATAATATAATGAAATAGTCGTCTCCGGTACCTTAATCTCAAACTTGCAGAACTTGTCCTCAATATCGTTCCTCGCCTGCTTCATCATCTTAGCGTGAGCGACGCTCACCGACTGGTTGGCAGGCACGTTCGCTGGGATACTGAAATATATAATGATGTACGTATAATAACTCACACATGAAACATTTTACTCTATTTCATTCGTATGAAAAAATATTAACATCTGTGTTCATAATATTTAAAAAAAATATACATATTATTTATTTATTTATTCATTTACCAAAAACAAGTAACACAGAAAAAAAAGTATTGTGTTGTGGGTAAAAGTCGTCAATAATATCACTACAGAAAAAATATTATGTACCTGCTCTTCCTTATATATATTTAAGAAATACACATTTAATTTAAACTTAACCTTTGAATTCCTGAAAACACCCGTAGTGACGTTAAAGCGATGATATTTGGATTTTTTCATTCTTACGCGGCAAAATATTTAAGGTGTTTTGCTAAAATTAAATAGCTTTTCTTTTGCAAATTTACTAACCGATTCATTTATTAAGTTTAATTTGTACTAACACTATATGGATCTATGCAAGGTATGAAATAAATGATTATTATTATAAATATTTGTTACCGTCTAAGCGCCTGATCTGCTGCCGGGTCTCCGTCTGTCACTTGCGAGGAAGGCGTCTCTCGACCAGATATATTAGGACTGCCGCGACCACTCACGTTCGCTGACACCTGATGATCATAATCTAATATTATAATACATTTATAACATGATAAACATTGAAACTTGAACTGATGTCAGTAGCCAACGAAACAAGATAAAAAAACGTAAACAAACTTAAACATTCATAAATTTTGTATGGTTGTAATAGTTAATAAAATTGTCTGGATGCTCAAGTCAAAGTGAAAGAACTGTTTCTTATCTATTTGATAATTAATATGTTAAATTATATAATAAACGCCATCTATCAGAAAAATGGAATTAAAATAAAGTCTCAACATTTATCACATCTTATGTTTGATATATTTTTATTGATTTTCTCCTGTTCATTATTATATTATTATATTCTTCTATTTCAATTTTTTAAACACAGTATTCACTTCAGTCATAATCATTGCTTATAAATGTATTTCCATGTAACATTATTATTTGAATTACCCATTAGTATTATTTCCAGGAAGGGGGATAGTCCTCTGATAAAAATACTCATACAGAGGACTAAATCGCTCTTAGTGATTAAATGCTAACATAGACAATAAGTTTTAAATTGTTACAAAAAAAAATATACTAACATAGTTATTAAGTACTATGTAACTAACACGTAGAACTTGTTGTTTGAAAGCAAATAAAATAATGATAATAATAATAATAGAGGTGGTAGAGCCTAGCTGTGGTCAAGTTACTACAGCTGAAGAAGGGCTGGTTCAACCGGGGAAGTACCACCCTCTCACAGAAAATCGGCGTGAAGTAGCCTTTAAAGGCTGCGTTTCGTCTGGTGAGTGAGAGAGCCGGTAGCCCTTTCCCTTTTCTTAACCTTTCCTTTCCCTCCCTTTCCCACCTTTTCTTCCTCCTTTTCCCCAATGAAGGGCGGCAACACATCCACAAATCTACGTTGCGGATGTCCATGGGCGACGTAAACTACCTACCATCAAGTAGGCCGTCTGCTCGGTTGCCCCTTTTTCCCATAAATAATAATAATAATAATTAACCCCCTGTACCCACCATATCTGACAGGTTGTCGTTCTGGTCCTCCGTCTCCAACTCCAGGCTGGAGGTCACGCTGTGGTTAGAGGCTGCTTCAGACACAGCCTCCAGGTTGTCTGACGTGTTCCCCAAAGATACCTCGTCGTGGGACACTGAGAATCTGTAATTTAAGTTTTATCATGATGAAAAATATGTGTAATATTATAAGGCATTAATAACTGTGTGTGTGTACATAGTCAGTGGTGGCCTAGTGGCTAAAGGGTCCGCCTCTCGTTGCCGAGGGTGCGGGTTCAAACCTGGCAAATACCAATGTGATTTTTCTGAGTCATATGTACTTTCTGAGAGTATTTAGACACCACTGACATACGGTGAAGGAAAAACATCGTGAGGAAACATGGACTTATAGTTTCATAATTATAAGTTTGAAATGCCAACCCGTCTTGAGCAAGTGTGGTGAATAATGCCCAAACCTTCTCCATGTGTGAAAGAGGCCTTTGCTCAGCAGTGGGCTCTGATAGGCTGATGAGGACGTGTGTACATATGTGTATGTGTGTGTGTGTGTACCTTGTTCGTTTCTGTACGGGTGCAGCGGCGGCTACAAGCGCCCCGGCCTCGTCTCCCTCCGTCTCGCCATAGTAGTTCTCTAGAACCTTGGACTCCGGAATTAATCCTATAAATATATCAGTAGTTATTTACCATTTTCATCTTATCTAGCCGATGTTTTCGGAGGAATTAAAAAAAAATCCACATTAAATTATTTTATTTGTAACAAGAACTTCATAAGACACTAAAAATAAATGCTCTAGATGATGTAGAATCTGAAAAATTTACGGACTATATTAATGGGCAAATCATTTAAATAATTACTTTTTACTTATCAACTGTATGTACTATATCTCTGGTGTGTGTGTGTGTGTGTATGTACTGACCCACATATTCGTTCTCGTGCAGCTCGTGTATCTTGACCACGAGTACCTCCAGCTCGTCCCTGTGCGTCTCCTCCCTCCTCCGTCGACCCAGCAGTCCTCGCCGCCCGCCTTCAGACCACTCGCGACACTCCACCGGAGAAGGCCTAAATTATTTATATTTTTTACATATTTATCGTCATATATTCGAGAAGACATATTTTTCTTTTAAATTGAAATTCGAATAGGTTATCGGCAACAAAAACTTCCTTGACACTATGGGACTACATTATGAAGCACTATGCAGTTTGTATATCCTTCGTATAGCCACGATAGCACCATTCATGGGTGTTTCCTTGCGGAACCCTTAGCAATAATTTCTATCTTTATGTTTTAGATGATATATTAATTACATATACATATAGTAAATGTTACCCTCAACGATAATATTTTTCAATAATCAATTTTATTTCGTTCATCTTTAGATCCATTTCTACTGACCGTAGCGAAGTAAAGTCGGGCATCTTCCGTAATAGGTCGTGTAGCCTGGAGCGGTAGTTGGGGTCGTTGTTGGCCACCAGCGCCTCCAAGCGGCCGCAGCCCGCACTAACGCCGCTCACGTCACGAACATGATCACTGAAAGAAGAAAACATACACACAGGTAAGACAGTTATAGTACAAACATATATGGGATGAATTCAATAGTTCTATATGAAATTAATTTTTATAGATAGTTGGTTTTTCTATTATTTTGCATGAACATGATGCAGAACTTTCAGTTCCTCTACAGCGACCCGTGATATGATGAACCCATGACAACTAAGATGAAGGTATATATTAATGTACATATGTATAGTTCTATCAACAGTGAGAAATTATATAAGTCGTTAAAATAATAAAATATGTATACTAAAATTTGTCCGCGACTCAGTTTGCCGGGTATGCGAAATGAGATTCAAAGAGAAATGATTAATGTGAACTAAATAATAATTAATATCTTATGGGTAGACATTGGGTTGGAACAACAGATCTAGTCATAACTAATTGATTTGTATACTAGTATTTAAAATAATATGTCTAGGTAATAAATTTGAAGAATGTAATATAATAGGTATTTTTTTGGGCAAGGAAAAACTTGCGATGGACTAACCGTATCACTAGGGCGTGTAGAGAATAAATACTACCGCCTGTCACATATATTGGTAAATAATAAAAACAAAACAAGTTAAAGCAAGCAAGCATCTCACCTAAAACCAGTATCGACAGTGTTGTCAGCGGCACCGTTAGTTCTCTCCTCGTTGGTATTTTGATTGTTATTGTTTAATTTGGACGAGATTTTTCTCAGGAATGTTATCTGGAAGGAATATTTCAACAGTTATATATCTTATTCTTATATGTAGTGTATGTATCTATACAATAGATATAATACACTGTCTCACGTACCCCATTGGAGGGGGTGGCATGCGCTCGGCAGACTCACGACTAGCGCGAGGCAAAACGGTGACGTGCGCCTATGCTTTAGGCGGGGTAGTATTGAGACAGTGACTAGTTATACTTACATATATGACCAGGGATCCTACATTATAAATAATCAATTCTGTTTATTTATAACATACCAGTAAGTGTGCGTCCTGCGCCGTATATAACGCGACGGTGGCGGGGGGCGGAGCGTCCGTCCTCAGCGGAGTCTCCGGCGGGGGCACCAGCGTCGTGGGGGCGAAGGCGCTGCCCCCCACACTGTCCACCAGCGACCACACACACGACCGCTCGAACTTCATGTATAAGTCGCGGACCTTCGGCTCCACCTGTGACCAAGTGTATTATACCAATAAATGTATGCTTGTAACTCAATTCATTTATCGATTCTGTATATAGCATTTTTTTACTTTATATTATGTATAATCTCTTTTTAAATGTAATAATTTATATAAAGCTTTTTTATTTAATTTTAAATAAATGGATAGAATATTCAATCTCTTCCAGTATAATATGTATTATTTATAGTTATAATCTTGACGTAATTTAGACATATAAACATACATATACAACACAAACCAGCCATAAAAAAACTGAATAATGAGTATAATATGTATATGATATGAGGTCATTAACCTCCTGGTATTTAGCCAGACTGAGCATCTGCAGTATCTGCGCTATCTGCAGCAGGTTGAAGCGGGCGATGTACGACACTGGCGCGGACAGCACCCCGTGACACTCAGGGTTAACAACCGCAGGGCACAGCAACTGACCCAGCACTAGCTCGGTACATATAGTATGGATGTCGCGGTCTGTACTCCTGGGAATATAATAATAGGTTAAGACTTCATATGGAAGATATTGCTTATAGAATGAGCCTTAATGTCGCCCAACAGAAGAAATAGTTATATTACATATGATGTACGAATCAACAATTTGCCAATTTATTTAATAACATTATTGGCAAGTTCAAAATGTCAATATTTATTCTCTTTCATAATAGAATTTCTGTCAGATAACTTTATCGTCAACTTCTTTATATAATACTAGTTGCATCCCGCGGTGTTACCCGAGGATTTCCGAGATGTAAAGTAGCCTATATGTTATTACTGGATGTCAGCTTCCTGTATAAATTTTTTTATCAAAATCGGTTCAGCCGTTTGAGCGTGAAGAAGTAACAAACATATACATATACTCACAAACTTTCGCAATTATAATATTAGTAGGATTGCTAAATATAAAAAAATTACGGACCTGGAATTCTGTTTGAGCAGATGCACGACCTGCTGTACAATCCAGGCAATGGAGGAGGGGAAAGTCGACCAGTTCTCCTTGAGAGAGGCGATGAACTTGTTGGTGAGGTTGTACAACGACTGGACCGTCCACTTTCTATAGCGAGCCACCTTAGTGTTGTATTCGGGGGTGTTCGGTTGACCAAACTTCTTAGCACGGTCAGCGGGAGTAAATCTGAAACAAGGTGGTATATATTTAATTAAATATTGGCTATTACTAGGAACAAACGATCACAGATAGAGTTTGTCTATATGTTTGTTCAGAATTAAATTGTCACTGGCTTCATCTTTTGCGTACACCCCTCGATCAAATCTTTTCCATTAAACATGGAATTTTATATTCGTAGTCCCATAGAGGAAATTTTTGAGTTGAGCCTCAATATAAGAGTAAATTCAACAGTTCTATTTAAATTAAGATCATATATTAATCTATGCATTCTGAGACCAATTCGACCAATCAAATACCCATAAATCTGCCTATAGAGGTAAAAAACTATAGTTATCCGGTACTAACCGCTCCATCGCCTTATCCGGGTCTACGTCGAGGAAGAACTCATCCTCAGTGAGAACTGCTAGTACGGGCGCTCTTAACACAGTGCGGAGAAACTGCCGCGTGGGGGCGTGGTTGTCACGAAACACGGAGTACAGCAGCGACAGAGACGACTTATTACTACGAAGAACCCTGAATAGAAGAGACTTTTAGGCATCATCACCATAGAATATAGTGACGTCACAATATTTTCATTGTTTAAACCTATGGAGTTAATTCTATATTGGCTTCCATGTTTTTTGCATATGATTTTGGTACTATGACGTTATTAGCGTAAATAAAGTCTTAGATATTATCAAAATTCAAAATTCCTTATAAAGATACAATAATAATAATACTTTTTGAGTATAAGTATTGATTTGTTACCTAAATACAATCATATAAATAGTAATATATAATATTAAACGTCTTAGAAATCTAGTCGTGTTTGAAAGTCACATCAAGTCGTTAATGTGAGTATGACGTCACACATGTTTCATTATATACGTACAGCAATAAACTAGGTCTTAAACTAGAAAGTGTCCACTTTCATTGCTTCGTAGCTATTTAAAACATATAAAGAATATTGGAACTGACTATACATTTGGTATACCGAAATATACATGTAAAAATGGGTATATATTATACTTTGGGTATATATAATTAATTGTAATGTATTATTTACTAGCAAATATATTGAATATAACACCTGATCATGTCTGGTGTAAACACATAAATCATTGTTAATGAAGTATGACATCATCGTCAGCTGTTGTGTCACCTGAGCTTACAAGGAGGTATTAATAAATCACAATATGAATACAATCTTGTATTCTTTAGTTTTCCAGTAAAAAAAAATATGAGGAGAAATACAATAAATTAAAATTATAATGGATATTAAAATGTCTGAAAAATTTTTTTAGTTTTTTATATTATCAAACATTTATTTGTACCTAAAAGTTTCACTTATAAATTACAACACAGCAAAAAATTTATACAGCGGATCATTACATTACCAAAAATGACGATTTTGGTAGATATTTGAAAGAAAACTGGAATTCATATACTAAATGAACAATACTCACTTCCTCGGATCTGCGGATGGTGCCATTTGATACTTTATAAGTGATCGTAGTACCGCCAACATGCGCGTTCGATCCGACGGAGACCGACAGCTCCCATAGAGTCCCGCGGCCAAAGACGAGGGGAGACTCAACGGCATGTGATCCTCTCCCAGTATGAGGCAAAGAGCCATGAGGTTCGGTGTGTTCCGAAGCCATCCTAGCAACTCGCCTAGCGCTTGTACTTCCTGACATAAAAACAAAAAATTATTTGATTATTTTCTTATATAAAATTAGAGAATTTGTACAAAATAAGTAAATAGAATTTTGAAAAATATGCATAAATACATATATATTAATTCATTATCTTAATAGTCGTTAGAACATGTGAGTTGTATGGTAAGGGAAAAAGTGGGTGGATATCAATAGGAAATTTAAGACTACATTTTGTTATCAAATTGGAAGATATGAAATTATTAATATGAGAGGGAACAAATGACAAAAATTTTACTTTCTGTGATGTGTTAAATTATTTGAAATTATTGTCATATATATTTATTTTTATATTCTCATAACCAGATGTTATTAAAATAAAAAAATTATAAATGATATATGTAATTATATATATTAACTTTTTATTGTATTCACAATAGAATAGAAAAATAATATTATTTTTTAATTTCATTATATAATGAAAAAATAATTTTTGTCCATTAATTTAAAAAATATTAATGTTTCCTAATTTAAGAAACCTTATATATAATTAAATGTAATTCTATTCAATGATTTAAAATTTGGTGATATAACTTACTTTGTACTTCAAAACTTTTTGTGCATCAATGAAAGTGGTGTTTTCAAGTAGACTTGCTTTCTGACAAGCTGCTACTGACTCAGCTTCACTCCTTGAGCTGATTAAGTTGTTCAGATTCTGATGCTGCTGAGAACATATCCAGGCGGCTTGCAATAGTTCCAACACAGTTTTCTCCACCTCTTCATTAAGATTCTGTATCAACTGCCTTTCGGAATTTATAAAGATTTTCTCTCTCCTTAATTGGTTTGCTAGTTCAGCTATATTCATACAGCCTTCTGATGTCGGCTGCATCATCTTGATATTTGTTATTAGAGTATTTAACAAAACATTTCTCTTATTCTATAAACTCATTGTATTCGACGATAATTATGATCACTTGTTTCACAAATTCAAATACCAATTTATATATAAGGGCATGTTAACTTTATTAATGTTTCTTATGTTTTGCTGAAGCTAACACATATTCAGCTGAATTATTAAGATGACTGTAAAGCAATATTTTTAAAAAGCAATATTGAAAAGCCCAGAGAATAATCTGTAACACTGAGTTGAATGAAAGCTATTTTCGTTCATAATTTTGCGAACAATAGTGTTTAATAAAGATGTCAAATAGCACACAGATTAAAAAATAGCAAAACAAAGTATTAAACATTTCTTTTATTATTATTATATTTCATATTAAAGTATTTACTAAATAATAACATGATTAAAAAATATATAAAATAATAAATGGCATTTTTTTTGTGTTTAGTTCATAAAAACTTGGTATGACATTGAATGATAAAATGAAAGAATGAAATCAAATAGACAAAAATGACCGAACGACAGGTAGAGTTTGATGGAAAAAAAAGAAATCTTTGAACTGCTGCTTTTTGACTTTACTTCTGTGTAAATAATTTTTATAAATGATAGGTATTAAGTGTTTCAATGTGATAAGTGAACAATTTTAGTTATAATAATGTCAGATAGTACAATTGAAGGAAGACTGAAGGGTTTGCAAGACCGTTTACAAAATGAATTGCGTATTCGAAGAGAGGGTGCTTTTCATAATGAAGGTGGTCTCGGGGCTCCCAGGAGTACTCGGAGGCCCAGGCCCCGTAAGTATCTTTAGTTTATAGAACATTTCCAACTGACAGCTTCATGTAGTCAATATATCTTTGATAACCTTGCCTACCACTGTATTATTAAACAATTTGTTTTGATCCAATTTGTTTTGATCCTATACCTTTAAGTTAGTCTTAAAGGTTATCAATATATTTATAAGCTTTATATGTAATGGTAAAAGAGAATACTCAGACTAACCTTGACAGAGTTCTGAATATTATGCAAGTCTTATTTTAATTGGAAGTAAATACATAAGGTTAATGTGATTTGAATTTGTATCATAACTTTTAAAATCCATTTTTATATTATTATATACATCTTATAGAGCATACATTGTTTATATATGTTAATTCTTAATACCCATAATGTAGAATTTTAACTTGTAATTAATAATTGAGATCAGAATTCCACTATGGTCTTATCAGTATAATATACTAAGGTAAAACAATACTGTATGAGGCTGAATCTATACAAAAACCATATTTAAGCAGTAATTATTTGTGAAATTTAATAGATTTTAAAGGACTCACGTTTTGAAGAAGTAATCTTGTAGATTGATATATTTTTAAATATCACACCTGATTATGCAAATATGCCTTGAATTCTATTTAGCTTTTCAATATTATCAAAATGATTTGAATATTTAGATATGGGCCAGGTATTATAGCTTCATTTGTTTTAGTAACACCAATAAAACTAACCTTGAAGTTCTTGATTCAGTGCTTTTAAAACGGTTATATTTGCAATTGTATTGTAACTTTTGAAGCTTGGATAGACCTTCCTCTGTATTAAACATAATTTTGTATACTTATAAGGTTATATTTGACTTTCTTGACTATCATATATGTGAGCCTATTCTATTCCCTAACAAAAACCCTTTTTGGTTTCATGTCTATAAGATTTTAGAAGTTTTACTTTAAGAGCGAATGGCACATCTTATTAGTTAGTTTATGGTGTTTGTAATAACTGTCTGTTTTTTTGTTTTGAGTTATCATGAGTAGTCTGTTTTTTAATCTGACATAACATCTACCTACATGTCATATTAGGTATCCTAAAATAAGTTCCATAAAATTTTGCTAACATATCACTAAATATTTGTGAACAATTATTTATTTTATATAATAGTGAATTTAACTCAATAAAAAACTTAGTTACTAGTTATTGTACTGAAGTTATATGAATGTTTAAATCATAATAATCAAGATTTTATTAAAACCTTAACATAAAAGTAATACTAATTTGTTTAGAGGACTTCATTTCTGCTTCACCTTCACTGCTAATGATATGGTCTTAAGACTAGGGATGAGTTCATTACACTTGTACATATTATTTCAATACTTGTGAGTTCTACCAAAGTTACAGGCCTGGGAAAATACAGTCAGTCATAGTGATAAGTACCTTTAAAGAGTGAAAACTGTAATGAACCAACTGAAACTTCTCATCATTGATATAATTAGTTCACATGCAATTTTGTCTTTTACCTTTGGATTCTGTTTCCCTCACTCTCAGTAATAAATAAATTTATAATTGAACTATTTACAAAAGCTTGTGTAATTTTATTTATTAATTTTGTATATGTTATACGTCTTTTTGTATTTCCATTCAGCAGTATCAGTAAGCAAGGTATCCTCTTAACACCAGACCTGTTTTTGTTTGCATGTTTTGTTTAAGCCTAGTTTAAAATATTCTAATGCCTAGGGTCTTGATATATACATACAGGTGCAGTAAAAAAACACAGAAAAACTTTGTTTTCTTATCACATTTTCTGTTGTTCCTTCTGTTTATTCCAGTTTTTTGTTCCTTTCGGACAACAGTAGCCTCCCGATCATGGGCCTGAACAATATTAGTCTTATTTAAATTTTTATCACATTGAATGAATGCTACTATTTCAGCCATCTTTAACAAATAAGGTCTTCCTGCATAAAATAAGACACACAACATACAGCTTATACATATTATATAGGGCGAAGTTTTTAGTACTACTTAGTTTTTAGCAAAACAGCATCTCAGTAAACTATAATCAATTAGAGCCAACAGATTCATACAGAATAGCTTTGATTAATTAAAAATATTTAATTATAAGGATTGTTTATTTCATTTAGTAACTTCAAATTCAATACTTTATATAATATATTTTTAATGAAATGGATTTTTTTAAAATTATACTGACATACTTTTGATCTTGACATAAAATTGTGAAAGTTAATTCTGTGAGGTATTTATATTAAAACTGCTAAATATATTTGAAAGTTACATTATTTTTTGTACCATAGAGATCGAGATATTAATTTTAATTAATCATCACTATCATGCACTATATAATTTTTTATTTAAATTGACATTCATTCATATTTAATTATGAAAAAATGCAACAACACTGTGAATATTTAATATCTTTGACTCAGATCTTAATGTATATTTGTTTATTAATTATTGATTTAGAGATTTGTTCCCGGCCTATCATCATACATGTGTTATGAGATCATACCAGTACTAACAAATACATACATAGTTTATATTCAAGAGTTTATCACTTAAAGAAAAAAAAATTTTGCACCAAGTTTTCCTTTGTTTTAAATATGACTATATCAAGGTATTACTATATTATTTCCAGCACTCATGTTCTCAGCGAGAGACATCCCTGCTTTTCCACCGAGATCACCACAAGCCTCTGACACTGAATACAGAATGCGGGAGGTTTACAAGGTAAGAGTTTTGAATAATAAAAGAAATATGTGCTCATTATTATTCTTTGGTTTTATGTATGATGGGAATTTCCTATGGTAATATATACAATCTGATGCTGTTTTATCATAAATCAGCACAGGATGCTTTATTTATAACTTTTATCTTGTTTGATTGGATAAAAAGTAAATAGGATAGTACAAATATTCCAAATGTCCGTATGTGTGTTGCTTTTCACATAAAGTATTGTATGGTTTTCATAAAACTTAGCTTAGACACCAAACTAATATGTATAATTTATTAGGCTTTAGGCTATCATTTATTCTATTATTGTGTGTAGTTTCTACATGAACATAACAGTTGCATGTAGTTATAAGTCACGTGATAAATCCGATAGATGTCGCTGACGGTTGAAAACGGTTTTTTAGGTGGTAGAGCCTAGCTGTGGTTAAGTTACTACAGCTCGAACATGGGCTGGCTCGACCGGGGAAGTACCACCCTCTCACAGAAGATCGGCGTGAAGTAGTCAGTAATGACTGCGTTTCGTCCGATGAGTGAGAGAGCCGGTTGCCCTTTCCCTTTTCCCACCCTTTCCTTGTATTTCCTTATTCCCACCCTTCCCTATCCCTAAAAAGAAAAGGTTGGCAACGCATCCGCAACATATTTGTTGCGGATGTCCATGGGCGACGGTAACCACCTTCCATCAAGTGGGCCGTCTGTTCGTTTGCCACCCATAACATAAAAAAAAAAAAAAAACATATCTATAACATTCAATACAATGTATTAGTCTCTTAATATATTAATTATAAAGTATATATTAGGACAAATAAGTACGAACAGAGCAAAAATACAAATAAAATAATTCATTATGTACAGGTGAGTGGCAAACTAAACGTGGGTGGCGTGGAGTACAGATCTCATATCGATGAGCTGCAACAGCTTGGCGAGCTGGGCAGCGGCACCTGCGGCCACGTGGTCAAGATGCTGCACAAGCCATCGGCAGCTGTTATTGCTGTTAAGGTTAGTCAAAAATAAAAATTATTGAACAGTATTATTCTCTTCATTTTATCGTACAAAACATATTTAGTTACTATGTATTTTGAAATAAATTTGAGATACTTTTTTTATTTAATATAAAATATTTATTTCTATCAATACATAAAATATGTCAGGAGATTATCTGTTAATAAATTAAATGTCATTTGTATCGTATTGCATTTTAAAATATTTGCTATGTATGCAGTTTCATAATTCCAAGTTATTAATGAGTATCAATAAACAGCAAATGCGTCGTTCCGGTAACTCCGAGGAGACGAAGCGTATCCTGATGGACCTGGACGTGGTGGTCCGCTCGCACGACTGTCCGTACATCGTGAGGTGTTTGGGCTGCTTCGTGACCGACGCTGATGTGTGGATCTGTATGGAGCTGATGGCTTCATGCTTCGACAAGCTGCTCAAGAGACTCGGCGCGCCCATACCGGAGACCATACTGGGGAAGGTCACTGTAGCGGTCAGTTGTTGGCTTTATATTTAATATGTACATTTATTCATCATGTATACATACAGGGTGTGTTAAGGAACTATAACTCAAATTTGTCTATATAACATTCGTTAATTTATTACTGAGTAATATTTTTGTTTTTCATCTATAATTGGTATCAGTAAAATAAATGTGAACATTATTGAATTCCTATTGTAAATGTCAAATAAGCAAATAATCATACATGACGTTAGTCAACACATATATAGGGTGTATAGGTTGAGGCGACGGAAAATTATATTTAGAGGCATTTTCCCTAAAAAATATTTTAGCTTAGTTGAAAATCATATTTTATTTTCTATAAATTTTTATGTCATGTGTCAGCAATTAATAACACAAGTTTTTCCCGCAATTTCGTCCTTCTGGTCTTCAGAATTGGATTTAAGGAAATTCTGTTTATCATTCTAGTTGATTAATCGCCAGCGACACCAATATTATGTATTACGTGACTCTATATAGCTGTTATGTACTGATCGTAACACGACCTCCCAGCAGAAATTATGGCCATACACACTACTTTATTTCAACCTACTAACATGTGTATTGACAGTCAATTAGTCTCATATGTATGATTGTTGTTATGTCCAGACGGTGAACGCGCTGTCGTACCTGAAGGACACGCACGGCGTGATCCACCGCGACGTGAAGCCCAGCAACATCCTGTTGGACGAGCGCGGGAACGTGAAGCTGTGCGACTTCGGCATTAGCGGCCGCCTCGTGGACTCCAAGGCCAAGACGAGGAGCGCCGGGTGCGCGGCCTATATGGCGGTACGACCAATAATCATAATTATATATATATAACTATAGTATTCGTATGCTTGTCCGTTGATAGTAGTAATGAATAATAGAAAACCTGTATTGGGATTTGTAGGTCACATGATGTCGTAATATTCGTCACGATAATTTGTGAACTGGATTTTTTTTGGAAATGTCTCATTCGCTTTAAATATAGATTTTCGCTATTTGTTTTTTTTTTTGCAAATAATTTTTTTCTATTATGTATTATATAGCAAGTCTAACAGGCTTTTTTTCCTTTAAATAGGTACAGTAGCCGGCACGTAATTTGACAAGGTTTTGAAGTAGTGGGGATAAGTTTGATGTTTATCAATAACAAAAACTGGTAATAGTAACCAAAACAATGGGTCCCATTTTAGTGCTCCCAAGTGTACTCGGAAACGAACAGAGAATCATGCGTATGGATTTGTGTCATCTCGCATCATGCCTATGACAGCAAAAAAAAAACGCATAATGTACATCTACAGTCTTTTGCCAAGTAACTTGCCGGCTACTATACAAACATTTCTTACAATAAGTGCACAGCAAATTTATCAAATAATATCTTTATCTACTGATCATTCATATCGGTTTATTTGTCTTACATTGTTATATTATTATTGTCGTATAGCCGGAGCGCATCGACCCGCCGGACCCCAGCCGGCCGGACTACGACATCCGCGCGGACGTGTGGTCGCTGGGCATCTCGCTGGTGGAGCTGGCCACGGGCGTGTTCCCTTATAGGGACTGCCAGAACGACTTCGAGGTGCTCACGAGGGTACGGACTGAACACGACATACACACACACACACACACGAACACAACATACATACAACTCTAGTTACAGAGTACTCAAGATAATATTACTAATGTATAAATATGAAATATTCTTGTTCAGAACTCATTAATGCATTCTTGGAACGTACATCGAAGGCAGCCCTAGTTCTTTTCAAATTTGGTTAGGTAGAGAGAGGAGCTTGGACAGTGGAGGTGAGCGTTTTACGCGCTTTATATAAGGGGCCCCTTAAACCTACAACTGAGTCGCAAGTCCCAGTCACTGTTGAAGCTCCTCTCACTATAACGATGGACCCGACACCCGTACGGTGAATCCATTGAATGCTGAGAAGTTTCGTCTCTGGGATGTGTTGCTCTTTGAATAGTTTTTAAATTTTTATGATACTTCTAGCCGTATATAAATTTACTAGCTTTTGCCGCGACTTCGTCCGCGTGGAATAGTGACTTCCGGCAGATTTTTGGTTCTTCCCACATATTTCTCGTTCTTGCGGGGTTTTCGGAATTGTCGAGTTCCCGTAGAATTTTCAGGATAAAACCTTTGTTTTTTTTATTCACAGGAAAGTACACTTAACCAACAACATATTTCTTTGTTTATTTGAATAAAGATTAATATTATTATGTTGATACAACTTAAACAAATTATTTCGACCAAATTAGGTACCATAAAAACGATTTTTGTGGGATAATCTTAAAAGGTAGACATATACTATCGCGGACTTTTTTTTAGATCATTAAAAGAGCTATTATTTTTAATACATATTTTTTGTGTATCTTGAACCGTTTTCACGGCGCACGCAACGGAAGGCTTCAAAGATGAAATAATTTCTCCCGTTTTTTACACATTTACCACTACATCTTTGCCCCTATTGGTCGTAGCGGGATGTTATATAGCCCACAGCCTTCCTCGATAACTGGACTATCCAACACAAAAAGAATTATTCAATTCCAACCAGTAGTTTCGGAGATAAGCGCTTTCAAACAAACAAACAAACAAACTCTTCAGCTTTATAATATTAGTATAGATGACACGACGTAAATGTCATATTTTTGTGTAATGTCACGCTCATACGTGTTACAGATGGTGCTGCCTCATTGTACAATCAATAAATACTATGTACATCATATAAATTATACATACAAGTTATTAGAGTATACACTTTTGATTTTTACTTACAATGTGTCCAGGTAATAGCCGACGATCCGCCTCAATTACCAGAAGACAGTGACTTCACACCGGAGTTCAAATCATTCGTATCACAGTGGTGAGTATAGCTTTACTACAAGGGTCTTAAGGATGACTCTCTCTCTACCTAGCCTTATCCCATTTCACTTTTGGTCGGGTTTCCCCGTAATACTTTGCCAGGTTGGTCTGTCTTAGATAGTCGAGGTATCAAATTGGGCTCCCTTTAGATCTCTATTTATAACAGACATCAAACTTCAAAACGGTCTCCCTTACTTCTTAAGTCGATTATCTAAGCTCAAGGATAACAAACTTGTTTATACGTGATGTAATGTTCCAGTCTCACAAAGAACTACCGCCAGCGTCCCAAGTACGTGAAGCTGTTGGAGCATCCGTTCGTAGTGAAGTCAGCTCGCAGTTCCGTGTCCGTGGGCGCGTGGTACAGCTCGTTACCGCTCACGGGGTCCAACACTAGCACCAGCATGCAGTCAAAATCAAGCTCCGGCTCGGGGTCCTCTCAGTCCATTAATTCCACCAGTAATGGAGCGGAGACACCGGTGACCCCGCAGCCTGTGAGGAATTTCGTGACCAGCTCGCAATACTGGACACCCGATCAGGCCACGCCCACCCCGGCCAGGTACTTGGTGTATTAAATATATTGAATTTCTTATATTATATACTTGTTCTACCTGGCAATTTCCCAGCTTTAGCCAGGGTCACAACATGTAAGGATGTTATGAATAGTTTTGACTAATTGTTTTTACGACCGGCCGCCTGCCTGACATGAACTCTTCCTTGGGAATGCATTAATCAGTGATGTTAGAAAGTACATATGACTCGGAAAAATAATTTTGATACTTGCCAGGATCGAACCCACGTCCTCATGCATGAAAGGCGGGCCTTTTAACCACTAGACCATCACTGACTTCCAAATTTCTTATATTTTTTTATAAATGCCCAATTATATTGTAGATGTTGTTCTGGTGGACAGATTTTGTGGGAAATATAAATGATAAGATCCACTAAGTTATGAAAATAACAAGTATAATATATATACATTAGGTGTAATATATATGTATGATCAATAGATTGAAATGTTTGTTCTGTATATATCTAGAGCGTGGTGGGCTACACCCGCGAGCGCCGGCGGCAGTAGTTCGCAGCCCGCCAGTCTGGAGGCAGATCTGTCTAATCACTCACCTTACCCGAGACGCAGGTAATGTTCGCTATATACATATAATGTCTCCTTGTAAAATTATAAAATAGCTCTTTATTTTATTATTACTGTTATGTATATACAATAAATAAACACATAAAAGGAGAGCATAATGCCATCAAGCGTTACTAATAAACTTACCTGGAGAATTAAAAAATAAGGAAAATTATGAGATAAAGAAAAAATATATGTTGTATGATTATTATTGTTTATATTGATAATAATTCTGTATATCTGTAATGTGTTTCCAGGACGATAGAGGCGTGCGTGTCGCCACCCACGCCGGTCCGACGAGTCTCCACCGACAACCGCTGGAGGGCGTCACCGGCTGTATGTACACACACATAGACACACACACTCATATATGGGATTTAATTAATATTGTTAAAAATAATATTTAAAAGAATAGCAGAAGTTTTGCAAATGTCATTTATTGAGAGATTACACAGCATAGACAATATTAATCATACTTAGTACAATAGTGATGTTACAAGTACAATACAATGAATAGTGTTATGCTAATCGGTAAAGAAGGGTTTAATTTTAATATTACTATGTACAAATATTAATCATATTTTTTCTTCTACAGCAAAAGAAAGTTAGCGTAGTCACGAAAAATAACTTTTATTTTTCCGTTTGTGATCATATTTCTTTGTGAAGTGCATAATAGTTGTATTCTAAAGAATTTATAGTAAATATCCAATAGATCATATTAATGAATGAAATGTGTGGTCAGTGTTATTATATAGTATATGTGTAGTGAGTGTGAGTGTAATGTTTCCAGAGTTCAGGCAACACGAGTCCTATAGTGCTGCAGCGGTTCTATCATCAGAACCAGCAGAGGAAGTCGCGCGTCGACCTGCACTCTACGAGACACCGCAGGTACCCTCTACATTATATATGTACTACTACTACATATATTATATATCTATCCAGCAATTTATTAATAATAACTCCATTTTTATATATATACTAGCTTTTCGCCCGCGTGGAGTTCGGTTATATCGCGTTTCCAAGAGAACCTTTCAAAAGTCTGAGATAAAAACTATCCTATGTTTTTTCTCGAGGTCAACTCCATCTCTGTACCAAATTTCATTAAAATCAGTTCAGTGGTTTAGGGAGCGTTCAAGTATCACGTAACGCAATTTGGGGGGAGGGGGGTCTCGGAAAACGTTACGATGCGTTACAGGGGCGGGAGGGGGTGTCTCTTACAAAACGTTACGTAGCATTGTTTGTAAAAAAATATTAATAAAAACCCCCAAACTGGCAACTCTTTTCATATACGTTACATTATGTTGATCAGATTGTATTAGTCTGGTCGATATTTTTATTTGTTATTCCAAGTTTGTAAACATCTTAATTGATATTTTACGGGGAATACCTAGATTGGATTTTATGTCTTTTAATGTTGCTTCCGTGGTCAGTATTCATTAGTGTTTATTCTTGAGTTCATAGTGCTCACTATTCATACTGTAATTTCTTCATAAGAGGGAGATTTGTGTCAATGATCTTTTTTCATTTAATAGATCAAAACTATACCAAACTATAACATATTGTTTTAAGACATTGGATGAAATTGATCACTTGAGTGTTACGTAACGTTTTGTGAGAAGGGGGCGCCAGAGAAACTTTACTGTGCGTTACGACGGGGGAAGGGGGGGTCAAAAATCTTTGAAAATTGCGTTACGTAATACTTGAACGCTCCCTTAGGCGTGAAAGCGTAACAAACAGACAGAGTTACTTTCGCATTTTATAATATTAGTAGGGATGTTGAAGTGAACCTAAAAGTTTATATTTCTGTCGTCCTACAATTGTACGTAAATTATATAATATAACAAAATTTGTATGCTATAGTTTTTTTTGAAACCGTTAAAATTCATTCTTTTCCATTTTTTCTATATGTAAACAACAACTATAAAATTAAGTAATGAAAATGTATTGTGTACGTAAAAAAACAGGCTACAATCAAATCTATTCAGCCGATCTGTAAAATATGTATATATATTATTGTTTTGGTGTGACTGTTCCAGTTTGAGTCGCGAGCACAGCACAGGCCGGTCCCCCGAGCCTCCGCCGCGGACCAGCAGGCATCATCACATGCTGGGGCACGACGGTAACTATACTATACACGAACACACTCATATTATATACAAATAATACTCTAAATAACAACACATGACGAATTTACGATAGAAAAAAAAGTATTAATCAGTACTAAAATAAAAGACGTCTGATTACAATCTAATTTTATAGCATGGGTGTGATTAAAGAAACTTAATTGTGCCTGAATACCCTCCGTACAAAAGAAGTGAAATTTTGTGATATTGGATGAAAACGGGAAGGGATAAAAATTTATTTTTCAGGAATTTTTAGTGTTTCTTTAAGACAAACTTTATTAACAATACTTACAAATCGTAGTTGATTGCCCGCATGCGTTCGGGAACCACGCATTACCTCTCGCTCTATATATTTTTATCCCCCCCCCCCCTCTGCCTCTCCAGGAGCGTTAAGCGTTTAACGCAACCATTTTAGAAGTCACGTAAGAAGTTTCACTTCAAAAATTGAAAAAGCCTTATCAAGAAGATAAATTGGTTTCACTCTATTCTACTTAATTAATGTATACATAATTGATTATAGGTAGTAATACATACAATTAAAAGTTAACACTGTAAATTGAATATCACACTGACTTACTAGGTATAATGATACGAAATTTTATATGGTAATATTATTTTTCAGCGAACGGCAGCGTGGAGTTAGAGCCGCCTCCGCTTCACGACCGTCTGCATCCACCCTCACCTCTACTGTTAAGTAACGACAGGTGACACACATTACTTGATTTGAATATAAATATTTACTTTTAAATAGACATTATGATATTAATCGTTCGTACATAATAAAGGTTATCAGAAGGCCGCAGTAGAAGTCTGACGCGCGCAGAACTACGCAACGGGTACCGCGACAAACACGACGACCAGGGTGAGTAATTGATGATATAGTAATTATTTTAATGATTGTACAACACTGTATAACCAATGCTGAGGTCGTTGAACCTTGGAAATATTTAAATTTGTTTGAATGAATCTGAAGTAGGGTTCAGCAATATCGATTCATTCTATATATTGATAAAATATGTAAATTACATGACGAATGTTTCCTAGGGAAATAATATTATATGTGACCGTATTCTCTTTCATGTTTTGTGTATATTTGTCCCGAGGGCAGCCAGCCTGTGATGTTAGTACCTTATCAGTGTATAGCTGCGCTTGTCACTCAACGCCGCGGTCGATTGGGAACTGATTGTATGTAGTATGTACACCCTCACGAATTAATGAATGAACGAATGAATGATTCGAACATTCGTCAGCTGAATGACAAGAACACATCACTCACAGCTATTTAAAATATACCCGTCATTACAGCAAAGAGTTTTTAATTTTTCTAAGCATTAATTTTGTTTAGTGTTTTTATTTTCACTGTCATTCCTTTTATTTCAATATCTGAGTGTACATACACGTTATATATATGATACAATCAATTCGCCACATCACATCATTCCTTATATGTTTCATGGTGCCCAATCATTGTCTATCGTACGTTAGGTCTCTGTAATCCTCGTTAGCTTAGCTTCAGCTTTGCGGTTCTGCTTTTTTCAGACCGGTGGAGACTGTGGGATAAATGTATAGAAAATATTATATGGATATAGACTAAAAAGATATCACGGACGGTATATTAACTAACATGGCTTATGTATTAATACATGCTTGTAAACTATTTTAACGGTCTGCATTGTACTGATAGAAAAGAATAACGAAACGACCGTTAATTTAGTTTCATATAATAAACAGGTGAAGTATCGAACCTACGTAGGGAGGTGAGTAACGTAATAACATTTTATATCATTACGCTTAGTTAAGAGTTATAATGAAGTAGTACATGTTGAATACTATTGTATACTTAATATATCTGTATGTAAATTGTCAAACGGCACGTATTCGTGTGTTAGAGACTGTTTTATTTACAATAACATATTATATGTGAAGTCTCGTACACACGTGTACTAGTGTCGGTACCTGTGCTTCGCTCGCCCCCCCTCGCTCACTAAACCCGAGCTAACAGCACGCCGACGGAGCCCCGGGCCTGTCCGGTCATCATGTATCACGATCGTTCATGGCTTCGCTCATAACATCGGCCAGGGAGCTCCTCGATGTCTCATCAGTATGTACATAGTCATAGAGCTTCGTCGACGAGCTCCCAGCGCGGTGCGGGGTGCGGGGGGGTAGCGTGTAACCCGGGGCGCGTGGTCGCAGGCTGGCTGCACTCGCTCGCGGGGCTGGTGAAGCGCCGGCTCAGCGGGTACGTCAAGTGGCATCACGTTGTAGCGCGCCGCGACCCGCCGCACGCCGCCAGGAGCGCGCTGGCTCAACACAGGTACGTGATGATGACCGACTGGAGTGTGACTGTGTGTGACTTTAAATTAACACGTGACCTTCCTCAGGTGGGGGACCAACGAGAGCTGGAGCGTCCCCGCGTCCCCCCTCCCGCCGCGCGCACCCCCGCCGCGACCCGCTGACTAGTGACGCCTAAACCACCCCTCTACTTTAATATCGATACAAATGTTATGTAACGCTGTGACATTTGACAGTTTTGAATATACACTGGAGTGATTTAAATTATACGCAATCGGAGACAATACTGTATACCTGTACGAGTATAGACTGCTTTATATAGAACGTTACCCGCTGATACGACGCGCGCACACCAGCGCACCGAGCACGACGGCCGGAGGTCACCAAATATATGAGTCATTATAACGTGTGTGTACATATTATATAAGGATGGAGATCTGTGAGGAACGGACGGTCGTGAATTTAACACATAAAGCTTCGAATACACTGTCACTGAATACAATTATTATTTATGTAATTTACTTCTGATATTTTTTAAAGAATGATTCATTCTCTATATTTATATATAGTGTGTATAAGGCTTTAATTTTTTTTCTTATTATTTATTGAGCTTCATTAACATCACGACATCTGTCGACTGGTTTTGATGTAAAAATGAATACACAGCTTGCATATAAAGCCACGGTCGAATATGTACTGTAAGTTGAAAGCATTCACAAATAAAAGAACTATAACTAAGAGACTTTCATACTAAACTGTTTCTTTTTAAATATTTTTATTAATTAACCGTCTGTATGTGCCGTGGCTACATTATAATATAGTATGATTTTTGTAAATATCTTGTATAGTTTGACATTGAAGAGTGATCGGTGTGTCTGAGAGGAATTAATATGTTTTTTATCAGGAACAAAGCACAAACTATATAATTATCAATTTCATTGAAGGATTTGTACAATGTTTTGTTTTGTACCAAATGTATAGTAAATATTTATAATGGTTGTCATTTTTAATTAGTGTCCGTACCAAAGGGCTTTCCAAATGTGTTGACATTTACAGATTATTTTTTGTTAAAATGAAATGTTTTCTCAAACTAAATTCAGCGTGGAATGTATAAAGTATCGAATTATTATTTTATCCTGTTTTGTTTATATGAAGTATTAAAAAACATGCAATATTAAGTTACTATATAGTAACATTATCACATGGGATTTTAATGTTTAAATGAAAGTGTTCTTTATTACAACTGAATAAATACGATATTTGCTTGATTGTATTGTCAGCCTCCGCTACATATTAAAGCCAACCACCCACACGCTGTAGCTGGGCGGCCGGGGATCATCGCGACGACTATATATATTATTTGATACAATATATTTTGTATGTGAATTAATATCGCAGTAAATGGTAGTGGCGTGTTCCCCGCCAGTGGCGCCCTCTAGTCGACGGCTGAGCAATCAGTTTTGATGAATTATGTAAAGGATTTGTTTTCATTTGTAATTATTATGTTAATGTGTAATGTATTAAATGCGGATCAAATTTTATAATGTCTTTTATTAAGAGGTGATAAACCCGCTCCATCATTACTCAATTTTAATTTCTCTTAGATTACTTTCGTTTACTATTAATTTTTTTCTCTTGATTTAGAGATTTTGTAAAGATGAACTACTTTAAGGTATAACATGTTATTGAAGTAGCCATAGTTTATTGGCTATAGTAGCTAAGACTTTCTCATAGGAGGTCCTGAGTTATTCTCTGGGTAATAGTCCAAAATTATGAAGTTCTGCAAAAGGGACCCAAAATAACTAAAATCGGAACAGATTGGAGAATTGTACTATTAATAGTGAGACTAGGGACACCGCTAGAATCAAAACACATTTGAATTTTGTATGATCAAGATCTACTTCTGCCAATCACTGAAACAATTTTCGATTCTGTTCTTCAATATATAGCAACTTTCTGTATCGCCAAAAATATCAGTAAAAGTATGCATTAAAGATTTCCTCAATATCCACATCTTAATCGATATAAAAATAAAATTCACATCTATTTTAAAATAATTTTATTGAATAACTTTGTACAATAATTTGTGTAATTAAACGCTATACACTAAATAGAAGATTGTGCATTCTGTATACAAGATAAAGACCTGTTAATTATTGAGTAATATATCGGTATATTCTATAGAACTACTACGTCTTATATGAAAAAATCTCAGAATGAACATGTATCATATGCCTATAATAAAAGTTACAAAAATAAACAGAAAGTATTATGTGCAAAGTAAATATAGACTATATTATGAAGTAAGTGCTATTATAATTAGCAGCTGTAAATAGAAAGATAGTTACAAAATAAATGGCGACTAAGTCAAACATAAAAATAGTTACAATTATAAGAAGTAAATAAAATAATTTGAAATTACACAAAATATTAAATACACTGCAAAGTAACCGTCACTGTCAGTTGAATGTGACGTCTCTCATTTGGTAGACTGAATCTGCTCACAATTTTTTTTACCTTACTTGAAATTAACAACACCACAGCTACAAAAATTCTTTGGTATAAAATGAACAGTAATATAAGCGGCTCCAACTACACAAATAGATAAAATTACGTTTACTTTTTTTTAGACGGTATATATTTTACATATAAATAAGTTTTTTGACAACCCATAAATACATATACAATATCAGCGTTATTTTACATGAACGATCTAAATTCAACAACCAAATTTAACAGCCTCTTCAGCGTTCTAAACTTATGATAAGAATAATTTAGTTAATTTAACGCAACCAGACTAGTGACGTTCAGTCCCGTTACCGACACATTTAACGAAAAACCGAAAATGTTTACATATTTAATTTTTATACATAATATTTAATAACTATACAGCGTTATCACTAAAAGCATTACTCAAATGACTAGTCAGTTACTAGTAAGAAAACTGTCGTCAGAATATTTTTTTAACTAGTTTTAAATCATTTTTAAAAAAATATACAACATGGCAACCGATGTTGTTGAACTCTAGAAGCTTAATAAATAAAATGTTCCATATAAATACATATCGATAATTATTAAAAAACTATATCGTAATATCAGAATTCTTTAACATAGTTTCACTTAAGTTACGCTAAGATCAGCTTCTTAGTCATTAGGACGTCGCGCCGGTAGATTTTAAATAAATATATTTTGACACGTTTTATAGAATAAATAAATGTTTTACTGTTTATGTAATATATTCGTAGATATGTATTTTATTGCATCAGTGAAAGTGAACACTACTCCTGTCATGGACTTAGTTAAAATTTTGATTAATAATTAAAATTTCACATTCTACTTGCATTTCTTAGCTTGTGGCATCTATTAAAATTGTAAATTTTTCTAATCGAATTGAAAGTTTATATAAAAAATTCTTTATTTTGTACTCGTGTAAACAATGAGAAGTGAGTGCTCTGATTATGATTTCTACATTTAAGATTATAATCATGGTAACACTAAAGTAAAAAAATATAATAATTACTTATAGCAACATATTTCAAGAAATATATGATAAGAAATTAAATAGCGTTTTGAGAAACAATAACGAATTTTTAGTCCAGTGGACACAAACAGCTCAAGTTTATAACACATGAAATATAACTATAAGGCTGCGTTCACTAACTTTATTGCTTACAAATATTTATAAATTTAACAGCGATACTAAAACATTATTAAAAAAAAGATCGACGTGAACATTAAAACGAAACCTAAAATGGCCACTAACAGTTAATTTCCTTACGAAACTTTTTACTTGTTGATAAAATCTAAGCCGTCATAGTAAGTTACACTAAAGTCATCCCACCAGGTCCAATAAAGTCAGTTGAATATTACTATTCGGCTAAATGGTATTACATTTGTTTCTTTAAAATGTTTCGCAAGGTAACTATCAGTAGCCATATGTTTACGAAAGTCCAAAAAAAAAAGTAGCATTGGCAATATTTGAAACAAATCTAATGAAGCAACTGATGTTAGATAAAACAAAACCAAGCTTAACACATTAACTCTGTCGTAATCTTATTCTAGTTTATATATTAATGTGGCCTCCCGCTCTTACCAGCTCGGTGAGGGCTTGATGGGATCGGCGTTGATAACCCAGGGTATAGCTGACTCTTGTCCACCGGCTTCTGCTTCAAATACTCCGATATATGCTGTACTATCAGGTCGATGGCCACTGGAACACGAATATAATATTAACAAAAAAAAAATTATACTACGTAATTGAATTAAACTATATAAATGTATTGTTATGTGAGAGGTAACGTTTTATCCATCCCCAGACGCGAGCCCTCGCAGCGCAGTTTGTAAGTCTGCATCTCACGGACATTAATGTAAGTTCGTATCTCAACGGAGATTACATTATTTGGACGTAAAATAATGGCGCCAAATTACTTTGTTTGACGTCTGATATATAACGCTATTTATTTTTATTTCACAGATACACACATAATATTGTATCCTATTGAAGTTTTTTATATATTTTTTTATCAAACGTACTTCATTATTGATGTTTTTTTAAATCATTTTATATAATTAATAAATGAAACAAATCAAACGTTATCGAACACTTTATTATATATCCGTTACATGTATACATTTCATAACACATAACAATATTACAACGAGCGTAGTAATTTGTTATACAGATTCAACAAATTACATGAATTGTGCTTAAAACATTTTAAAATAATAATATAGTTTGATTTAAAAAAAACAATCACTGTCAAATTCACGTCTACACTGATGCGTAACAATATTTCAGAAGTGAAATAAAATAAAACTGTTTCTTAACATAAAATAGACAACCTGAAACTTAAAGTAATACAAGGAATATGCATCTTTATAATAAAACAACCATTAAGATACAAGTAAATACACATCGTAATTTTTTGGATAAAAATGACAGCTTTTAGAATGACACCTGTCAATGTTTGACAATTGTTTTTAATATAAATCCATTTAAACCTAATAAAATTTGACATTAAATTATGTAATTAAAATGTCATTATTACAATGAATTTGTATTCATTTAAAAGGGAGAAAATATTACAATCTGTCAAACTACTTATGTAGATGACGCGTGACTTTACAAGTAATATTTGAGACATTAAAAATAGTATTCATAACATAAAAATTAAACTTAAAACAAAATAGGATACTCGAAGTTCAACTTACAAGTCTAATTGAGAAGCATCAGTCCCTAGTACGCGGCATCGTGAATTGAATACTTTTAACTTACAGTTTCGATTCACGACGAACATTTACTAGGCACACAGTAATACGTGTACATATTGTTACCTCTTTTTACATGTTTAATAGCGTCTTAACTTACAATGTACAATATAATATTTTGTATACGTGTTTTAATTTATTTTTTATCACATGATTATTGGAATTCGGGTGGAGATCGCTTGTATTCTTTTTATTATAGAACAGACATTCGAATATAGTTTGTAATGCTGATAAAATAATTAAAACATTTGTAAATGCAGTGATACCATAAGAAAAATGCTGTAACACTCAAATTTGACTGAGTGATGTAATAACGGCAACAGAAAGTAACTTCAAGTTAAAAAATATACCTGTTCAAATATCCGGATTATAATTAATTATTTTTAATTAATTTTCTATGAATTATAATGCATTTCAACCAAAAAATATAAATGCATAACACAAGAGAACAGATTATAACGCGCTAACTTTCTGCTGCCATTACAGTGACGCGGAATAGATTATACAAACAGTATGTACGAAAAATCTATGACTTGTTAAAAATATTGTATTAAAATGTTTGAACACAAATTTCAAACTGTTCTAGTAAAATAATGAACACCGCTTCCTTAAACTAAACTTCATTTCAGCCTTATATATACATTTCCTTATTTAAATAATACAGGTTGTAAAGGTTGGGACACACGCGTTGGGAACGTTACCGAATATTTGTGCAAGACTTATGATGCAATGTTTTGTGCAGTTGAGTATTCATTTTGTGATAGAATACCGATTTTTTATATATAAGAAACAAATGAAAATTATATATTGTATATTTTAATCAAGGTTTGTTTTTTCAAAAAAAATTGTGCTGCAAAAATGTAACCGAATTTGAGTAAATATTAAATCGAATCCCACGTGTGTGCTCAGCTTATAAATTAAGATCTTGGAAACCAAATGAATGTAAAATAATCTGATCAGTGTATGTGGTGTAAAAACTGGAACCTTCACAGGAAGAACATCACTGGGGATGTGAGGAAAACGAGCCCAGATGAATCCATATGGAGCTTAAATATATTTAATATATACATGTCGCCTTGAATCCGGTCATTGAACTCGTCGGGTACCCGTACCTGTACCACGAGAATCACCTTCGTACTACGCGATGAGAGTTTCCAATTTTTTATTCATGAACCTTCGTTATTATAATGGAAGCTTCGTGATCGCCCAACTGGCCAGTCTCCGTGGTACGAGGGTGTGGGCGTGGTCTCACTATCGACTGAGCGTGTCCTCGGAGCTGCCGGACAGCCGGCGGCCGTTGCCCTCCTCCTCGATATGTCCGTTACAACCGTTGCTAATCTTCGCCGGACGCTTCTTATACATAATATCCCATATGTGATGCACGATAAGGTCAATGGCCACTGCAACAACGGAAAAACTGCCTTAAGTTAACGTCATAAGGTCCGAAGCAGCTACACAAGGCATAGCCGCTGCAAGAAGGTGGATTCGGTTTGTGGAGGCGCTTATTGCAGTGGCCATGACCTTGGACTCACCTCTGAGGTTCAAACTCAATATATCAAATTAATTTACCATTTCGTTCCGATGGCCCGTCGACAAGTCAGCCTGCATTCTATGTAAAGTACATTCCATTTCCAAACGCCTATACATAAAGGATCCTCATAGTTTTAACAACCAATTAACATATTAATGTCCGTGAGAACTGTGCTACGGGGCCTGGGGTCAGTCTAACTGGTCTCGTTATTGATTGCGTGACGACAGTATTGGTGATTATTAATAATTAGATCACTCACCTAAATTATCAGCGCCTCTCGGTATGATGACGTCAGCAAACTTCTTTGTCTGTAAAATGTAACAAACAAAAAATGTAAGTGTAGGTAATGGGGGTTTTCTATGATATGGAATCACATCGTGTGTGTGTGTGTGTGTGTGTGTGTTTTTGTTTGTGTGTGTGTAAATATATACGCGTCATACATACCGGCAGACAGAACTCCTCGAAGGCGGGCTTCACAAAGTTCATGTACTGGTTGAGGACCTGTTCCAGGTCGCGGCCACGCTCCATGATGTCGCGAGGTACTGAAAGCACAGGGAATTTATTGTGACATGGAACACCAAGTCGCTTGTGACAGAATTTTCTAAGAGTTAAGTATTCATACAGATTTAAATTGTTTATTTTTTGGAAGAAGTGTTAAATTAGTATCTAATTATCAACGCAGATAGCACAGAACCCTGGAATATTGATGTATGCTAGGCGACTATGCTTATGCAATAATGATATCTAGAAGAAAAGGTGCCTGAAGTTAATGTTTCTTTGGACTGGGAAGGTAAAAATTCTTTCGTAGAGAAAAAAAGGTTTGACAGGATTACGAAGATATTTTCGTTTTGTTTTTCGTTTGGTTTCTGTTATGGAAATTGTTTATCGAGTGTAGTTATTTAACAGTTTTATCACGCTTTTTTTTTCATAGATCACTTTCAAAATAATGGTTCTTTTGGTGGACTACATATTTTGTATGTATGCATGAAGTGGAACAATTTTTCTGAAAGTTTTGGAAGCTCACTTAATAGTTGAATATTAAGGTTTTACACAAAATATTTACTATTTCTCTATACTCATAATGTTCCTGGATACAGACAATGCTATTTGTTATTTCTTCTTCCTTTTGAAACGATTCAAGTTTTTTTGCTTGTCTCCTTTCAACTTCTAAGGTGTTTATGGCGTGTTGTGTTTAAACTTACCTCTCCTAGCGAGCCTTGTGTCGGAGTCAGTGTCAACAAACAACTTCATGTGAAATAGTTCTCTAACTTCCTTGAAGTAGAAAACAAGGATGCCTTCGATCAGGACCACGTCTGCTGGGTAAATCGTGTGCGAGCGGTTGCTGAAATCAAGTAAAATATGGTTTACCATACTATTTCCTTGTTACTTTATATGACTTACAATATGTATTAAAGATATCAGCTGACCTTATAGAGTTTGTTATGTAATCATACTCTGGTACTTCCACCTTCTTTCCGTCTAAGATGTCTTTGAGCACGGCCAAAAGCTTCTTGTCATCAAATGCGTCAGGATGGTCGAAGTTAAATTGCCCTCGTTCAGCCCTCAGCCTCTCAGACGTGGTAAGAGTACGGTAGAAGGAATCCTGACTGATGCAGACAACTCGCCTCTCAGTCTGTTCTTTGTGCTGCTGTCCAAGTTTCTCCATAATCCTTTGGCATACTGTTGACTGATCACGGAGATATTTATATAGAAGCTTCTTTAACATAGAATGCATTATGGCTTACATTTTTAAACTTTTTATACTTAATGTATGTGATACAGTAAAAATTAATGAATGTGGACATAAAAGATGCTCTTTTTGTGTTGAACAGAAAATGATATATTTAATACTTATGCTTCTGCATAAATGTTAATGTCAAATATATGTTTATTGATTTTTTTGAAAGAATGATATATTAAGTGTATATTAATTATATGGAAAATATTAATTAGTATGAAATCTCTAAGATGCCTCCAATATGACAGTTCAGTGTATGTTTGAATGATTTACATGACCAGTTATATATTGTAAACGTATTTGGGGGACCCAATCAAAACAACATATTTTTATTAAGTTAGGTGAGTGGACTTAGCAGTTAGAACCTACTAGTATAATATAATAACGATATCAAAATAAATGCTTAAACACACAATAAACAAAGACTAAATTGTATTGTAAACCAGAATTTTCAATCCAAAATCAACAGTTTTTTTTTAAGTACAAAATAACCTTGTATTTGAAAATCGTTTGTTAAAAAAAAATAACACATTAAAACATATCACAATAATGAAAATATTATCAGGTTGGGTAATATAGTGCAATATATTCAACTTATAAAATAATTATAAACTTATTTGGAACACAGCAAAAGCTTGATTTTTATAGATATAGAGAGCCACTTTTACTTGAATGGATGAGTATTTGAAACAATAACTTCTTGGACTATATAAAAGTTTACAGTTTTTTTAGTTTCGCTTTGTCTGTTGCTGTTAGCCATAATAGATTTGACTTTAAGAGCTACTTACTTACTAGGTTAAGTTTAGGTCTGAAAGGCCCGGGGATTATGCACATCCCAAGGTTATATTCTATTACAAGCATAAAAGCATAATGATCTACTAGACTAGTAATATTGCCTTTTGTGATTGGTTTGGTAAAAACTCTAGTAAGGTAATTTTTATGCCAGTTGTTGGCAGAAAAGATGAATTTCCACTGTCAAGAATGTAAAAAACCAAAACTCATTCATTGAGACTAAAAATGATAAGACTTTTGGACCACACTAGTTTTATAAAAAATATCACATTGCTTTGAGAATTATAAAACAACTTAGAAACATATACACACAGTGAATATCACTATTTGAAATAAGCGACAGACTGACTTACTTAGTGTTCATTAAAAATGTGATATATTCATTTATTTTTACAAAGCAAATTAGCTTTTTAAATTGATCTCATTCACACCTACATTCATATACACAAATAAAATGAAAATTTTTCATAAACACTTATAAAAATATACACAAAACTTACTTCAAAAAAGCAATTCTTAAGATTTTTGTCAGTTTGTTGTAGTTAATCTTTGGATGGGCTAAACCTATTGTGATGAGGTCTTCACTCACTTATAGGTAATGTCGTATGGAATAATTTAAGCATTTTTTTAACCAAATTAAAAAAAGGAGACAATTTTCAACTCACATATACATTTTATTCAGGTAATCATAATATTGTTCTCATGTCATCCCATTGTCATTAAGGTAGTATGTATTAAAAGTTTGTCAAAAAACTATAGGACCGGATGAAGATAATGTTGCCAATATTAAAGGATGTTTACTTTGAGAGACCGCAAGCAAAAACCAATAGTAAATACATAATCTGTGTTTTCAATAACTAATTATTAGATTACATACATGCAACATTTAAACAAATAAATGAACATCACCGGGGAAACAATGTTGTATGAATAAAATATAATATTAAGAGTGACATTGCTGAGTCTGCAGAACGAACACCAAGCCGTGTGGACCAGAAGATTCCTAATACCACACAAATAATGGAATGGTATTGCTATACTAACATAGGGGCAATCATGTAGTGTTAGGTATAGGTTATAAGTTTTAATATGTAATTCTTATTATAATATACACATAACTAAGTTTTATAGTTTTCCTAGAACCTCTGATTAATGTGAAATTCACCCTAGATAATTAGTGTTATCTATCCACTAAATAGAACATTTCCGAGAAGGTAAAACCAAAACTAACTCAAATTTACTAATTGTTGTACTAACAAAACAAAGATAAGATACACAATAATTAACATGTTTTAAAAGTCAAAAAGTAAAACTGTGTTTAATGTATTAACATTAATAATTTCTTTGGTTTCTAATTCCTATATAAAATAATTATTTATTTTAATTTCAGTATTATGACAGGAATAATTATTTTCAATAAGTATTTACTTGTCGCATCTCACACTTGATATGGAAATGTTGGTAATTAGAAACAAAGATTGAGTTTTTTTTCTAGTATTATGTTATAATACATATTATATATGCAGAACACTTGCAGTGTGGCTCGGAAGAGTCCAGATACCAATTCTGTCTAAATACATCATTTCCGTCCTAACATTAAGGAATTATATAGACTTATTGTAAGTGTAAGTTATGTATTTAATATTATTATTATATGTCTGAGAATTTATATTATTATCCCAGAACCTCCATTTATTATACTTTTAGATGTCCGGGTAAAAAATAATAAACCTAATAACTGTACAATATGTTTTGATCTAGATATTTCTTCAACTAACATGAGATACTATCATGTCTAGAAATATAAAAAAATATGTTTCTTATTATAATAATTCACTAAAAGAATAGTGTAGTCAATTAGGAAATATGATCTTAATATAAAAAATTATGTTACTAATAACTTTACTAGCAGTTGCTCTACATGTGACTTTATGTGTAATTTCAGTTAAAATTTTCTGCTTTCTTAATATCCTTCCCAATATTTATGTAACCTGACTAAGGTGTCTATTATGGTTATTACTTAAAACATAAGAATATATCACAAACTGAAAGATAACATAAAAATTGTCTGAGTAAAAATCTTAAGTACATTTGTTATTAAGTTGTTATTGTGTTAATTACATCGCATGATCCAAACATCGGATGTTTGTTTGCCAACAATGAGACAATGTAGGTTAGAGCACATTCCACCTTTCACAAATAATTAAAACAATCAATAACTTTAACTAATACCAACAACTTATTATAATGAAAATAATATTTTCTCAATCACTATTGCATAACTTTCTATTGGAAAAAATCAATATAATTTATAAGACACTGGACTAACCTTGCCACTCGCCGTACCGCCAGCTACTCCGATTAGAAATGGCGTTTTGCTCTCGAAGCCGTTAGTCATGGGAACTGTTGGTTTTTCACTCATTTTGTGTGTGTAAATTAATCTTTTTGTAATTTTAACACTTAAATTACCACAATACACTGCAACACGCAACTTTTGATAGAAGAGTGACATTGACATATCTGTAAACTAACTATGACTTACGAATTTTACTGCTCAAAAACCAATGTTACAACTATATAGATAAGTAAGATAAAATAAATAGATTGTAGCGACAAAATAATAATGCAGTGGTTACGCAAAAGTTTTCTATGTAATGAAAAAAACTTTTTCATTTTATTTTTATATGTGATATTATTATTTATACAGATACTTTTTAGAATTCATTCTAGTATTAAAAAATACGATTTTACTGTAACACATACTATAGTTAGCTTTGCCAGAAATATTAACATACAAAAAAAATCATTTAATAGTTATTGATAATTCAGTATGAATATACATGTATTTTGTTCTATATGAATATATAAAACAAAATTATTCGGAATGGTCTTTACTGGGCCGTGTACACTCCTCTGAACCTTGAGGCCAGTTATTAGTTGTACCACATATTCTTTCAATGGGTTAATTTTTCACTGCTAATCTAATAGATTCATTGGGTGACTCTAAATTTCTATGCCGTTAGAGCAAGCTCTTCTAAAACTGAGTCTAATCATGATCCAACGGATTGACATCAGGTCTAGAATCTGGATAACGGCCAGTATTGAGATCAGATGAATATAGAGACCTTCTTTAAGAGCCTGGTTTCCGTTGATCTAGCCCTTTTTATTACCAGTCTTGAGAATTAAAGAAAGTATTGTATAAGGGTTTAACTGCTTACTCTAGAATATTACCTTAAAAAACTTGATCCGATATCTACTGCCTTTTTCCCAAAAACATATCGCCGCAGCAACTTTTTTATAGTGAACACTACCAAAACCATCTCACAATTTTTTATCTCTTAACTAAGTGGATAGATTCTTTAGATCTTTTCACATACATATACATATAAGGGCTTTTCTTATCGTGGATTGTGAAAAAAATCTTCCAAATAATCTGTGTTCTCCATTAGTGTACCACTTAAGTGTTTTTTCGTCAAATCCTTTTTTTTAAATTGTCAACCATGAAATAATCCGTCTAATTTATATAGGCTGCAAGGCTTAAGGCATTTGGAAATAAGCGATATACATATATGATAAAATAATGCAGTGACTCATGGACTTAGATATAATCCAACGAAAAGTGAGTTTATGATATTTAAACCGGATCACAAGCGGTATAATGATATACCACATATTACACTGTGCGGTACACCACTTACAAAGGTTGGCCGTTTTAAGTATTTGGGTCACTGGATTACTGAGGATTTGAATGATAATCTGGATATAGAGAGAGAACGGAGGTCGCTGTCTGTTCGCTGCAATATGTTGATCCGCAGATTTGCAAAATATACCAAACGAGTAAAAACTACGCTCTTTAACGCATATTGTCAATCTTTTTATGCGTGCAGTCTGTGGGTAAACTATACTCGGAGGGCATACAGTGACTTACGTGTGCAATACAACAATGCGTTCAGGATGTTGATGGGGCTGCCGCGATACTGCAGCGCCTCTGCTATGTTCGCAGAGGCTCGCACAGATGGTTTTGCTTCCATCATGCGCAAAGGCTGCGCGTCCTTACTTCGACGAGTACGGGACAGTCCCAACACAATCCTGCATGCATTGTTGGATCGCTGGGATTCACCAATTTTAGCAAATTGGATACGACTCCACGTAGTTAAGTAAAATATATGTTTGTTTAAAATTTGTTAAGTATCAGAAATAAAATTGCTTTCTTTTGTAACTTTACTGACCAATTAATTTATTAAGTTTAATTTTTACTAACACTATATGGATCTACAATTATGATCTGAAATAAATTATTATTATTATTATATAATTGGCTTGTATATTTTGGTAAATGTTAAAGGAAAGAGTATGTAAACGAAGAGTTCTCTGTAGAAAAGTCGAATATCTACACATTTTTTCCTGACAAAAATCATTCTTCGGGCACCTTCGGTTGTAATTTAGTTCCTCTTTTCGAAAAGAGACTATAAAGAATGTCATATTTAAGTCAAAGTCAAATTTAAACACGTAAATATTAGCAAGTGTACTGCTACCACCGATGGTAAGACGGAACAACTAAAATTTATTTTATTGATGCAGAATGCAAGAGATTCATGCTAGAAGATTTATCCTAAAGCACCAATTAAAAACTCATATACACTCAGCTTTTGTTATCATGATAGAGGTGTATGAATGCATTCGTCCGTCGCTTGGATACTTAATAAATTAAGAAAGTCTAAATTTAGTTCATTTGTTTATAAATTGAGGAAACATGTACCAAATGTAACGAAACCAATGTACTTACTTCTGTTTTTTTTTTGTAATTATTTATCAAAAAATCAAGATACAATTTAAAGAATATCGCTTGAAATCATCCAATCAGAGTAAAAAGAATTCTGGCTGGCTTAAAGCTAATGAGATCCTAATTTTATCATGTGTTGAAAATATATATATTCTAGCATACATGTTTATTATCAGTGGCGGCTGTACCTAAAGTGCACTCGTGCGCTGAACCACCAGTTCAAAAGATTTAAAAATTACAAAATATTACTTTATCTTTATTTTTAAATTACCATTTTAATATTTATTTTCTAAACATACAAAAAGGTATAAAAAATTAAATTTCTAATTATAGTCAAAAAGTTTGAGCGCTTTACTAAACTAATATCTCGTGCGCTTCGGCGAGTGCACGAGGACTGCTAATACATCTTGTATCAATACGCCTGACGCGTGAAACAAAAGATAGTTCATAGAAATGTACCGAGTAATGAGCCGTTTCTCGAGCGCCGCACGAGCGGCCGAAGATTACCGAGAACACCCGATGTATGACGACTGGGAATTGAAAAGAATCAAAACTTTTCTCCGAAATACCATGCACTTACTAAAATATGCACTTTCTGTGCTTAGTATTGAATAAAAAACTATATATACAAACAATACCCGATTTAATAAATAGGTGATTGAAGATTTCGCTTCGGAAAAATGTCGTTGCATTCATTAATGTATAAAAAATAAAATATTTTATTTCAATCGGTTTTTTGATGCATTTTCTAATTTTAATATTTTAGTAAAGTGCACCACCAGCTCGATAACCCACCAGCCGCCACTGTTTATTATTTAATATATAACTACGCTAGAACCATGATATATAAAAATATTTCTGGTTGACTAAATTGCTTTGAAGAAGAATTTCTTAATTATAATAGAATAATTAGTCTAAAACAAATTAGTATAGTCGATATTATCATAACTGGAAAATTGTTATACCGTCACTAAAACACCAATAAACAAAATAATATATATTTTTTAATGTGAATATTAATAATGAGTGAATGTATAAAAAAATATCGTTTATTTATATAAAACGGAATGATCTTTACAAAACATTGTTGCACTATAGATATATCCACATATAATTCAGTATTATAACTTCTCATTTCCTTTTGATATTCCTTCAAAATACTGTACATTCGAGTCGTAAATTGTAGTACAAAAATAACCAACAATTATAGATTAAAAATAACTTATAGGTTGCGGATCTTCTTGTCGGCAACCCTAAGAGATGTTGCCATATCGAGCTGCTTCGCTCTAAGACGCGCCCACACGAGGTAGTCCTGAAGACCGATTATTTGAGCCGCCATAAGAGCAGCGCTGTCTGGGTAGATGACCGTCGCACAGCCCAGACCGGAAGGCACAGACAGGGAAGACCAGATGTCCTATAACGACGAAAAAAATGATGACGACACATATATACAGGGGCGACCATTATAGGGGCTTAAGAATCAAGAAGGTAAGGTTTTACACACCTGGACAAGTTTATCAGACGGCGGCGGGCAGTTGATAACAGGATAGGAAGTATTGCCAGATAAGACCGGTCCCAGGCCGTTAGAACGACCAGCCACCGCTATGAAGACGAGCGCTCCATGCGTGTCTTCATAGCGCTGCATGATACGAAGGGTCTCTTCAGTCGCTTTATGGGCTGACGTCACGCGCAGGTCGACGTCCAGACCGAACTCACGGGCGGCTGAATAATGTGGACTCATGTCATAAATAAATTAAGAAAAAAACTACTACATACAAGCTGAAGTAGGGATTTGGCTTATATCTTTGATGCATACCTTTAGCAATCTTCTGACAATGTTCCTGGTCGGCCGGCGAGCCCATGAAGATGACGACCTTGTGATGTATGGAAGGCTTCAGGTGGTCGAGCTGGTCCTTGACCCAGGAGAAGTTACGCTTCACTGTGTCCAAGTCCGCGGCTGTTACATTCGATAGGTTTCTGTATACCTAAAAACAATATAGGATTTATGATAGCAATTACAACTTTTGAAATGGAATCAATTTGATAAGCCATACGTCAAAGTATTTTGTTCTATATTCATTGTAACTAATGTTATATCTTTATATGAAAGAAAGTTTTGTCTGTTACACTATTTATAACCCAAGAACGGCTGCGGGGTTTCGCTGAAAATTTTGGGGAGAGCTATTTAAAAGAAATAATGAGTCGCGTAGTATATCCGAAAAATATTAGTTTCATTTAAATGAATAAGACTCGCGAAAATCTTAGATCCGATTACGGGGTAGAGCTAACTTAGAACCAGGTAAAGAACATAGGCGACTCTTCATGTAATCGAAAAATAAATAAAATAAATTGATAAAATCCAAAATCTTATTTACTGCCTTTAAGAAAAAACTAGTCATAAATAAATTCTACATACCTGTTTGTCTACCATCAGTCTCTTGTCACCTGACGGCCAGAGTCTCCAGGAGTCAGAGTCAATGACATCAGCCAAGAGAATGTTACCTACAGAAATACAGTTTAATAATTTCTGAATAAACTTTATTGCCCTGAATAGGAAGAGCTAGTAACCAATAAAAGAATTAATATGACTGACCATCAGCATCAACTCCAAACTCAATTTTCATATCTATAAGTGCACAGTCACGTAACGCCCACGCCTTCTCCAACACTTCAAACACGAGGATCGTTACCTTCCGCATGTAGTCAACCTCGTCCTGACCTGTTCATATTATATGGAGATTTATTACTGTTTTAGTCAATTATATTTTCTTTTCTATATCATATTGAAACAATCGAATGTAGGTTGAAAAAAATAAAGTTAAGGATTAATTACAATAGAATAAATAAAAAAACATTAGTAGTTGGAATTCCATGACTGTCAGAAATAATATTGTAACTACAATAAACCTAGTAGTAAAGTTTCCAATATATTTAAAACAATGAATACCTATAACGAGACCGTTGACTTTAAAATTAGCAGATACGATCTGTTCCTCGGACCACTGTGGGTCGTGGTTGGCGTCGTCTTTGAAGAAGGTTTCCTGCTTGGGTGGTGTGAACCTGAAACCTTCGGGAACACCAGGGTTTCGCTTCAGGAAGGAACCAGTCGCCAGCCTCCTGGTGACCCACTCGATGGGAACCATATCGCATTTCTTCGATACAAACGCCGTCTCTGAAGCAAGCTTTACGAAAGCGGTCTTGATACCTATAAACATAAAGCAGTTGAAGATGAAGATCAAGATACACTAGTGCATAGTATCATAATAGAAAGTAAGAATAAAATATAATTGCAATCATAGACTATATTTTTCTTTCGCAACCCAGGATTGACATTGGAAACATTATTATGAATTTAACCACGTCTCTAAACTTTCGATTTTGCAACTGTTCGCGGGTCATATTAACAATTGACTATTACTTGGACATTGTTGTTATGAAATTAAGTTGAAAAATAATCGCCACTATTAGCCAAGAAATCCGAAATAGATTAGAATATAGTTTATATTTAGGCATTTATAATTTTAAACCAGGTTACTATTTGTGAAATGTGTTAAGAAAACAGCGAAAATTAATAGTAAACATGAAAATTATAAGTGATATCAAGTTTTGCGATATTTTTATATTAGTAGATACTAATCATTAAATAAATATTCATCATCAATAGATTTTAGAGCCATAGGAGCCAGAATTTGGACAAACGTAAAAGCAACTTCAAAATCATTGTTATTAAAAACAAATTTCTGAACGTCAATGATTTAACGATGTTGTTTTTGTATATGATTTAATATATTGCTTTTATTGCATAACTTGTCGCTATCATGTTTTCTTAAGACAGGTCATATTGTCATCGAGGCCACCAAAACAACACAAAATATTATTTTATTACCAAAACGATTACCTGCGATCTATTAAAAATTAATTTCTGAACGAAATGTCGGAATGTTATAAGTTTCGTAATTGCATGTGACAGTAATGTTACAGATAATATAGGTCAAAGGATTCCTCGTTTTGTGATTGTGATAACTGGGGACTTATATGTAAAGATGACCTCTACTGGTATGAGATAATAACGATAAGCTCTACGAATTCTACTCAGGTTTTTATCTTAAACGAGAAATATTTTTTAAATTTTTAATATAATATGACAAAATTATTTATTGAAAATTTGAATTATTATGACAAGTCTCGATTTTAAGGACTGTATAACATGAAATAAATCTTACCAGCGGCTTTAAGTATTTCGAAAACTTTGGCGTTTGTCAAATTTGATATGGCGGCTTTGCCTTCCATATCGTGTGCCTTGACGCCATCTCCAGCAGTGATCCTGTCCTTGTTCAGTAGAAGACAGAGCCCCGGCTCTCCGGGAAGATCGAAAACTTGCTTTGTCTTTCCTTCAATGAGCAACTTCCCGAGCTTATAGCCACCGACTGCATAAAGAAACATATATAAAACGTATTATTTATGTATAAAAACAGACGTATAAAATTTATATTAGACACTTAAATTTATTCACATTCATAAAAATAATTTTTTTCTATAGTATAATTGTAAAATTTTAATTTAGCTTAATAAAGTTACTTAGTAGTCAATGTTCAAACTCCGTGTCTCGTAAGATCAAGGTTTTTGTATGATAACAAAACGTTTATAACTCCACAGTGGTATATATAAAAAAAGAATCAATCATAATTTAATTCAAGGTTGTTCTCCATTTCCTTCTAAGCTGAGAATGTTGACAATGTAAATAGTTGATGTTGCCAATGTGATCAGTTCGAAAAGTCGGACATTTACAATTAATGGTATAACACGCCGGTTACCTACTAAAATTTGCCGTATTTCTCTACTATATAAAGTTGAAATAACTTACCTTCTTTTGGATGAGCCATTTCTTATAAATCGCAGGAAAAGATGCGGCTTGACAGGGCTGAAGCGATCGTGCGTCAGGTCTTCTATATATCTGATTCCCTTTATAAAGTTTTTGAGAACCGCAAGTAAGATTACCACGTGCTCGTATACGCGATGGTCTGACGGCTGACGGCTTGTGATAACAAGTTGCTATAGCAGAGTCGGGCGATTTTGATATTTGATAAATATTTATATTATAATACCAATTAAATCAATAATTACTTTTTATATCCCATCACATAACTGGTAGTGTGTCTGATTGCTTTTTTGATGTTTCATTAAGTACATATGTAAAATAAAACACATTAATTACAAAATATTGTCAATTGTTTTACTATTTATTTTAATGTCGTAATTCTTGTCGTCATAGAAAGTTATATTTTTAGTCTTCCAATATATTAATTAATATTTGGAGTAATTTGTGCTTGTATGATGCAGGAAAAATATATGATCAAAATTAATTTTGCTATTATCAAGACTATAAGGCAGTGGTATTTTATGTGTCTGTTTCAGTCGCTCGCAGCGTTTGCTCCGTCGCACGCGCACTTTAATTCAAATTCAAATAATGAACGGACAATCAATTATTTCTTGAATCTTGTCGATCTACTACGCTTCTATAATATCGTTAGTGTGTTATACAATTTTGTTGCTTTTAATTGGGACTGTTGTCTTAAAGGTGAGTTAAATATACAACCTTTTTTTTACTCAACCTCTGTAGCTTGTCAAATGTCAGCTGTTGTTTTCAGGTTATAGTAAAAAAGTAAATATAATTATTATGTGAAGTAATTTGATAGCAATAGTTTTGTCGTAATGTTCATTAAAGAGAATCATGTGTCAATTTTTCTTGTAGTCCGCATGGTATTAAATGAGAGCGCTGATACTTACAGAAAATTAATTTCATTGGCACAATTGTTTAAATAACATGTTTACAAATATTTTAAATATATAAGTTTACGAATTTAAAGTTATATTTTAGTTTATATGTGTCTATTTACTGGACTATACTTAATGAAAATGTTTTTCATATTACGTTTACAGTTTATTAACCTGTTTTTATTTTTTGTGTTTATTTAATACAAAAATATATTTTTTAATGACACGAGGTTAAAAAATATATAGATATACCAAAGACAATTTAAAACTTTAATACATTATTTATGTAGTTTAATTGATACACATATATTTTTATCTTACAAATAACAAATATACTTTTTATATGTACATATTTATTAGTACAGAATTATAAAAACATGAATGATTAATAAATGAAAAATACTATTGCTGTTAAAATTTAAATAAAGAACTTGATTTACTAACATTTAAATAAACGACTGTCTAATATCAGAACAGTAATTAGCTTCTTAATATGTTTTAAGTTGCATAACTTTATACAATAATATATGTCACACAGAAATAGATCATAAATCATGAAATAATAAAAAATATATAACACTATACATATATAAATTATCAACATCGTGGAATCTATATCAGGTTTTTGTAACGGCCAGCAATGAGTAATTCCAAATTCAAAATAAAAATTCTCTAAACAAAACATCTATGATGTTTTCCTTAGTATTTATCACAAATTATAGATTAAAAATTTTAAAATTTTGTCACTCCAGAAGATAGGTATTAAAAGATATGTAAGTATTCATTAACATTGGTATATTGTGATGTAAATAGTTAATAGAGGATCACAAATACCAAGGTGTTATACCGGGCTATACATATATAAGGCATTAGATCTCATTATTATATTATACATGTTCGAGCCTAGAAAAAGCAAAGTAAATTGTTTTTTTTAAATATAGTTTATATGGCATCGGTCAAAGATTGTTATCTTTGTTCTATTTTTAAATTTATTTATAAATTAAGTTTCTTATGAAACTATTTATTTCTATATTTATCCTTAAAGCTTTTGCCATGTTGTATGCCATCAATATATTTTGCTATTTGTTAGAATAACAATTCATTAGATAAGTGACTGTAGTAGTTTGTAGATATTTTTTGGTTCAACAAATTTTTTATTCTGATATCCCCTTCAATATAACAATCATATTTATAATGAACAATAATAATGAAATATATATTGTAAAGTACTGATGCTTGGAATATATAAAGACTTATTCTAAGCAATAAATTATTTACCGCCAATTTATCATGACTTAAAATACGCCTGAGAGTTGATACTCGCGTCAAATTACCGGTTATCCTTCCGGACTAATTGTGCTGGTACAAACGATCCTTTCTCTCACTGAGGTCTGTTACAAAGATGGATATTATCTAAATTATTTTGATCATACAAAAATATCTACGACATTTTGTTGTTGATTAAACTAAATAATATATTATTGAGAGGTTATGAATATGAATCTACTAGAATATGCTGTCCTTTGCGTTTTTTAAATACAATATTTAATTCTACGCGTCCCTGCGATCGCAAGTACAAGAGATCTGCCCGTATCTTACCACTCAGCCTTTTTATGATATGGAGAGTTCAATTACTGGTAGAAACATAATACTTGAGTGATTTGTCTCAAGCATTGTTACAACGAATACTTAGTTTACAATTATGTAGAGTTAGATACAAATTCCTACTATACTATTATACTATTAATATTATAAATGCGAAAGTAACTCTGTCTGTCTGTCTGTCTGATACTCTTTCACGCCTAAACCACTGAACTGATTTTAATGAAATTTGGTACAGATATAGAGTTGACCTTGAGAAAGAACATAGGATAGTTTTTATCCCAGACTTTTGAAAGGTTCTCTCGGAAACGCGATATAACCTAACTCCAAGCGGGCAAAGCAGTGAGTGGAAAGCTAGTTAGATATAAAAGGCTAGAAAAAACGAATAAAAATATCAGTTAATCAAATTGAAAGAGAAATCTTTAAGTGTTAATTATATCCTCATAAAGAAACTAGGTTATAGGAAATCCCCACTCTAAATGTATGCAAGATGTCTTATGATAATAATAATATTAATGATTGAGTTATTAATTTATTCATGGGTATTCATCACTACAAATATTTATATATTAATCGTTACAACGAGGATAATAAATGTACATTTTTAACTCAGTGTAAAACAGTTAACTTCATTCTATGTATGATAAACTTCGATTTTTTTCTTCTTTTAACCAAATAATTGTACTGTAAAAACTGTATGTAATAGTTTTTTTTTATTTTTTTATAATGATGATATATCTAGTAGCGTTTAATATTGTACTATAATTACTTGTACTTATTTAAGATTGATCCAATTTGATGCATATCGATCAAATACACGGGCGTCACTTGTGCAAGACATTTTATATATTTTTTGCGTAATACAATCAGAGTGCTGACTTTTTTTTATATGACATAGATAGTTCAATTATTTATATTATTAATTATTGTAAACAAAATATAGAAGATTAAAAATTGAATGAAAATATTGTTTATTTTATATGTGGGAACACAAGAAGTCTGTAGGATTTATTTGTACTATTTAATTTCTATACAAAATATGGAAAGGAAGCCGTTAAGTCCAAGCTTTCGCAAAAATAAAAATATTTCTCATTAAACATTCTTATAAAAAAAAACAGGTACCTAAAATTTTTGATTTAGGTTTGATTTAAAATTTTAAAGAGTGTGCCTATGTTATGACTATTTTCACTCGTAGTAAATATAGTACATTCCTTTACATTCAAAGTGAGTGAGTCTAAATACCTAATTCACAATTTTCGTAACTCCACATAAAAAAATATCGCCTGTGAATGTCAACAAATGACATCGGTCTACAGTTGTGGTTGTTGTGGTTGTCTAAGATTGACGGCTCTCCTAATTGTATCAGTAAAACCGTGTCTTGGTTTCCCATTAAAAAAAAAAACATTTAAATTCAATTTACAAACTGACAAAGATTCCAAACTTTTTTATGTAATATTTGTTGATCTGTTTAATCTCTCACTTTGGAGCTGTGTGCAATAAGTTTTTGTCGATAACTTATTAAGCCGAGACAGGATAAACACAAACTAAATATGTATTGTAGGCGTCTGTTCTAGTCTTAGCACTAACAAGTTTTCGGGGGCCGCGGCCCGGGTGACACGAATACACCCACGTTTTTCTCACTCAATAATTACATCATACAAAATAATTGCGCGCATAATAAATGACCTACACAAAATTTGTATAAAATAAATAAATATAAATGTGTAAATATTGTTGGCTGTATGAAGTTTGTTATGTTTTTGTTATCTGTGTGTTTGTATAGATGCTGTTGTGGAAAGATACTCGTAATGTCATTAGATAACTGACCCCCTGCGGCTCAGCATGACGACACTGCGGACTGAATTGCGAGCTGTTTACATCTACGTTTATGTATTACTGTGGAATGGAAATTTCGTCATGTACCTTTGAACTCCATGATACGATCCTAATTTGATAGTGTTATATATTTTAATGATATTTGTTGTTAATGAAACTTGATTTTTGATTTTTTTTTCACTCATTAAGCCAGAAAGCTACCATACTTGATTCTATACTGATCTTGCCTAAATCTGCGATGTACCAAGGTGGTTTTGTTAGTCAAAGGATAGTGTTCCCATCCCTACCTAAAACTGTCTGATTTAAAAGATGAATGGATTATAATCGCAGCTCAAAATAGTAATTGAATATATGTATATATCGTTTTCTTTTTAACGGAATATTTTTTGTCATTTAACATTTACTCATCTAGTTTTGATCAATGAAGTTTTATGTAATCTACTAGAACGAAAAAACATTTTTGTTTTGTTAAATTTGAAATGAATGAATTCATCTAAGATCAAAATTAATTATTTTTCGTGACAAAGTATAGATTTTTATTTATCGCTCACTTCGCACGGCAATTAGAGACGTTGTATTAGTAACAACAATTATAATTAATTTTGACTTCAAGACTAGCTAGCCTGCTAGGACTTCAATAGTATTTTTTTTTATTTTTTTAAATTATTTATACACATCTACTTCTATACAGTCTCGTATATAATATAAAGTCCAATTTCTATATTTATTTAGGTAATCTAGCGTGATTTTAAATAAATATTATTACGATAGAGACAAAAGTAATTAAAAATGAAAAAAAAAACCGTAACTTATTGGATATTTTTTTCAATGACATATTATTTGTTTGAAGTCAAAATCAATGACCTTTTATTGTTATGATGACCCCAGTATTCTAAAAGTCGTGTTATTTTTTTGGTAACTACGTCAATCATTCCCTAATATTTGTATCTCATTGAACGTCATTATAAGATGTGATGTTTTCGTTATATCAAAAATAAAATAGATTAGATTATTTACAATTTATATACATGTGACGAAATTTAATTTTGTTTAGTCAATTCATTACTCTGTGAAGCAGTGATCCGTTTTTTATTAATCTGTGGTAGTTCTTATAATAGTTTTTGTCAAATAATTTCTTCTAACTGGCGTATATAGAAAATAAGTTTGTAATTAATGTAATAAGATAATAATTGAATTTTATCCTCATATTTTATTTTTAGTATTAACACAACTTAAAAAAGGTTTTATAACTGAAGATAAAACGTAAGCAACATATAAAAGAATTAATTAGCATAAATCCTCTTTTATAGAGGGCATACTTTAAAACAAAACAAATAAGCTTCTTAAAAATAAACGTATTGACAGCACAGCTTAGCAATTTTGTTCTCTATATGCAATATTTATAGTTTTGTTTTAAAGAAAATTGGAGTATACATTTTAATTTTTAGTTGTAAGCAACAGCAATCAACATTTTTATTTTAATATTTATTTGTTTAAATTCCAGATAATATTATGGAAGGTCCCGCAGGACCATCATGTCGCCTGTCAAGCGATGACGTGGCAGGGCACAGTCAGGACACAAATGACAACTGTCAGAATGACAGCTGTCAATGTGACAGGACACAGGCTGAGGTCAAGATAAAAAGCAAGAGGTTTGGCAGAGGAGCCGTTGAGTCAGGTACTTTCATTTTTATTTTAATACTATACTATTCATGCTTTAGCTTGTATAAAAAACATTGAATAATACTATCGGTTGTTCCTAGAATAATAAAAGGAAAATTACGATTTAGAACTGGCTGATACATTGTAGGTGAATTGTGATATAATCGGTTACGTTCAAAATTTAATTAAACCAAATTGTGTCAAACGAAGTTTATCTAAATGGAGCTACAATAGATATAAACAGTGTACGTTATCAGGTCAACTATTAACCTTACTTCAGTGCTGTTTTTCTTAAGATTGACCTCATGTTTCATCATTTCGCGATAAATTTGTCATAAAATTTGCAATTTATTTTACATATTACGAAATTCTTTGCCGTCATAGAAGTAAAAAAAAAAATTCCTTACTTAAAACAGCTTTTGAAAATACATACTTTATACTTATATTTTATACTATATTTATTTGAAGGTCTGACACACGAATGCGGCGTGTTCGGTGCTATAGGGACGGGAGAATGGCCGACGCAGGTCGACGTGGCACAGGTTATATGTCTCGGGCTGGTGGCGCTACAACATCGGTGAGATTGGAAGAAATTTCCTTCTTTACTTTTTAATCTGTGGCTCTTACTGAAAAGATTGTTGCAGGCTGTCACTATGTGTCTTTATATGTCTATCTCTTTCACTTAATGCCATAATTGATTTGGCTCTTGGAAGACTAGCATAAAGTATATGAATGTTGTTGCTCCATGAGCAATATATGTACTATAAGACCTTAGTCCTCAATATTTCATTTGTATGTAAAGCCAATTTTACTATGTCGTCTATCCTATCTCCTTTAGCATCCAGATCGTAATTTAGGATACGTTTAAGATAGAAGATAGTTTCCATTACTGATCCAATTCTGAGCAATTAGTTAAAATTTCCGTTTGTTCTTATCCTCAAATATAAAATAGTTTAGAACAGAATATATTTTTTATTGAAACTAATAAACTTTAAAGCTTTCCATAGAATTATTATACAATAAACATCTCATGTTCAGTTGAGAACAACAATTTTGGTGTCCATTAGGTCAGGGAATATTAAGATCTATTTGTGTTATATCTAACGTGTTACTAGTTTATTGTGTCAAGGTTCGACCACGTTATCTGTGAACGTAGACTTACAAAAACTAAATGTTCGACAACTGATAATGAGATGACGTGACGAGAACTGGTTCGAAGTGGTGCGTCGCGTCCCTGAACTTACAGGAGTGTTGGCCGAACAATAAGATTTGATCATGATGTATTATTATGCAATAATATTAAATAGGAGATTTTTTGTGGAAGAATGTAACGTTTCTGTTTAGCAGGAAGTAAAATGGGAATGTTCTTACAAAAATCGTTTATGGATACGTTCGTCTGTAGCCATTGAATGTCTGTTTTTGCTATGACTATTCTATTGCCCATAAATAAAAAGACAGACAGGACTGATCTTTCTGCTTAGTTTTGTAATACTTGCCAGTAGTTCCTTAATATTTATAGGTATTTATAAATTTATATTATGATATTTTAAATGACGAAATATTTGGTTATCAGAGGTCAAGAATCCGCGGGCATAGTGACGTCAGAGGGCAAGAGCGCCCGCACCTTCAACTCGCACAAGGGCATGGGACTCATAAACAACATATTCAACGACGACGCCATGAGGAAACTCAAGGGGAACCTGGGGATAGGACACACGAGGTAGGAAACGTGACATGAGTGATGGACATTGTCTGATTTACAAGCAAAATATGTACATCCTTAGTGGACTTAGAATAGCTTTCCGTTGAAAACCTTAGTGAAATGGTTCTAGCGAAAGCAATCAGGTTAATAATAATTTTCTTAGTTTATACGAGAAAAAAAATGACAAGATTTTAAAATGTCCCTTAAAACGAATGTCTTTATAATGTATACAATATGTAGTTAATTCTATGTATCTGTACCAGATATTCGACATCAGCCGCCAGTGAGGAGGTAAACTGCCAGCCGTTCGTGGTCCACACGGCGCACGGCGCGCTCGCTGTGGCACACAACGGAGAACTCGTGAACTGTAGCAGTCTGAGGAAGATGGTGAGCGTTGACGATATATATATGAAGGAATATTGACGGTTCATGTTCAAGAAGTTAAAGAAGTAGTGGTCTAGTGGTTAAAGGTCCGCCTTTCATGCATGACGGCACGGGTTCGAATCCTGGCAAGTACTAATGTGATTTTTCCGAATCATATGTACTTTCTGAGAGTATTTAGACATCACTGACAGACGATGAAGGAAAACACCATAGAAAACCTAAAATGGAATAATTTCAAATTATAAGTTTGAAATCGCCAACCCGTTTTGAGCGAGCGTGGTGATTAATGCTCAAATATTTTCCATGTGAGAAGAGTCATTTTCTCAGTAGTAGTCTCTGATAGGCTGATTATGATGATATAGGATTAACAGAACGCTAAACAGCCGAAGAAGGTAGAAATAAAAAAAAATACCATTACTGAGTGAGGGTAGTTTGAAGTGTCATATCTAACAAAGTGCTGCCATCTATATGATAATATAAGTTTGTATATAATAATATTGTTCAGGTGCTGGGTCGCGGCGTGGGTCTCTCGACTCACTCGGACTCGGAGCTGATCACGCAGGCGCTGTGTCTGAACCCGCCGGAGGGAGAGACGGACGGACCCGACTGGCCCGCCAGGATCAACCATCTCATGAGGTCAGACATATATATATATAAAAATGAATTGCTGTTCGTTAGTCTCACTGAAACTCGAGAACGGCTGAACGGATTTATCTTATCTTAGTCTTGAAATGTTCGTGGAGCTTCAGGGAAGGTTTAAAAGCTGAAAAAAAAAATTGATTCATTTCCGGGAAAACCCTAAAAACAGCGCTTTTCTATTTCCCGTACAAACTTTTTTTTGACATTAGATTTGACAACTAACTAATATATCAATCATTTTGTCGCACTTCAGAGCACGGATAATTATGGCTTAAAGGTAAACTCCAAAAAAATAAATAAGACATTATTTATCTCTTGATTGAGGCAGTACGAAATCTGTCGGGTCAGCAAGTATAATATAGAATTATATCATGATGAACTGATATAATCAGACAGCGGGAGAGACGAAGCCCAATTGTATTTAGAATATTAGTAGGATTTTCTTAGAACTATCTAAAAAAGATTGACATTACTTAATTAGTAACCGTTCATGCATATGTACATTTTCCATCGGATACAAAATATCATGATGACAAAAAACTCATGTAATTTTTTATTTTGTATTTATACGAAAGTCGTGCTTGTTACTCTATTTATAACTCAAGAACGGCTGTACGGATATGGTTGAAAATTGGTGGAGACAGCTTTGAACTAGGAGACGGACCTAGGATATTTAATTATGTTCGATCGAAAAAGAAAAAATACTTCATAAATTCCAATATCTGGTAATTTACGGTCTCTGAGTTTGAGTTTGCCCGGTCAGTTATAAATAATATATTACTAATTTCGGAATTAACGCGGAAGAAGTCACGGGCTACAACTAATTTTTAATATTTTTACAAATATGAGTGTATTAAAATATTTTTAAATGTCATATTATGGTGTTATTCCAGGCTGGCTCCTTTGAGTTACTCGTTGGTGATCATGTTGAAAGACAAGATATACGCTGTCCGCGACCCTTACGGGAACAGGCCGCTGTGTCTCGGGAAGATATTACCACTCGGATCATCCTGTGAGTATTATTACACGGAAAAAACATTTAAACATACAATTATATAAAAAAATATATTAAATTGATAATCAACTGACGTCAAGAGAATGCAAGAATAACATGTCACTTGTTTACAAACATCACATGGTCTTAATATGTAACAGGAATAACAATAACATGAACTGAAATTTATTTTGTATCGTTAAGATATATTTTTATGATGAAACACTGAACTTTGATTATTTTGTTTTCTGTATTTATCTGTGGGAGTTTTGTAACTTGATAATATCTGCTATCTATACTATCGTGTAAAAAAAACAGCTAACTGAAAATATAGCCGTTTCTTTTGTATGATGAAAGAAAATATTAATTGCACCAATTACAGGGTAATCACTCATTTACTAAATGTTACTTCCAGATGCCTACAAATCCTCATCATCGAAGCATGCGGCGGGTAAAGCATGATATTCATTCACTCATTCATTAATTAAAATACACGTACATTCCCATTCATTCATTCGTTGAATTCATTTTAGCGGGAACTTATATCTAAAAATAGAATGACTATATATTCAATAAAAATGTCACTGCATGAAAAATTAATAACGGGTTATACAGATAATTAAAAAATGCACGAAGTAATTTAATCTCGAATGTTTACAGTTTCTTTGTTTGTCATAATGTAACATTATTAATATTAATTCAGTTTTGATATTGCAAGAAATTGTCTTGTTTTTCATATCACAACATTTTTTTATCATAGATTTGTTTGTGCTGACTTAATCTATATATTTCTAGTTTTGTTGAACGGCTGTGCTAAGAACGGTATGGATGACAAGCCAGAGGGGTGGGTGGTGTCGTCTGAATCGTGCGGATTCTTGTCTATTGGTAAATATTGATTAATGATTAAGTGTTAAAATAGTAAAATGAAATAAAAGTCCTTTTATAATCACTTCCATATATTTAATCAAACATCAACCGACAAAACTACGATACGACTATTCACATACAGATTAAAAAATATTGCGCGTTAAATAGATTATGAAATTTAATTATATTCAACAAAAAGATCTTTTTCAATTATCTTTTTATCTGTGTCTCATTAATTCTTTATAATCTGTAGGAGCTCGTTACGTCCGCGAGGTCCTTCCTGGAGAGATCATTGAGATGTCCCGCCGCGGTATAAGAACAGTGGACGTGGTGGAGCGGCCGGCCGGGAAACAACAAGCGTTCTGTATCTTCGAATATGTGTACTTCGCTCGGGCTGATAGTATTTTTGAAGGTAGGTGGAGAAATACATCACATTTCTTACTATCTGATTCGTCATACTTAAGAAACTTGTCTCTAAAATGAACTGAGAATTTATTACCGTGATCTCATTCCTTTTTTGTACTTGTTGATCTAAGACTGAGGAGTATTTTGTATTTTTTTAAAATAATGAATATCCAAATGGCTGTAATGATTATTCACTGAGCGTGTATTCCCTTCAGGTCAGATGGTGTATTCAGCTCGCTTGCAGTGCGGTCGTATGTTGGCGCGCGAGTCTCCTGTAGACGCGGACATCGTGTCGTCCGTGCCGGAGTCAGGAACCGCCGCCGCTCACGGATACGCTAGACAGGTACACACACACACGCACACACCCACACACACACGCACGCACACATACAAACTCATACACAATACACAAACCCCCCCCCCCACAAACACAGTTCTATTCCTCATGTATGGCCCTATAAGCAAATATGAAACAGTTTCGTCATAAATCTATGAGGAATATTACACATTTCGTAAGCACAGATTAAAAAAAATCCAAATATTTCCGAACTATCTTGTACAGATTTCATCATGTACTTTGAAGGAAATGTATGGTAATTATGAAATTGGTAATAACCTGAGCGTCTTTGTCTTCCAGTCGGGTATCCCGTTCATGGAGGTGTTGTGTAAGAACCGCTACGTGGGCCGCACCTTCATCCAGCCGTCCACTCGCCTCCGTCAGCTCGGCGTGGCCAAGAAGTTCGGCGCTCTGTCCGAGAACGTGCGCGGGAAACGGATCGTGCTCATAGACGACTCCATCGTCAGGGGGAACACTATAGGACCGATTATAAAGCTGCTGAGAGACGCCGGCGCCGCTGAGGTGAGGACTCATGAACATTATGATGTTGAACTAATGACAGATAATATGAAACATAATCTAAAACAAGACTTTGAAATGTCAACAGATGACAAATATTTTTATACTCTATGTTAAAGACATATTGTCAGTTTTTTTGGCTTTGATATAGTGTATGTATAGTACATAGGCTATAAAAATGTGATATAAAAGTTTATGAGTTCTAATCGCATGTTTTTTGCAGGTCCATATCCGGATAGCGTCCCCGCCCCTCAAGTACCCGTGCTACATGGGGATCAATATCCCCACCAGAGAGGAACTCATCGCTAACAAGATGGACCCCTTCAAACTCGCTGAGCACGTCGGTGAGTTGAAAATAATATGATAATTCTTCTAATTCATTTAATTATTGCATTGAACTAAGAATTAGTAATCTTAACTGAAAATTTATCTAATCTGTGTACAGACACATTTAAATATCTAAGCTTCATCAGATGTGAAAAATTCGGTTTTGTGTTGTTTTTCCTCTAAATTTTTTAACGTTGTAAAGTAGGGAGTATGTAGTTTTTAAAATAATAAGAGTAGTATAATCCGAAATCATTAGTTTCATTTAAATGAATACTCGAGAAAGCTTTAGATCTCATTATTTTTAACTTTATATGTTATATACAGGCGCAGACAGTCTAGAGTATTTAAGTGTGGAAGGTCTGGTGAGCGCGGTTCACTATAACATGAAGACGACCCCCAGCGACGGCGTGGGCGGTCACTGCACGGCGTGCCTCACGGGCGACTACCCCGGCGGGCTGCCCGACGACGCCGACTGGTGATGGACTCTATCACCAACAGCATAAGGACTGATTTCATACATACAGAATATGTGCTCTAACACCGATCTTCTTCGCCCACCGTACCGACCTCATCATAGGCGATGGAAGAATTATATTAAAGATACATATGATGTTGTGATTCATATCAAAGCAGTTTTGGTGTTGCCAAAGTCTTGGTACATTTCGAATTTTAATTACGGACACTACATTATAATAGTAATTGTTTTAGATTTATGTCTATATTAATTATGTTTTAAGAGGAATGTCGTTGACATTTCTTTATTATTGTTAAATGTCAATTACTATGAGTTATTCTACTTTCATTGTTAAATAAAAGATAAGGTGTAATGACATTGACATGTGACAGGTGTATAAGAAAATTGTTTTATCTGTTTTTAAGTGAATTAGGATGTAGGGGCCAATGTTTGTTATTATAACGAGTGTTGATATACATAGATTGTAGACACTTCTCGAAGTGATATATTTTTTAACGTTATAGCGTTTTATAAATGTTATTATAGGTTACTATACATTATATATTAGTAAACAACTATGAATATTAATAGTTCATATGAATGAACTGTTTCCGCTTGTGCCTTTTATGTTTAAGATTGTATTTTATAAATAAGGTTTAAGTGAGTCGTGCTGGATTCGACTTTTGTTCGAGATCACATTACCTCTGATTTTTGATGGCATGATGTTTAAAATATAAAAATATTACTCATAATATGCTCGATTATATTCCGTGTAATAAGATATAAGATAATTATGCAATTATATTTCCGCACCATAGAGAATGAATAAAAAAAATCTCTACTCTATGGTTACTCAGCGGGATGAACTCTCATGACTATGATTTTAATTGAATTTTTCTAGAATAGTTTAAGATCTGAATATAATATGTTTTAAGACAAAATGAGCATTCCGATGTATAACGTAGGTTGTAAAGAAATAAAATTATCATGCTTTAGGGATTCATAAAAAAATCTTTTATTTATTTCCCGTCTGTTCTTCATTTAATGAAACTTACCAATTAACGTATGAATTAGCGATTGATTATTATAACACAAATTTAATAGTATGATAAATAATATTTTTTTTTGAACCAAGCCACTTATTTAGTTATGAGCTTACACATATTTTCAATAACATTCACAAACGTTTGTACAATTCAATTTAATTTTACAGTTCTTCAAAATCGTTAAAGTACATCAAAATAATTTAATTCACATAAGGTAAACTCACTAGTAGTTGACCAAGTACCTGTAGTTGACCAAGTACCTGTAGTTGACCGCTAATGCACATAAACCGTTATAATAAGAATTCGCGGCAATTTTTAAAACTCAGTTTGTTGAGTGACGGACCATAAAATCAATAATATCGTTTGTTGTTACAATATTCGCAGAGATTGAAAAAGTTTATTTAGCTTCAAAATACTAGGAACTTTGTCACCTTGTTGACGGTAAGTGTTTTTCGTTTCTTATTCGTTTATGGTTTATTTATATGACAGGGTAATTAAAATTAAAAGATTTCTTGACAAAATTGAGATGTGGGGGTGGTCCAATACTGATTCAGTTTGACTGTGATTTTCTAGTAATTGACCATGGTGGACGGTGGTCAACTTTTGATTAAGTTCTGTATCTTGTAAATATGCTGCATATAATAATTAATTAAAATAAACTATTTTATTTACTTTGACAATAGATTGATTTTCTTTAGTAGTTGACTAACTGTATGGTACGAATTTATGGCTATGGTCTACTTATTACTAAAACCAATTTTTCATCTTGTAGATGCCTGGGAAAAGGGGCGCATTCCTAAATTATACTGAAGCTGCAATGCTTGCAGCAGTGAACGATGTTCGACTTCATACGAATATGTTCTTCACCAATACGAACGGCTGCAAAAAAGTTCGCTGTACCAAGAATAACGCTTACAAATATAGTAAAAGGGAAGTCACCGATGGAATGAAAAATGGGTCCAACATCCATCCTTACACCAGAAGAGGAGCATAAAATATGCGACTGGGTGCAAAAAATGGCAAAAGCGGGTTTTCGGTGACAACCGAACATTTAATTGTGAGTGTAGAGAAATATTTAAAGCAAATAAAACGTCCATGTGTTTTATTCAAGCATGGAAGACCAGGTAGAACATGGGTTACGGCCTTTATTCGGAGAAATCCAACAATTTCCAAGAGGATATCACAAAATTTGACAGCATCAAGAGCCAGGGTAACAGGTGATCACCTATCACAATATAACATACCTATCACAATATAACTCAAAACAAAGTAACCAACAGACCTTACCGTCACACTACTATCGTACATCTATCTCTCTCTCTCACGTAAGCAACATCAGCTCCGTAACAATTCAAAATTAAAAATATAATTATCGAGATTTAATAATCATATTCCATGTTATCTGAGAACTTATAATACGCCTTTAAAGTGACAGTGTTTTGTGGACTTTATTATAGTGCAAATTAATAAACAACAACATCAGTGGAGTGAGGAAAAAACAGATCTATTTTTCGTAATAAAAACTAACAACTTTACTGTGCTTGTGCTATATTCGTATTTTGTGCTCAAGGAATTCAACATATACAATCACAGGTACATATCAGGTTATCGAAAGCATAAAAATAAAAGAATAAAAACAGTGAGACAGTTTTACAATTACAGTGAACGGGTAGAAAATAAATAAAAATCGGGTATACAAGTTCACTGTTAATGTGTACATACGATACCATATTTTCACACGGTCTACTAACTACAACGGTGGCATAATCTGTAAGCTACAGAATTGAACACCGACAAACCAGGGTTCAATCCCAAGCCAATTCTTGAAAAAAATTTATTTTATCTTGTTTAAATTATATCGTTATTGAAAGTATGGAGTGCAAAGGATGTAAACAAATGCATTTAGAACGAAATAAATTTTTCACTTGTAAATTATGTCAAGACAAGTACCATCACAAGTGCCTGAACATATCCGATGAGCAATTCAAACGCCTCAACTTAGAATTTCGAGCTTCATGGATTTGTCCAGCGTGTACAAACATAACACGCAGAAACAGAGGAAATATTAATACTCCCGTTCGACACAATCAAATTCCTACTGTTGAAGATTCACTTGATGTGTCGTGTGATTACACTGAAGTCGGTAATGTCACACCGAGCGAAACACAAACAGCACATGTAAATGACAATAACGTAATCACTATGGATAAAATAAGTGAGTTGCTTGATCAAAAATTTAACACCACTCTACAGGCACACATGAACAATCTTCGTTTGACACTACGAGAAGATATAAAAACCCTAGTGCGTACTGAAATGGATGCAGCAATACAAAATTTAAAAGACGAATTCTCTTCAACTACTGATTTTATCTGCGCTGAACATGAAAATTTAAAAAAAGAAGTTGACACAAAAACAAAACTAATTTCCAGTTTGGAGACTGAAAACTCACGATTACGTAATGACGTGCAGAAGATCAACAATCGAATATGTTTACTTGAAAAAAGTTCCCGCAGCCATAACCTTGAGATGCAAGCTGTGCCAAAGTCGCGTAACGAAAACGTCATGGATCTGTTCAGAAAATTATGTGAAATCATTAACGTACCCCTCGATCCCATACAAATCCATGCATGCCGCCGTGTCGCCAAATTAAACCCATCCTCAGCTCGACCGCGTAATATTCTGGTTACCTTAAGCTCTCCTTACATAAGAGACACCATTCTTTCTGCTGTACACAGATACAATAAAAGACATCCAAAAGAAACATTAAACTCGAGCCTTATAGGAGTTACTGGCGAGTCAAGAAAAATCTATGTAACGGAGCACCTATCCCCAGATTGTAAAATGATTTACGCCTCCGCACGGAAAGTCTCTAAAGAGAAACAATATAGATACGTCTGGGTCAAGTATGGAAACGTCTACGTACGCAAAAATGATTCGTCATCGGCTATCCTTATTAAAAACGAAGATTGCTTAAAAAACTTAAAATAACTAATAGTAGTAAGTAATTGTATAATCTTTCGCTTTATTCTAAATCTTATATTTTGATACCAAAAGTACTTATTATGTTAATATATTACCAGAATGTTAATAGAATTAGATCAAAAACTGTTGATGTATCCCTCAATATTTTAAACAGCAATTATGACGTTGTTTGCTTAACCGAAACCAATTTCAATGACGAAGTATTCGACCATGAAGTCTTCGACTCACGCTACAATGTTTTTCGTAGAGACCGCTACACTTCCAGTATTAACAAAAAAGACGGCGGTGGGGTAGTTGTGGCGATTAAGAAAAGCTTTTATGTTTTAAGACAAGCTTCCTGGGACAGTGATATCGAGGATCTGTGGTTGAGTATATCTACTCAAGATAATGTCTATGCTCTTCACCTTTGTCTCTGCTATCTGCCTCCTGACCTTGCTGTGGACAGTATTGAATCTTACTATGCTTCTTGCACTAAACTTATCACAGACATAAATGAGACGAACAATTTCTTAATTATAGGAGATTTTAATACACCGAACTTAACATGGCAAAATACACCCACATCTAATTATCTTATACCTAGCTCTTGTCAGGATCACAAATCACATTTATTACTAGACACAATGAACTTTTGCAATCTCAAACAATTTAACTGTATTCGAAATCATAATGACAGACTTTTAGATCTCGTCTTATCAAATCTATCGGCAATCAAAGTAAACAGTGCGGTAGACTCAACTTTAAGTCGTATTGACAAACATCATCCACCTATTGCTATTACTTTGAATCTAAAGCCACAGGTAACAATTAGACAAAATAAGCGCATGAAACTAAACTATTTTAAATGTAATTATCAAAATGTTCGATCTGTATTGGGAACCATTAACTGGACTAAAACACTTTCATTTGAAGATATAGACACCAACGTGGAAGAATTCTATAAGACCTTAAACACAGTAATTAAGGAAAACACACCCTTGGTACGAGACGACTCGTCTCGTTATCCAATTTGGTTCAGTCACGGGCTCAAGCGCTGTCTCATCGAAAAGCATAAATATCACAAAAAATTTAAAAAATTTAATAATCCGCGTGACTACGATACTTTTTCTTTACTACGTAAAAGAAGCAAGAACCTTATAGACAAATGTTACGACGATTTCGTGTGTTCGGTGGAAGACTCAACACATATTAACTCAAAGATTTTCTATCGATTCATAAATGATAAAAAAGGTTCCAAAATTAACTCAATACCGGAAGCTGTAAAATATGCGAATAAAATTTCAAAGAACGCCCAGGATGCTTGCGAATTATTTTCGGATTATTTTAGTTCAGTATTTAGTTCTTCCAATTTAAAAGGCCTATACAACCCTGAGGCGGTTGACTACAATAATGATACCCTAAGTAACTTCACTATCTCTAAAAATGAAATATGCAAAAAAATCAGGCATCTAGATCAACATAAGGGCGCAGGCCCAGACGGGATACCACCTTCTTTCATAAAATCATGTGCTCAAGAACTTAGTGCTCCACTGGCTATTCTGTTCAACATGTCCCTGAACAACGGTATCTTCCCCAAATATTGGAAAACAGCCTATATTATTCCTATTCATAAATCTGGCGACCGTTCGCATTGCGAAAATTACCGACCTATCAGTATTTTATCATGTTTCTCCAAAATCTTGGAATCTATCGTATACGACAAAATTTATAATCATGTATATCCAGTACTCTCTGAAAAGCAGCATGGTTTTATAAAGAACTCAATTAGTTGCAATCAAAGGGTACACTTCTTCCCCGGCTACAATTACATCTGGGGTACCACAGGGATCGAACCTTGGACCATTATTTTTTATATTATTTATTAATGATCTAGCTAAGAACTTGTCTTGTCAATTTTTACTATACGCTGATGATCTCAAAATGTATTCCTCGATTAACAACACTAACGACGCTACATCTCTTCAGAAGGACTTAGATGCTGTTTCTAAATGGTGCTCTAATAATCATATGACGTTAAATACAGAAAAGTGCTTTGTAATAAGCTTTACACTGAAAAGATCGAAAAAAATACTTTTTGATTACACATTAAACGGAAAAATACTTTCACGCAAATCCACCGCGAAAGACCTAGGCGTGATATTTGACGATAAACTCACATTCAGGGACCATTATGACTACATTATTAATAAGGGTAACAGATTGTGCGGTTTCGTAAGCAGGAGCACTAGAAGTTTTAAAAGTCCTAAAACTTCCATACATCTATACTGTACCATGGCTCGCAGCGTTTTGGAATACAACTCGGTCATTTGGTCACCCAACTACAAAATACACTGTGATAAGGTCGAGGCAGTACAGAGGAGGTTCTTGCGATTGCTTAGTTCTCGCCATCGGTACGGACGTACACTTGAAAGCTATAACGACAGGCTCAACCGTTTCGGACTGCAAACGCTTGAAATGCGTCGCAATTGTAACAGCTTAGTGTATTTGCACAAAATTATTCACGGTTTCGTTGATTCACCCACGCTTCTAGGCTCCATAAATATAAACATCAACTTTAAATTCCGACACCCCAGAACATTTAGCCTGGATGTTTATAATAACAATATCTCGTATCACAATCCTATCGGACGTATGTGTCGCGCTTACAATAGGGTCTCTCTTGAGGACGACGGGTTGGATGGTATCGACGTTTTCAACAGAAACCTAAAGCTATTTAAAAAACGATTGGTTTCGGTTAACAGCCAGGAATAGTGATCGAATCTATATTATTAATTTTTTATTTTTCATTATTTTTCATTTGTAAGTGTGTTGTGTTACGTATTTTTGAGTGCTGATGTGTTTTTTTTTTCTTTTTTTATAAGTGAGATACTTTGTATATAATCTGTGTTCGCATAATTGTTGGATTGCAACTCAGTTCATTTATAATATTTACTCATTAATTATTCGCTTTTTTAGTTGTAATCTGTTGTGTGAACCGTTCAAAATAAATAAATAAATAAATATCAGAATGGTACAAACGTGTGTATAAGGAGTTGGAAGATAGTGGCCATGCTGATATTTATCGCGCATTTTTAGTTGCGATGAGACAGCATTTTTTTTAGCACCAAAAGGACCTAAAGTGCTTGCTAGGAAAGGTGAAAAAAATGTTTACCAGCAGGTAAATGCTGATGACAAGGAATGTTTAACTGTGTTGGTAACCGGAAATGCAAACGGTTCCCTAGCCCCTACCACGATATTGTTCAGCTATAAGCGGATACCTCAAGAAATTTCAGATAACTTTCCTTCAGACTGGGGCATAGGAAAAACCGACTCAGGATGGAAGACGTGTGAAGCATTCTTAGAATTTGTGGCTGATATATTTTATCCTTGGCTGATTAAAAATGGAATAACTTTACCGGTTATTCTCTTTGTTGATGGACACATATCTCATTTATCACTTCAAACTAGCCAGTTTTGTGAAGAAAAAGGAATCGTGTTAGTAGCACTCTACTCTAATGCAACCCATTTAATTCAGCCAATGGATGTGGCAGTATTTAAGCCACTAAAAGAAGCCTGGAGGAGGCATGTACAAAATTGGAGAATTGATAAAATAAAAAATGACGAGCCTCATATGCTTAAGAAAAAAGATTTTGCTAAGTTATTACACGAGGTAATGGGCAATACCATAAGTAAATCAATGTTGGCAAATGGATTTAAGAAATGTGGCTTATTTCCGTGGAACCCATTGGAGGTAAAAGTCCCACTTGAGAATGTTAGCGAAAACCAGGACATAAGCGAACAAATTCATTATCTGAAAGGGGGCTTAAATTTTTTAAGCGAATCTATCAATCCCGAAAAATTTGTAGCATTTGATGCAACTCTGGATGAATGGTCAGGTGATTTGGCATGTTCTAGTTTTTAGATGGTCAACTACTAAATTTCTAATATTAGAATATATATATGTATTTTTAATTTTATTCGACCATGATACGTGGTGAAATACTTGTTCATATGTTAAAACACTTTTCACAGGGTTTCCAAAAAAAGAAACTTACTGAATTCATATGATAATTAAAGTCAAACATTTAAAAAGAATATTCTGTCTCCTTAAGTGATCATCATCATCATCTACTGATCATCTACTGATACTTTTACCTTAAAACTTTCTTTACAACACAACATTTTTGTAGCAGCGCCATCTATGTAATGTATATGGAAAATAATATACAAAATATTGTTTTAAGTTCTGCTGAACATCGAATTAAAAGGAAAACACAAATGTACAGTCTATTTCTATATTGAAGTATACTATATACTTGTATAAGCCCTCGAAGTGACGCTGTCTAAGCCAACGGCCTAACAGCTAGTTAAGTCGAACCTAAAAAAAATTGTATAGTACATATTATATACAAGTCACTCTGTGGTATCGGTACTAGCTAGCTAGTAGTTGCTCACGAGCCCTGCTTGCCGACCACAGCCTCGATATCGTCAACTTCCTTGACACAGCTCTTCGTTAAGACTTCAGGGTCTCCGTCAGTCAACAACACATCATCCTCTATACGGATCCCTACTCCACGGAACTCCTCCGGAACTGATCTGTCATCTGGAGCTATGTAGATACCTGGAACAATAATAAGAATTGTATTTAACGTTAAAATAATTCTGTTATATATTTTCTTGAAAATTACATCTGAAATATGTAGTAGAATGATAATATTTTTTTATAATTAAAAAGTAATTATAACACAAACTAATAGATTATAAGTTTAATAGATTTTAAGTTTAATAGAGAATTTATTCATTTGCTTTCTCAGCAAAAACTTCATGGACAAGTTTTGGAAAAAGATTAAACAATTAATAATTGTAAATTAATATATGTATGTATATTATGGGCATTATACATTTTTATTCATCACATACAAAATTCATGGACGATATACATGACAATTATCAAATGGGTTTTCATTGAAATCAAAGATTCTCTTTCATGAAATAAGTATTCACTATGAAACAAGTGTAGTACATACAATCACAAAACACATCAAGACAAACAGGTATTTGGGTACCAGAAGATTCGAGAGTGGCTATCATTAATTCTATCATGAAACTCCTTTAATGGTGTTATTGGGTTCAATCACAAAATAATATTAGTCAGAAGTGTGCGGGTACTGGACATTCGAATATGGGAAAATGCCAATCATTATTTCTATCATTGAAATAGAACTCCATTAATAGTGTTGTTGGTGTTAATCGGTGTGGGTGGTGGTATGTGTGGGTGGTACCTGGCTCAACGGTGACCACCATCCCGCTAATGACGGGCACGCGGCGCCTCACCAGCGGCGCGTCGTGCACGTCCAGACCGAGGTAGTGAGACACGTGGTGCGGACACAGGCGGTACGCTCGCTGGGGAGGGAAACACACGATATACTACCTTAACGATCAGTATTAAAGGTGATAATTGATTAAATCATTTTAATATGTAGTCTTTTGATGGGTTATATATTGATAATCTAGATGATAACTCCAAAATTATTTCTTCCATCACTTCTATAAGTATACTAGCGTTTGTTGTATGGGTGCCCACAAGAGGGGCTGTAAGATACCCAAAAAAAATAGAGGCTTTGTATAGACGCCTGAGGGATGATTTGTAATTTAATTTAGCTAGAATAAGTTATAGGCCCTAAAAAATTGTTTATTCTCTAGTGGACAGTTCACAACATAAGTTTGTAAGCCACTTCTGTAAAAGTAGTGTAACGTCCAGATTATGTGCTAATAAAACAATAAAAAGAGGTATATGAAGAACTTAGTTTCATTTAACTTTATACAAACGAATCTTACATATGATAATAGTATACTAATACTAGCTTTCCGCCCGCAGCTTCGCCCTCGTGGAGTTCGGTTATATCGCGTATCCAAGAGAAACTTTCAAAAGTCTGAGATAAAAACTATCCTATGTTCTTTCTCAAGGTCAACTCTATCTATGTACGAAATTTCATTAAAATCAGTTCAGTGGTTTAGGCGTGAAAGTGTAACAGACAGACAGACAGAGTTACTTTCGCATTTATAATATTAGTAGGGATAATTGTTGAAGGTGACTCACTCCAATAAGTTCATTATTATCAATATTCTTGGGCAGGATCCCCTCCTGTTGCAGCTGGCTCCCCAGCAGGCGACACATGTGCTCGAACAACATGTCCAGGGACGGCCGGTGCTGACCCAATAACTCGATCAGACGTTTCTGAAAATAAATATACGTTAAAATAGTTTGGGAGATATTATATATACATAAAGAAATCAAATACATTGTTGTCTATATCTCCATTATTTTATTGACACATTCTTCATTAGAATCTCACTGGCTAACCAGCCAATAACTAAATTAAGAAAGAGGTGACACCACAGGTGATATGATGTGACAGACGGATGAAATGTTTATAAGGGAGCTTAGTGAAGGATATGAATAGATCGCTTGGATCTACCTTAACTTCTATGATACTTTGGGTTTCTTCAGGATTAGACTGAATAAACTATTAATCGGTAGTGATTTTACCATTTAGCATCCTATTTCCACTCACCATCAAGCGGGAGGTAGTCAATCAAAATTTAGTTTGTATAACAATATACGTAAAATATTTGAAAAATCAATGTCTGTTATTTAATGTACCTGCACTGATAGTATCAGTTCATAGAGTATTCTCTGGTGGTTAGAGAACTTCCCCGACACCGGCCAAGTGCGGGATATATCTGAATTGTACAACCATCTTTGAGTTCCTGGAACAAAAACAATATTATTAACTTAAATATGTAATTATACCAATTATGTAAGCAATCATAAATAATATAAGAATCATTTCTTTTTCAACAAAAGTAAAACTTAAATTAGAAAAACAATTTTTATACACTACTATTATTCAATAGAGGATTCTTATAACTCGATAAATTAAATAAATGTTGAAACAATTTCACATTCTATTTTTAACTAAGACTTGAATAATGTAAACAAGTCAGTAGCCTTTATCTTCTTCTACCTGGCAATTTCCCAACTTAAGCCAGGGTCTGCCTTACATGTTGTGAATAGTTTTGGCTAAATGTTTTTACGACCGGCCGCCTGCCTGATATCAACCCACTTTGGGAAGGCATTAATCAGTGATGTCTAAATACTCTTAGAAAGTACATATGACTCGGAAAAATCACATTGGTACTTGCCAGGATAGAACCCGCGCCCTCATGGGTGAGAGGCGGGCCTTTTAACCACTAGGCCAATACTGACTTGGCCAGGAGCCTTTACATGGTGACAAAAAAACTATGATAAATATTTTAATTCATAGTTCAAAGTCTAGATCCGTTTAGTCTCGAGACTAGATTACAAACTTTTAAAAGCGCGTTAAATAATAAGTATTTAATATAAATGAATTATGTAGTAAAAAAGTAGTTCCATTAAAATTATCATTATTGGATTTATTTTTATTTTATTACCCTGTTTGAATGACGGAAATATCTGATATAAGAATTTATAGAAAAAATATATACATTGAAAATATTATGTGATTACCATTTAATTTATATTGTTTTATACCACTGATCATTCTATCTTTATATGTACATAAATTTAATCTAGATACATAGATAGATCAATCTAAATCTAACCCATCTATCTATTATATATACTATATGTATATAATACATACCAGCATCTACAAGTATCATCTCTCCATGTCTCAATATTTGGTTGTTAGCCACATAGTGTATGTGAGTGGCCCGAGCTCCCCCGGCCAGTACCGGAGGGAAGGCCCCGTGGTCTGCGCCCCCCGTACGCCAGGAGTACTCCAATATAGCACCCACATTATGTTCTGATATACCTGGTTAGGGATGGCACAGACATTAATAATATCTATAACTCTTATTATACAGAATTATTAGTGAATTATTATTGATTTAAAATCAATAAAAACGTTTTGATGGCCTTGATAGCTAAATATTTTCATGGTGGGTATTTAAATTAGTTGTACTTTTTTATGTTAACATATTAAAGAGTAAACATTAACAGTTTATGTCTTTATTGATTGTAATATCTTTTTGAAAAGAAATGACCAATTAAACAAAGTAGAGAGATCTTAAGTCATGTAAAGTTTTTATGGAACCTCTCGTTACATATACATATATGTATAATAGAAAGTTGTATTAGTTACACTATTTATAACTCAAGAACAGCTGTAGGAGTATGGTTGAAAATCGGTGGAGAGATAGCTTAAAACCAAGAGATGGACATAGTATATTTAATTATGTTTGATCGAATAAGAAAAAAATAATAATAAATTCCAATATCTGGTTATTTATGGCCTTTGCCCGGTCTGCTATACATACATTACTAATTCCGAAATTAACGTAGTCGAAGTCGCAGGTAAAAACTAGTTAAGTATAATATTTAATAGTAAAAATGCAACATACCTACCAGGTTTCGTGCAAGCCATAGCCAAGTTTATGGACTGTGATCCAATATGACAAGTGTCTCTCATCAACTCAATTTCAGCGGGTGATTTAATAACTCTCATCTGATGAAGAACTTTTTGGGGTTCGTCCAGTGTTACATGACCCTGACGGAGTGAGGAACGGACATATTCGTGGATGTCAGGGTTCGGTGGACACTCATTCTGATACCATAGTATAGCAGGTTTGGATGTTGTTACTATCCTGTTAATAAAAACTTGGAATTATTATAGGGAATTTCAAAATTATACTAAGTAATTCAAAAGGTTCCATTTAATTTTTTTAAATTGTGGGAAAAATTTATTTAAGATTAATTTGTCAATGTAGTTTATGCAAAACTTTATCAAATCAAATAAAAAAAATATAGTTATTTTTTCATCAGAATGTCAAAGAAATCAGAATCAATAGTCACCATTTTAAAAGAGTAATTAAAATAATTATTATAGATTATTTAATATTCAAACATAAATGATAGTTTCTTATAAAATACAACATTAAAACTCATATATAAGCACCATTATGTCATGTGTATATAAATATTTTGTATATATCTTATTCGGGTTTTGTGATGAAAATTTTTGAAATTCCTCATGAATTTTACCGACAATAATGATCGTTCTTAAATAGTCATAATAATATTATTAATATACCTGTGTATAAAATTATTAAAATTCTCTACTGGCCGTGATTCTTCAACTGTGAATAGTGGTGCAGCCAACGCACATCCAGTGCGCGGTCCTTCCCACAACTCAGCATGACTATCCTTATCATTTACAAATAGAATACTCTGGAACAATCACAATTATGTTATGAGATCTAAGATTTTTGCGAGTATTTATTTGAATAAAACCAAAAATGTTTTTATCACTACCCATTACTTGATTATTTTTAAAAACTACATATGTACTCCTGACATCACAATTATTTTACAGTATGTGTTTTTTTTGCAGTGATTTTTTTGCAATATGTGATTTTTTTTAATAATACATTGTAAACAAAAATATTAATTACATTTAAATCTCAATTATACATACATAATAATAGAATAATTAACAATTTAAATTTAGTTTTTCTGATAATCTTTCTAAACTTCTGAGAGTAGAAAAATAAAAATTATATTTAAATTTTGTATACCTTATAATTATCTTCATGTGATTGTTTAACCATCACTAGGATGGCTGAAGGTTCTAGACATCCCGTGAGGTAGAAGAAGTCAGAATTCTGTCTAAATACATATGGTATCTTCTCTGACATGTACTGTTTACGAGCTGCTGGGATTACTATCTGAAATTTGAATGTTTTATATAGATTTTAAAAAGTAGTAGTAGTATTGTAAATAAAAATGGTAGGCAAGTAGATAAAATAGATTATAACTATTGATGGTAAAACATTTATTATAATTTATACACATTTAAGACAATTCTCAAGTGTCTTCAAGAAAATCTGTATTCAAGATTATATCGTACTTACAATATGTGATCTATGTTCATTTTCTTTGCTCGCCACTAATTTTTCTACTAAAGTATCTCTTCTATCTTTATACTCTTGCTGTGTGATGCCACACGTCAAGTGGCCTTCGGATATCAAGTGCGGGTGAGTGTGGCAAGTTGGTTGACCAAGTATTCCCTTGGGAATAGTCGTTGTTTCTGACATAACGTCAGGGGGATTGCCTATACTCGATTTATATCTACATCTCTCTTTAATAAGCGTGCTCCTTAAAAGTCTTCTAGGACTTTTACTCGCTAAAATTGAAGAAACAATTTATTAACATAAGGTCTTGTCATCAAAAAATAAATATGTACATATAATTCACATAACCTATACCAGTACCTAATTGTAATGATAAACGACGAAAACTCTGCATTATTGTAATTTTAATAGTTTAGTATTAATTAAATGGTTAAAAACACATTCGTTGTCCTTTTTTTGGTGAGGACTAAGTTTATCAAATTGGATCAAATATATAAATTTGGCAATGTCAATGGTTCAAATTGACATTAGTGAAATTGACATTTGTCTTCAATTTTAAAACAGATGTGTTAAAATTATATAATATAATTAAACAATAAGGCTTCGAGTTCAATAAAAATATACAAATTTCAAATATTCAATTATAAATGTTATTATTATAGTGACACTCGTCATTTTTTTCATTTGAAATGACTTTTCTCAGACAAATACATGATACATATAAAAAACTTTTTTAAATTGAAATTGAACGTTTAACATATTGTGTTTATACTGTTTCTCTTAAATTTTAGAAAATTTGATCAGCAAAACATCTGCATTTTTAAGTCTTCGGTCTCATTAATGCTATAACAAAACGTTTGGTCTGAAAAAATAATAATACTGAAACACTCATTGTTAAAAGTTAGTAACACTTTTAAAATTAAATTATTTCCTTTTACTATAATATTCTGTTATACTTACATGTTTTGTTCTTTTAAGTTATAAAACTTTTCAGGCTTTTCTAATGTTACGGTGTAAAGATCGGGGTCAATAAAGAAACATATTTTCTTCGATATTTTTATAGATTTTCTATTGCTTATATTCATTATATATAACAGAAGTAGCAGAATATATATTTTATAGTTATTGTAAGACTACGATTAATAGGTATCGTTTGATTGAGAAAGTTTACTAAAAATCTAATATCAAGGTTCTATATATCATACTGCTCGTGACTAGTTCCTACTGTGATCGGGCACTATCATGGTCATATCAAATTGAAGAATAAATCCATAACAACTAACACAATTCATTTATTTTCCCCACTTAATATATTTACAACGTTCATATCCATTTTGTACTAAAATTATGTTAGCGAATTCACTTTTACTTTCTAATGTTATACAATATGTTAAAAGATTTAATAAACTAAAAATGCTTAAGAATTTTGTCAACGCTGTGATGTTCACGTATTTTTGCTTTAGTATTGTCTTTTTACTAAAAGAAATATATACTCCCTGGATCATTAAAGGAGCACTCGATCATGATGAGCGTTTGTTATCTGAATATCAAATCAACTTTTACATGCCAACCTACAAATCAGTCTTTTATAGAAGGTTCATCTTGAGTCTATAAAGCTAAGAATGCTGTCGCGTCGCATCAAATATTTGAAATAGATAAATTATTTGAAATTTAAAATATAGTTTAAGAATCATTAGAAGAAGATAAATAAGAATACCTAGGTACATAATTAATTATTGTAGTTTTGTATGTTACGTGTTTTTTTTATATTAATTATTATAAGTTCAATTTTTATTTCATTTTTATGGTTATCCACAACAGACCTGTATTATAAGGCCTACATGGGAATTTTACATCATCTCTAAAATGGTGACGCTAAAAAAATCTATACTTATAAGTAACATATGTGTCTTAGATGATTATCTGGTCTTTAAATTAAAGAAAACGAATATTTATATATATTTATTTATTAAAGTTTGTTATATATACTGTGTTCTGCAAAGGCTAGAGTAGCTAACGGTAAAACTTCGGCAATAGAGTGGGGCTTAGGGAAGCCAACCTATACAGAGCCCTGTCCGTGCCTGTGCACTTAGCGAAGGGGATCCTGTGTCATTTTTTAAAATAACTACCGAAACAAAATAACTTATTTTAGAAACATTTAAACCTTGCATCATTGAATTCAAAGTCCATTATTCAGTTTGTTTTTTGTTTTAATGAACTCGCTGACATTGGCGCTACATATTTAAATATATGTTAAATCGATGACATTTTGTATGTTATGCCTTATTTTCAGTGAGGATCAATAATTAGTACATTTACCGCATACTTAGGTATATACAACAACGAAACGAGAGAGAGACGAAACCTTTTAGCATTCAATGGATTGACCATGCGGTTGCTAGGCCCATCGTTGTAGTGAGAGGAGCTTCAACAGTGACTGGGACTTGCGACTCAGGTGTAGGTTTAAGGGGACCCTATCTAACGCTCGTTAAACGGTCTAAGGAGAGCGAGGAGTTACGAATGTATTACTGGAAAAACTTGAAGCATATTTACCGCAAACTTCTCTTCAGTAGACACATACCTACATGTTAAAAAACGCCATTGCTTTCATCCTCAATTAGTTTAATTACGACTGGCCATAAACATATGGTATAAATAAAATAATCACAACCTTATTGTTACTAATTTTCAAAGAAATAGGTATATGATTGAATTATTTTCGGTTGATTATTTTCTATAACAAAATTAAAGTAACACTAGTGAGTAATAGATTTAAGCTATATAAAAGTTTCCGAGATGCTAATTCTTTTACTGTATTCAGGTAATTATAGCTTGTTGAATAATTAATGGAAGCCTAATACGTTTGTTAGACGGAGGATGAGGTGAGATAAAATGGAAATACGAGTACATACATACCGAGACTTGTATGAATATAAAAAACATGGCGCCATCAGCTAACATAATTTTGATTTAATGAGCTTTTAATGGGTTTGGAGTTTGAGTTCTCGTTATAATTTTGGCAAGTCTGATTATTATATGAATGGAATGAAAAGGAGGATCCGTAGCTATGTGTGAGCCGGTGATACTGGGAAGCCGATCTGATTTCCCGCTATTTGTTGACATGTAGGCAATCAATGAATATGGAATGAAAATTTTATGTATATTTATTGATACTATCACTGCACAAACAGTGAATTAAAATATTACCCCATCAAATGTAATGTGTCTATGAAGTTAAATAGACGGAAGATAATTCATATTATCTAACTAGTTTTTGCCCGCGACTTCGTCCGCGTTATTTTCGTTATCTTCTATATATATAAAAATGGATTGCTGTTCCTTAGTCTCGCTAAAACTCGAGAACAGCTGAACGGATTTATCTTATCTTAGTCTTGAAATGTTCGTGGAGGTTTAGGGAAGGTATAAAAGGTGAAAAAAATTGATTCATTTCTGGGAAAACCATAAAAACAGCCCTTTTCTATTTCCCATACAAACGTTTTTTTTGACATTAGATTTGACAACTAACTAATATGTCAATCATTCTGTCGCACTTCAAAACACGGAAATTTATGGGTTACAGGCAAACTCCAAAAATATAAATAAAAAAACGTAATAGATATTTCTTGATTAAGTTCGCCAGGTCTTCTAGTTAGTAATATATGTATAGCTGACCGGGCGAACTCTATTCCGTTTTAGAGGCCATTAATAATCAGGTTTCTCCTGTTTCAATCGAACAGAATGATTGACATATTAGTTAGTTGTCAAATCTAATGTCAAAAAAAACGTCTGTATGGGAAATAGAAAAGGGCTGTTTTTAGGGTTTTCCCGGCAATTATTCCAATTTTTCTCACCTTTTATACCTTCCCTGAACCTCCACGAACATTTCAAGACTAAGATAAGACAAATCCGTTCAGCTGTTCTCGAGTTTTAGCGAGACTAAGGAACAGCAATCCATTTTTATATATATAGAAGATAATAATTTGAACGTAATTTTTTCACAGCGCCCGCGCCATCTTGTTTTGATTTAAAATTTGCGTGTATATAAATTATTAAAAAATATTTTAATTATGTTTTAGATATTTATTTCGTCACATAGTTTTTTTGGGCTAAACATATTAAATCGTATATAAATGTGTATGAAGCGTGTGGGATTTGTAGTAAATTAATCATTAATTAAGAGAGAACAAAAAATTGTGTGTTTTTGTAAAACAAAATAGGTAGTTTTGCTATGATGGTATACTGATTTAATATTTTAATTATTGTTCACGTGTTTGGGCAGATGATTTCATAAAGAAATTATGTTATCCATAGGCTTTCAAATTCATGAACCCTTATATTAGGTATAACTTTAAAGAATATTAAGACTGGTAATAATTATATGTATTTGGAAAAATTTGGATAATGCTTTCAAATCTTACTGGAGTTACTTCGATCTAAAACTAGTTACTAGTCTTCCAGATTCTGTTGGAGTGAGGTATAAGCTTATTGAATAAGTCAGTTTTGCATACATTAATAGTAAAAAAGTTACATTCTAGTATAATATTAATTTGCTTACCACATCTTTAGTCTTTGGAGTTGTTTAAAAACGTTACTGTTACGAAGACTAATAGATAGAATCTATTTTCTATGATATAAGTCATATATAATAATTTTAAATCTCTGATATTTAGATAAAGTTATAAATAATTTTTAACTTTCTAAATTTATTAAATTGAATGAGAATTACTGTTTATGAGAACTAATTAATCTATTCCTCGAGATTAGAAGCTAAAGACTCTTTTCATTTCCAAAAATATTTTTAAGTCGCGAGGCTTATGTAAATAAAAGAGTGTGTTAAAAAAATATAGTTTAAAAATTATTATTAAACATGATGCACAAATAAAGCAGACAATGTACTGGTTTCTATGCTTTATTTTATATATATACATACGTGGTTTGCGAAATAATTAGATTCCTACAAAGTCATAAAGTTGCAGCCGTTATTTTTAAATTCCATTTTAATATATATTTGTGTGTACATGCCTTAATGTTGACTACTCTATATAATAGCTTAGAACATTTATTATCATATTAAAATTCAATTATTATGTCTTTAATAAATTCAATTAAAAATTATATAATGATTTTTTTTTCTGCTATTTAGGACAGTAGAGATAAAATTTATATTTTTTAACAATCCTACA